GTCGAACCACCAAATGGGATATATAACCGTTTCTTTTCCAGAAAGATAAATGCACAAACACAACGCCAGATGGGAGAGTCTTTGTAAAAACAGGAAAATGTCTGCAAACGCTTAGTCGTTGCACAAATTGAGGGAGATGGATGATAAAGGAAATGGGTTGCATTAGATGACGCGCTCGCGGGCCTGAATGAGATGCAGCCTCCGGCGCTCCTCGCTGTCGCTACCGATGCCGTGCGAGCCAAAGGTGAAGAAGGCGCCGAAGGACGACTGGTGCCTGGACCGCGTGAGCACCGGGCTGTCCGGGGGCATCGCCGTGCTGCTGCCGGGGGAGGAGGCCCGGCCGGCGCCGCCAGTTGGGTGGCCGGTGGTGCGCAAGCACTGATGGTGGTGGTTGTGGCCGTCGGCCTTGGCGGGCCGGTGGCTCTCTTCGGGGATCAGCTCGAGCGGGCTGGCGGCGAGGCATGCGGTGCCGATGGCCGGGATGGCGGGCTCGCTGGCGCTCCCGCCGCAGCTGCAGGCAGTGGCGTAATTGGGCAGGGCAGGGGCGCCGTCGCAGGCGAGGGGCGCGACCTTTGACGACTTGATGGCGGTCGCGTAGCTGGGCACCTTGCTGAGCTCCTCGAGCTCCGGGAAGTCGAGGTGGTCCTCGAGCGAGTGGCGGCCCGAACGGCCATCGCTGCTGTTGTGCCTAGAAAGCGGCGCCGACTGCGGGGGCGACCAGTGCATGGTCTCGGGGGTGCTGCTGTTGCCAGCGCGGCCCGCCAGGACGGCGGCGGCGGCGGCGGCGTTGGCATTGATGGACCCGCCGGCGCTGGAGGCCGTCGATGCAAAGGAGGCGTCCCTGTGCAGGGGTCCGCCAGCATTGCTGGTGGACACGTCCTGCAGCCGCGAGGATAGGGCGGCCGGTGTGATGGCTGTCGCCTCGTTGACCAGGCCCGCCAGATTCTCGTGGGATCCGGCGCGGGAGAGGGCAGAGTAGGGGCTGTTCATGCCGGAATAGGCCCCCGGGATCTGCATGCCTCCAGGAGTCCGATAGCCGCCCATATCGAGGTTCTCATACAGCTGGTCCAGGACGTGCTCGCCATATCCCGGAGGAGCGCCGTGGCTAGCGTTCTCCTGGCTTGGGTTCGGCTGCCCGGCTGAGGGCTGGGAGAGGTTTCCGTCCTCGTCGAGCGGGATGTTAGGCGAGATGAAGATGGTGACGGGTAGGGTGGCGCGGAGCTCCGACACGTGGCCGTCGGGGTTCCTCAAGGCAACGACCATCTTAAGTTTGTGGCGGACCTTGATGCCGTGGGCGTTGACGTCCTGAATGCACTTTCCCAGCTTGCGGGGCAAATCCAGCTGCGCGTTCATCACCCAGCCCTCCTGGCCCGTGTTCTCGATCACGTCCTCCCAGTGCTCCTCGCGGGTGATGGGCAGGACCCACGATGTAACCTCGCGCTCTTTCTTGTGCTCCCGTACCTGCGAGCCCGTCTGGGACTGCGCCATGATGTCGCACACCTCGACCAGGCGGATTGTGACGTCGCCCAGCTCCAGCCCCTTGAGCAAGGGCGTGAACCTCGTCTCGAGCGGGATGGCGCTGCCGAACACGACAGCCTTGCGCGGGACCACGATGGAGTACTCGACCTTGTTGGGCCAGATGTTCTCGACGCTCATGGCGTGCAGGAACTCAAGCGCCGATGTCTCGAGGGTCCTGATCACGCGCAAGTGCTTGTACGCATGGTGGTCGTAGGCGAACTTGCCGCGCGCGATGGTGGCCTTGAGCCGGTACGTGATGCTGGCCTCGCGCAGGCCCTCGACGCTCTCGCACGTCTCCCCGGGGAGCATGATCTCAAACGGGAACTCGTAGTTTCCCTTCTCGAGCATCATGCTTTTGCCGGGCGTCCCAATGAAGCTCGGCCATCGGTGCGTTAGAATATCGGTGGTCTTTTCGAACCTCTGGCTCGAGATGCCCGTTGGGGTCGTCTTCAGATCCGTCCAGGAGAGGTGCAGGGTCCCGTTTAACCTCAGGTGGATGTCTTCGATTCTCGTCGGTCCGGGGACGCATACTGCAACGACGCCCTTGAGCAGCTGGCCAGAAGCCTCGTGGTCGTTGCCCCTGAAAACGATAAAGTCGTTCTCTAACCGGATGTCGAACAGGGTGAAGGAGTGACGGCCTGTGACCGAGGTGAAGGGTAAGAAGGAAGGCATTGTCGCCGTCAACCGGCCACCGGAAGCGAGCCGGTGACACTCGAGGTAGCCAACTCAGTAGTAGGGTGTTGGGCTTGTTACCAACACCACAAACAAGAACGGACGATGGGATGCACTTGGCACCCCGGTGGGCTGGTGGAACTAGGTGTCTGATGGACTTTTCTGTTTTGTTTTGTCGATAATCTCACAAGGAGTCACGCCGGCGCCACAAGACAGAGAGAGTTGTAGGCGCTGGCGATTATCCGGGAAGCTGGAGGGTTGTCTGGCTGATAGCTAAACACCCGTGCCGGAATGCCCCGAGGCAGGGGGGTTCTTTTTTTTTTATCGGGGCCCACGAAAAATGTTTGTAATATATCGGTGACGTAGAGTTGGAGCCTCTACGGCCAAGGGGGTGGGTGGGTGCCCGGGTGTGGATTGTGGGTATCGATGAGTGATGGTCTTGGTTTTGGTTTACACAACTCCAGGGTGTGAAGTAGGTTGTGAATGCCAGCGAATAAGGGCAAGGTGAGCCATTACCAGGGAAGGATTCGAAAGGAAGGAAGGAGAGAGAGAGGGAGAGGAGGGAAAATAACAAACCCATGGCGACAACGAAAAATATCTCACATGGGAAAGCAACAGGAACCCCAGTAGCCATGCACGGGAACGGCTGGAATCGTTATCTTGTCTGAGAAGGAAAAAGTGGTCTGCCCCTGTCCCTGGTGCGCGACATGGACACGAAAAAAAGGAAGCACGCCAGCTGGCTCCCCTGGCCCGGCAGGCCAAGGCTCAAAGCGATGGGTGGAATGATGAGGCCCGGCAGGGCGGATTCGCAGGTACAAGGGCCCAAGCGCCTGCTTGGTCTGGCCGGTCAGATGTGGATGAGGGCGACAGGTGTGTGTGTTGTGTGCGTGTGTGTGGGTGGCATCGAGCCAGGGGAATCATGTCATGGCGACCTTGCGGCCATTTCTGGTCAAAGTGACCCTTACGCGTGCAGCCCGCACAAACGAGGGAGGGGTCGTGCCATCACACCCATTTTCAGCCGCGAGGTTGTGAGGATATTCACACAGTAGTGGGGTATTTCGGCCGGGAGCGCCTATCGCTAGCGCGGACGCAGCTGACCAATTTCTGCAATGGATGGCGGTCGCAACAGAGGCGAATGGAAGCCCAAAAGGCGACATGACAAAAGGTGCGAAACAAAGAGACACAGCGAGAGCGGAGAAGCCAAGCAAAAAGTCAAGATACCTGATGGTGACGGACCTGAGCGTGGCGTTCGGGATTGAACCGGAATTGGTAGGTTTCATGGCTGGCGGCACCGAACTGGAATTATGGAGCCTGCGTGCCTGCCTTTGGTGGAGGGGCAGTCTTATTTAGTCAAATGCGTCAGTGGCGTCAAAAAAGCCCAGGGGCTGCCGACGACTCATGATTTCCCCCTTCCTGTCCGTCTATCAAGACTTGCAGGGTCTTTCCCCCCCCCCTTCAACAAGTATAAAGCGCCCCTCTCTGTATAGGCTCTTGTACCTATCACCCTGCTACAACTCCGGGATGGAGGTTGGTCCTGGTCCCGTATACAGACTGAGACGTGCGTGGGGAAGCGTGCGCGGCGTGGATGCGGGCCAGTACAGGTACACGTGGAGTGAGGCAGGGACACGGCCCACACTCAGCTGAGGTACATTACATGCCCAAGTGGGCTGTGCGCGGGGGCTGGCGGCTGTGGCACAAATCGCAGCTGCACGAGGTGTGGCCCGCAGCCTCTTGGACCGAGCCGAGCTCTTAGGCGAAGAAGCAAACCAACCATTGACCAAATACATGGCAAGCTTTTACCAGATGTGCCCGAAGAAACCGGCTTCCTCACGCCTAGACCCAGGGGTTTTATTCATTTTTAGCTAACCGCTCACCCCCAAGACAATTTAATTGATACACCAAAAGGGCCGAAAAGTGGGCAACTTTTCCCCAAATCGACTTAATAGCTTCCGGCAAGTAATAAACAATCAAATGTGTAAACTTCGGGAAAATTATAAAAATTGAAAGAAAAATGCTATTTAAAACTATTGCTTATTTATTTGGTACTTAATATTTTGTAAATTTCTAAATTGGTTATTTCGCCGGGAAACCGCTTTGTAAATAACATGCTTTCTTCTGGTGTATCAATTAAATTGTCTTGGGGGTGCCGCTCCCCGAAGTGATGTGAGCACAATGTGCGACCCATACATAAATACGTATGTGGTCTCCTCGTGCGTCGCACAGGCAAACAGGAACACTCCGGATGCACTGTGCCGCATGCGTTCCTAAGCGATGTCCCCTCTTGGGCGGCCAGCGAAGCAGCCATTGATCATATACATCCTGGCTGTGCGTCACCAAAACGTAAGCACGGCCTGTTCGTGTTGGCCTCTGGCTCGCATTTCCCCGTAGAGGCGACGAATGAATGGCCTCCATCTCCAAGTTCCATCTCGTATCAAGGACGCTGATAAGTTGGGTTAGGTAAAGACCCCGGGTTGAGTTTGCCCGGCGCATTGCTTCTCTTTGCTGGTCCGGACCCTGGCGCATGCTACGTCGAAAGCCGCGGCTCCTTACCAGGAGCTTATACGTGAGCCTTGCCGGCCTCGCGGCTGTGCGGAATCAGATGTTGAAATGCCAAGTCGCGGCACAACCCCCTAACCCATCCTTTTCCGTGGCCTGATCGTCCGGCTCTTCTACGACGGCTCCAGAAACCAAGCGTCCAAATCGACCGGTTTTCATCTGTCGATATGCACTGGAACTGCAGCCACACCTTGCGGATCGTGGTGGATATATGTGGCATATAGGGTACTTTATTTCCACATCCGCGCATAACCTACACGCCCGCGCTGTAGCGCTGTTACCGCCCTGCAGAAAGCCGGTGAACGGGTGTGGCACAAATGAGACGGGAGCGTGACGGGGGCCCTCCTTCGGCTCCGCGAGGCACATCCGAACTACAAAGGTATCTACCCAAGGTAGGGAAGTCCTGTCGCGACTTTCAGGCCATGTTTCCAGTCTTCCCCTGCCCTGCCACCCTACTTACCGGCAGGCATGCACGGCGTGCATATGGTATATGTACATCGTACATCACAATATAGAGGCACCCCCTTCCGGCGTCGATGCATGTCGATCACTGGAGCCGACCTGGTGCCCGCCTGCCCGCGGGCTCGGCTCGTGGCCTGTGTGGTTCCACAGATTCTAGCCGCGCGAGGGCGCCTTGTTCACCTGGTGATGTCCACCACCATCTGGGCTGCCGTGTTTCTTGCCCCAACCGGCCAGCCCGTCCAGCCACAGACCAGATTTGCCCCGCCATCAAGACTAGGTCTACACCACAGGGTTATGTATCCGGCTGATGAATCTTCCGTAGGCAATCCAGGTCGCGTAGGGCTATCGGCGTCCCTGAGATAGAAAAGGTTGGCATGTCGTCAGATACGCGCTGGACCGCTTGGCAGGCAGAAAACCAAGGTTTGCCCGAGCGTGAGAGCTTTCCGTCCGTCCTGCCCTGGGCGACTAGAACCTGGACTAAGGTGCCGGGGAGGAAAAAGACGTCTTCGGGTGGTTCCGGGAATTGCTCGGAGCGAGGGTACATCCACATCAGCCGTTTTCCCGGCACCCGCGCATGTACACGCACGTGCCTCCCAATCACACCCTCCAAGTCCCGACGAACCTTGAGCTGGTCTCGACTGTTGAGTGCAGCTGGGAATGGCACATGGGCTGTCAAGCATGCCATCCCGAATCGGGACCCAGTCTTCTGCCTGTTTTTGTTCCAACTGGTGGGTCTCGGGATCCATCACACCATGCCGTGTTCTCCCGAAAAGGGTCCGATTTGTCTTTTTTGTCTTATTCCATCCCAAGCCCAAGCGGTGATAGCCGCCAGCACGGCCGAGCTCAGGCTTCCAGAACATGGAAAATCAGCAAAGAAAGAAGCTCAAATCACCCATCTGGACCGCCGCCGCCAAGGGTCGAGTGGATCCCACACCCACCGACGACGGCCCGAGTTCCACCCGACGGGGTTTTTTGACTCACAGACTGACGTTTGATATCTGGCGCCTCTCCATATCTCCTGGACACCCCGGCGGCTTACTGTCTGTCGAGATAAGGGGATTGACCATGGGGATCTGGATCTTGCCTAGCCACCTAGGAAGGACCTGGGTGCCTGCCTGCTCAGCCGAGCGGCAAAACAAACATCCACCGCCACGGGCACACACACACACACACACACACACACACACACACACGCCCACACGGCACGGACAAACACATGCTCCAACTGTGGCACGTAAATACTAAACAAAATTTCCGATTTAGGGTTGTGGCTGCACTACTGGGAGCCGCATTCCAAGCCCGAACAAAGTCCGGCCCGGCACCAAGCCTGTCGTATAACATCTTCCGGTCCAGGTTTTGCCATCATAGTCTAAAATCTGCTAGGAAGACTAGAGATACTAGTGCTGACCAACTCTGATTTTGGCCATGATATGGTCCGGATCTATCTTTGTCCGGCTCAGAAGCGGCGGGGCGTAGAGGAGGCGTGCATCCATCCATATCACGATTGTGCAACGAACGGCCTTTTTGGCGGCGGCACCAACATACCATACCGCCTCTTATCAACCGAAGAACCCTAGCGGTGACCCTCACCGCCGACCCAGCTGCATGAGGGAGGCCCCACAGCCAGGCCGGCATTGAGGCGTTTCTGTTTCTTGCCATCCGAGTTTCCCTCCTTGGCCGTGGGCCATCTGAGCCATCTTGGCTTTTCCCTTACTCGGATCCGGCCGTAGGTTTATCTACTGTTGCATGCGGTCTGCTCCTTGGAGGACGGTTAATGTGACTGCGATACACTTTGTTTTGCACTATCAGCGAGCACATCCCATCCCCGCTCATTATGGTTCGACGGCAATGCCCATTCGTACGTCAATGGAAGATGCCAAAGCTCCTGTTTCGCATGTATCTGGTGGGGCCTGATAATCCACCGAGGTAGCAACATCCGTATGCCGGTGGCTTGCTAGAGGAAACGGCGGCGAGGTTCCAGAGAGACTCTTGGACTCTTGGCTCTAGGGTTGCTGATGTTATGTTCTTTGAGCCAAGGAGTTGGGGAATCTATACATACTTGCTGAGCGTAGAAGCAAAGCTGGCGTGGCCCGTCCGGCATGCACTGTATATTCACCGTCGGAACATGAAGGATATCGAAGCCTATGATAGCAGAATCGAATGTGATTGCGCCTGGAGTGAGCATCCAGACTAGCAGCGTTTGGGTATCAAAAGCCCGCGGAGCTCGGGGGAGCCTCCTCCACATGCGTGGAGAAAAGAGTGTAGGATCAGACAAGCCGAAGAGCCAGAGGGAGCAGGACAAGACAGGCGGAGGAAGCGAAGAAGAAATCGGCTACTACGAGTATTAAAACGACCTCTAGACGCCAATGCGAGCAAAGGATCGATAAGGGAGGCAAGATTGGAAGCAGGCGAGAGCCAGACTCCCGAGGAACGATAGGCCAGCCGGTTGCCCGGTCGGTTGGGACACCGGCCCGAATCAGTTCGAGTTGGTAGACCGACGCCATATCATAAAGGCGGCAGCAGCGGCGCAGGCTGTAGCGCCGAGGGCGACGTACAGGCTAGTTCTGTCCGGTGGCGGCTCCTCGCTCTTCGGGAACGCTGTGCTGGGGTTTGTGGCCGCCTCGGCGAGGGCAACGAAGAGTTCGCTGATGCTGTCCCACGTGACGCTCACGTGCAGGGGCGTGCTCATATTCAGGCTTGATGTGTACGTATCGGGTTGCAGCTCACTCCGCTGCATCGTCTTGTCCCGGTCGGCCTTGAGCGCTGTGTATATGGCGGGTAGGTCGTCAAGCTGGGGGAAGCGCCGTCGTAGCGACACAATGTGTGAAAACGAGTCTGGGTCAGACGAGTCGTAGGCATAGCAAATGAGATCGCATGCATCCAGCTTGGCCTGGTTCTCGAGTATGGCCGGTTCCAGCTCCCCGAGCTCCTCCAGGATAAGGTAGCACTGCCTTCCACCTTGGAGCTCAACACTGTTCACTGCTCGTCGCGGCTTGATAGTCGGCCGATAAAGCGGCTCAAACGGCCGACTGAGGAAGGCGTCGAGCAAAGACGACTTGCCGGCACCAGACGCGCCGATTATGTAGCACAGCACAACGTTGCGCTCCACCCTGCCCGGTTTCCTCCTTCGTTTGCGGGCCTTGGTTATCTTGAGGGCTGCCGTGATGGCGTCCCTCGGGTTGGGAGGCTCAAAGCCTAAGTACGCGAGATACTCCAACGTGGTCTTGGGCTCGACGAATGTCGTCATACTCCATTGCGCTAGCCAGCCCTGCAGAGTTATATGTCCCGCCTCGTTTCTGACAGTGGAAGATGGGAACGAGGTTTCTTGCCATGACGCTGGTAGCCCTGGGGTAGGCGCAAAAAGCGCGGCGAGCTCATGGTCGTTCAAGCCGCCATCGTTGTCTTTGTCGAACAGGAGAAACAAGTCCACAAAGAATCGATAGCCGGCCGGACTAAGCTCGGCCGACGCATATTCCGGCACGTCAAATTTGGGGCGCAGAAAGCTGTCGTGGAGGCTCAGACTGTCGGTGTAATGATGGTGCCGTAGGATGGTCCAGATCGTCTCGTGTCGGCCTTTTTCCGCGTAGAGCTTGTTCAGCAGCAGAAAGCCTTGCTGGTCAATGCCTTTCTCGATGAAAGAGCTAGGGATGGCCTTGGCGATGGTTGTCTTGATATTCTCCAGCTCCTCAGGCAACAGCGGCTTGTCAAACGACTTTGCCTGGAACTCATGCATCTCTTGGTCGCTAAGGTAGCCATCCTGGTCCTTATCGCTCAGATAAAATATGCGCCTGAGGGCATCGATGCACGCAGGCTTCAGCTTGCCCTCCTTGTAGTCAAAGAGCGGGGCGATGGGGTGTGTGACAGCCTTCTGGCAGAGAAAGAAGGCTTCGACAACGTTGCGGTGCTCCTTGGCGCTGGAGCGGACGCACGAATCGATCTCGCGGAACTCGGTCATGACGGGCAGCATCTCCTCGTCGGCGACCTGGACAAAGCCCCCCTCACCGGCCAGGTCCGACTTGTTCGCGCACAACACCACGGGGACATTAACGCCGAGGGAGCGGAAGTAAGGCATCCAAAACAGGGCCACGCGTTCGTAGCTGTAGTGGTCCGAGTAGACCAGCAGTATGACGTTGGACTTGCGGATCTCCTTGCGCAGCGTGGTGCGGTCCTGCGGCCGGGCCGAGGTATCGACGATGGTGGTGACGACATTGTCGGGGGTTCCGATGTTGGGCGGGATCGTGATCTGAGGGAGGACCGGCTGGATCTTGTTGGCAACGAATACGTCCTTAACCAGCGACGCAATGAGGCTGGACTTGCCGGTGCCCTCGTCGCCACACACGCAGATTCGCACTGATTGCAGCTCGCCGCGGGCGTTAGATGATGCTGCTGAAGAAGGAGAGGAACAGGCAGGGAGGCAAGCGAAATGTGTCGACTAACCTGTCGTCATGTTGCCTTGGGGGAGGGCGATTCCTGTCAGATCATGCTCGCCGTTGTCGGGGTTATGTTCGTGGCAAAGACACCATTATCAAGAAAAGGACCATGTGACGGGTGGTCGTTCTGTCCAAGGGGACGGGAGCCAGAGAAGCCAGATGACCAACTGGTGATTGGTGGATAGATGGCAGAAGGCGGTACAGCTGAGCTTCAAATCCGTCAGTCCTGCCCGACAGGCCGGATCCAGGGACAGCTCTCCATTCAGGGGGCTTCTGCGCAGGGGATAGGGAGGACAGCTGGAGCCAGGGCGTCATGCCAGCAAGGCAGCGCTGCTGACTGGTCAGATTTTCGGTTCGCCCCGCCACCTGAGCTCTCAACACGTCGCAGCCAACCAAGCCAGAAGAAGTCTGTGCGACGCCTCGTCTGCACGCTTGCTATTTTGAGCAAAGTTGCCAGCTGCTACGCTGCCCTGGGGTTGCGCATTGGGTTGATGGCATTGCTTGAACGACCCGACAGCTTGGCCGTCAATAACTCTGGAAGCTCACATGCACCAAGTTTCGTTTCCGGTCTCCCAAATGCAGCTTTTCATCTTCTGTGCGCTTTACACTTTGCCAAAATGCAGCTCTGGGTGCTACGCCCCGTTTCGAGGTCTCATTGATGTTAGGCCACACCGCTCGCCGCACAATCGATGACGAACGTGCCCTTGATGACCTGACCAGGGCTTGCATCGCACGGCCGTGTTGGCTGCCGGATCAGGACGCAGCACTCGGTTCATGACATCTTCAAATGCTCCTTTCTCGGTGTGTGGAAGCCGGGGAAAGAGGGGCTGGGGGCTGACTACCCCACAAAGTTGGCTGAATGCGGTAGCTCCCTGCGATGGACAGGGACAGAGCAATTGAGCAGCACATGCAGGAGCCGAGCCCCGGGCCTTGCGCCGCTTGACGAGCGAAGCTCCCATTGCGCAATAATAACCGCAACTCCCAACGTCCGCTGCCACCGCTCCGCTTTCCTTCCTCCCACAGCAATTCCTGCTGCCCTGCGCTAGCACCTGCCTGACTTACACACTCGCGAGTTCCTTTCCACAAGCTCCGCGAACTGTGCGACCTCGAAGCGAAAGTCGCGGGCCCTGATCGGAAAGCTCCTCCTCCTCCAGAGCCCCTTCCTGCCTCGCTATCCGCGCTCTGACTGGGCCTAGAGCCGAGCCGTCACCATGTTGTACGATTCCCCGTCCGCGAAACTCCAATGCTACGGCCTCAGCTCTTCAATCAGCATTGCAGACTTTCTTGGTTTTGTCTTCATCATCCCTTGCGCGAACAAGCATAGCCCATCGCTGATATCCGCCTACTTGCGACAGTAGTGTCCTTCCACCTCCCCCTCGATACCCTACCCAGGCTGCCTACAACGCAGCCATGGCAGCGGGAGGGCACATCGCGCCCATGATCGAGACAAACAATATCCTGTCGAACCCCTCGGGGCCCGAGTTCCAGTTTCTCGTCGGAGAGGGTGAGCCAGCTACCTGCAGCTGCAGACCTCGTTGACACGGGTGATGCTCGAGCGCATATCGCATATGGCATGGCCTAGGCTAACATGACAAACCTCAAGGTCTATACGTCCTCAAGGAGGACCTGCACTTGGCAACGCCCCCGCCCCATCCATCCGAGGCACCTCCCGTGAACCTCAACCCCCTGGCCACCACTCCCCAGCCCGCCACCTCCGGCAGCAAGGTGTCGCTTCTCAATCTTGATGATCGCTCTACACCGCCGGCGTTGAACAAGATGCTGGCCGCCATGTCCGTGACGAGCCTTCAGGTGGGTGGCGCCGGACAGACGGGCATGCCAGACAAACCTCGTGAGAGCGAGTCCTCCACGGACGCGGGCATGAGCACCGAGGACAGGGCAACTTCTAGCGAGCTGGCGTCTTCTGCGCCAGCTTTCGGCCAAGGGAACACGCTCCTCACACAAGTTCCCACCAAGGATGCCAGTAAGAGGAAGAAGCCCAAGAATAACATTACTAAGAGCAACTCTTCTTTCATCTCCCGGGTCATAATCCATGAGAACCTCTCCAAGAGACTGGCGGAGCGCCCAGGCGACGGTATGTTTGCTTTTGCGAACATCAACCGTGCCTTTCAGTGGCTAGACCTATCCTCACCGACCAAGGTATGCCGTTGTTTTTTTGCCGCAATAGCTGCCCGCTTATTGCGCGAAGCCTGATTGAGAAGTTTCCTCGCGCTGCTGACAATCCTCTAGGCCGACTACTTGACTAAGATTCTGTTCACCAAAGCCCACTGTCTGTGCCACGACGTCAACAAGGTCACTCGGAGCACCACACATATCGACGTGGTCATGGGCTTCTCTACTGGAGAGGTCATCTGGTGGGAGCCGGTGTCCCAGAGATATACGAGGCTCAACAAGAATGTAGGGTCGCATTTCCCATGATAATTCCCCTGCATCTATTCTGGTAGTCGAGGTCTTCTGTGATGCTGACTTTGCCGTTTTATCAGGGGATAATCAACGGAACCCCTGTGTCGGAGATCCGGTGGATCCCTGGATCGGAGAACCTGTTCATGGCGGCTCACATGGATGGCTCGCTCGTGGTGTACGACAAGGAAAAGGAGGATGCAAACTTTTCCCCAGAAGAGGAGGAGAATGGCGCCTCCAAGGAGAATGGCGAGCCAGACGCAACTGCTCCGTCCGGCACCAAGGCTCGGATAAACTTCCGCCAGCAGATCCAGGTTGTCAAATCTGTCTCCTCCAAAAACCAGAAGTTCAATCCAGTCTCTGTCTGGAAGCTCTCCAACCAGCGCGCGAACGCCTTCTCTTTCTCTCCTGACAATAGGCACCTTGCCGTTGTCTCAGAGGACGGCTCCCTTCGCATCATCGACTACCTGAAGGAACAGTGAGCACCCATCCCAACTTTTCGAGCCCAAAAACGTCGGTAGTCAAGGCGCGGTTGCTGACGGACCCCCACAGGCTACTCGATCTGTTCCTTTCATACTACGGTGGACTTAGCTGCGTATGCTGGTCCCCTGACGGCAAGTACGTGCTCACGGGAGGGCAGGACGACCTCATTTCGATCTGGTGCCCCGCAGAGTCAGCCCTCATAGCTCGATGCCAGGGACATCAGTCATGGGTGACCTCGGTTGCCTTCGACCCCTGGAGGTGCGATACCAAAAACTACCGATTTGGCAGCGTTGGCGAAGACTGCCGGCTGTGCCTTTGGGACTTCAATGTCGGAATGCTCCATAGACCCAAGGCTGCCGTGAGTACACCTCCTATGCATTCTTCGGTGGAAGTGTTTTGAAGCCAGTCATTACTGATACCTCGCACGCATAGGCTTCTATCCAGAGAGGCGCGGCTGCCACGTCGCCACTGCAGCGTGCCGACACACAGAACACCACATCGACCGCCTCTGAGCCGGCGGAAAAGGTGCTGCCCCATCCAGTCGTGCCTCGGGCCAAGACAGCGATGCTACCTCCAGTTTGCGTAAGCGCTCGATCCTCCTTTTTTGGGTCCTCTGTTGTGACAATGTCGCTCACCCCACTACCTGGGATGTCTAGTCCAAGAGCATCGACAAAGACCCGCTCTGCTGGCTTGAGTTTACCGAAGAGTCCATTATGACTAGCTGTAAGAACGGTAAGTATGTAAGACGTAACCTCTAAGCAAAAGATTCAGCATCTGACGGAGTCAACAGGTCATATTCGAACTTGGAGTCGTCCGACGGATGCAGCCCACGCAAGGACAGCCAGAGCTAGTGAGGTGCCTAGAGCTCATGCAGGTCATTGTATGCATCCTTAATGTACTACTTAATCGGCTCCCTCGTTCTTTCAGTACCGACTATGAAAGCCAGCCACGTCGCAGGTGCACAGTAATACCGCCGAGAGAAATTAAAGATACGAGTTACGGCTGCATTGGGTGATTTTCGTTTTGGCAGTCCTCCTTGTCGTCAAGGAGTATGATATTCGTTCACAGCAACGGAGATGCCGATGCGTGGTACCACTGGCCTGTGCTCTCTCGTCACATCCTATCAAGAAGCCGCGGCATCTCTGTTGATGTCTAGGGGAGTCGTTCATCCAATTACATGCTATGGCTCGGATCCTGTCTTCATTCATCTGAGGAATGGTGTTTGATTTCTTTTTTGATCCGTCGGTTGCCTCGACTGCGGGCGCTCGTCTCGATCATACTGGGTCCATCTGCGCCCTCGTCTTCCGAGCCGCTCTCCTCTTCCTCTGCCCGCTGATTTGCCCTGTCAACCCTGCGCTTCATAACGAGGTCATTGAAAAAGTCATTCAACGTGAAGGCCTTGTGGGGGGTCAGATAAGTTAGCTTTCCGCACGGCGTCAACGCTGTAGCTTCAGGATAATCTAGGATATGCATACCGCGGGGCACCCGCCCACCGGGCAGGCTATAGGTGCGCCATTCCCCCTAGTAAGCATGTCGACGATCGCCGACTTTTCAAAGGTATGCTTGCACTTGTTATTTGAGAATGGCTCTTCGAAGCCGCGAAGAGTGATGGGGCACTTGAGGCTGTCGCTGACCCCGGCCACAATCAGGTCGTCGTCGTCGTCGTCCCTGCCCTCTGCTCTCCCGTCGCCGCCGGCGGCCGGCAGGACGGGATTCCCGTCGCTGTCGAACCAACGGTGGGCATCCGGAAGGTTTTGGGTGCCATCCGGGTGCAGGGCGTCGTGCCAGTGCTTCTTGAGTGAGACGTAGTCGTTGTTCTGGCCGTACTTGTCGTACGCAGACAAGGCCTCGAACTCGGCAGCCTTGGCCTTGCGCGACTCGGCGTACAGGCGTAGCGGGCCGGGCGGGCCCTTGATGCGCTTTTTGCGGGATGCCCTGGAGCTGCCCTCCGCCTCCCCGTTCTCGTCCGCGTCCTCGTCCGCCGCGGCCCGCTGGGTGGAGGACAGGAAGTCGTCCACGTCCTCGACGTCCTGGAAGCGGAGCCGCTGGTCGTTCCCGCCGTTGGCAGAAGCTGCCGCCGCCGCCGCCGCCGCCTGCGAGGGCTGGGCCTGGACCGAGGCGTGGACCTCGCGCAGCGACTGCCTGGTGTCCTCGGTTGCGTACCGGTAGTTGATGGCGTCGCGCGCCGCAGCCTCGATGTCAGCCGACAGGCCCGGCACGACGCCCTCGAGCCGGGCCAGGGCCTCCTCGACCCTGGCGTCGGCCTCGGGGATCTCGGCCGACGAGGCGGGCTGTTGCCGCCTCTTTTTGGCCCGCCGCTCGGCGTCCTCGCGGCGCTCGACGAGGCGGTCGTTTATGCTGCTGATGGCGGTGGGCAGCAGCTTGGACAGGCTGGCGAGGGTCCTCTCGAGCTCCGCCAGGTCCGCCGTGTTGTTCGCCAGCCCGGCCAGGGTCTGCCGCGCCGGGTCGGACATGGAAAAGGCCGGCCGCTCGTAGGGCGGCATCTCTAGCCCGGCGTCTGGCCTCTCCCGACCGTGGCGACGGGCAGCCGAGGAGGCCCCGCTTTGGACGAGGCGCCTGCTACTGGACATGGCTGTGGGGGTTGGGTTGGGTGTGAGGGTTCTGCTCCAACGAAGTGCGCCCCAAATAGTGATTCAGAGGGCCCAAATCTTCTAGCACTGAATAGGAACCTATTCCAAACAGTATCCTCGGATGTATCGGTGTGAGTCTCACACGACAAACTTTGAGAGAATGACGGCAGGTAGTTGATCGAGTACCTAAAACGCGGTTGCCGTCCTCGCATTGGACAAACGCGTCTCTGACTGTCAGGGATTTGATTGAGTGACGGGTCGGCACGTGATCGTCATACTGCATGCATTATGACGCAGCCCGGGAGGGAACAGCAGCCCCACGCCTGCGCAGGGAAAACCCCGCTGCTGGTGGCTGACCGCCCGCGCGCTCGCCTTAGTTCCAGGGGCCCCCACCCCCCAAAAGCGGCAGAAAATCCTTCTACCCCACCCTGAGACGATGCCTGGAGATGACTACATCCTTCTGAGTGACGGTTTTTTTCTCACAGCCCCGCGCCACCTCCGTCTTAGACCTTTGGTAGATTTCAATAGAAAGATACGAGTTCATCCCCATGGACGCCATTGCCCATTCGCCGTGACCGCCGTATCCTCTTCGCCATGGCGCCCCAGATCCTCATCGGAGGCGAATGCTTCACCGTCGCTGAGGCCCAGAAGCTTCTTGATCGCGTACGTGACGTCTTTGCCGGCGCCCGCTGCCTTGCGCGCTGCTAGCCTGGTGCGGCCGCTATCAGGGTATATTGCTTGGAGGGCCTCTTTGAAGAATGGGATCCTATCTAAAGCCTTGGGGTTATTGTCATTCGTCGTTTACTAACTGACGTCGGCTGGCCCTTGCTCTGCAGTGCAATAGTTTAACCAGCCGCAGTATCAAGTCCATCAGCGGCCAGCGCGTCTACTATGTCGACCTCAAGTCGCCCCAGAGCGACAAGGACGTGATTGCCAAGGTCGCTCATCTCCTCGAGATCAATGACCCGAGCCTGCCGCCCTCGGCGGGCCAAGCCGGCACCAGCGTTCAGCTTTACGTTACCCCGCGCGGTATCAGTCCGTGGTCGTCGCAGGCCACAAACATCGCGCACGTCTGCAACCTCAAGGAGCAGGTCCGGCGCATAGAGAGGGGCCGCATAGTCGCCATTGAGTTTGCCGAGCCCGTCGCCGAGGTGGCGGTGCAGGACCTCGAGTTCAGCCATGTGCTCTACGACCGCATGACCGAGACCCTTGCGCTGGAGCCGCCTTCTTTAGAGGATATGTTTGGTCTGGGCGAGCGAGGCGGTCTGAAGGTGGTCGACATCTTCGCTCAGAAGGATCAGGGCCGCTCCCCAGTCGAGGCGCTTGAGGAGTATAACCGGTGCATGGGCCTCGCCCTGGACCAGTCTGAGATGGAGTATTTGGTCGAGACTTATACGGCGCTGGGCCGCCCGCCCCATGACATCGAGCTCTTCATGTTTGCGCAGGTCAACTCGGAGCACTGTCGTCACAAGGTCTTCAATGCCAGCTGGAATATTGATGGCAAGGCCGAGGATACGAGCTTGTTCCAGATGATCAAGAACACGCATCAAAAGACGCCCGAATTCACCGTCTCTGCCTACTCGGACAACGCCGCTGTTCTGAGCGGCAACACAGCCAACTACTGGGCTCCCGACTACCATACCGGTATCTGGAAGTTGACAAAGGAGGTTCAGCACACTGTCATCAAGGCCGAGACCCACAACCACCCAACCGCCATCTCGCCATTCCCTGGCGCAGCGACGGGTGCCGGAGGCGAGATAAGGGATGAGGGCGCTGTCGGCCGGGGCTCGTCGCCCAAGGTCGGCCTCTGCGGCTTCTTTGTGTCGGACCTCAACATCCCAGGAGCGGCGCGCCCGTGGGAGGTTGACATCGGCAAACCGTTCCACTATGCCAGCAGTTTGGACATCATGCTAGAGGCGCCAATCGGTAGCGCGCGCTTCTCCAACGAGTATGGCCGCGCCTCCCTCACGGGTTGCTTCCGAACGCTGCTCACCAACACCGGAGGCCAGGGCGGCGAATCAAGTGATTCGCCCGAGTGGAGGGGTTATCACAAGCCAATCATGATTGCTGGTGGACAGGGAACCTGCCGGCCGCAGCACGCCCTCAAAAACGGCGCCGACGTGCAGCCATCGGCCTACGCCATCGTCCTGGGTGGCCCGGCCATGCTGATCGGCCTTGGCGGTGGTGCGGCATCCAGCAGTGCATCGGGCGAGGCGAGCGCCGAGCTGGATTTCAACAGCGTCCAGAGAGGCAACCCCGAGGTGGAGCGCCGGGCGCAGATGGTCATCAACGCGTGCGTGTCGCTGGGCCCGGAAAACCCTCTCGCATTTATCCACGACGTCGGCGCTGGCGGTCTGTCCAACGCGCTGCCCGAGCTCGTGCGAGATGCCGGATTTGGTGGCAAGTTCGAGCTCCGCCAGGTCGACTCGGTTGACAATAAAATGTCGCCCCTGGAAATCTGGGCAAACGAGTCCCAGGAGCGCTATGTATTGCTTGTCAACAGCGAGAACCTCAACCGGTTCACCAGGATCTGTCAGAGGGAGCGTTGCCCGTTCGCTACCGTCGGAACAGTGCTACCCCAGGGCAGCAATGACGACTCGAGGCTTGTCCTGACCGACCGCGACTCCCCAGAACATCCCCTCCCGATCGACCTCCCTATGAATGCCCTCTTCCCCCCTGGTCGGAAGCAGGTTCGGACTGTTCAGACGGTTAAGCGGAACCTCAAGGCATTTGATTCAGGAGCCAGTCTCGAGGCGAAGTACGGAACTCTTACCAGGGGCGAGGCGGTTACAAAGGCGGCAGAGCTTGTCTTTACGCTCCCGTCCGTCGGGTCCAAGATGTTCCTTATCACCATTGGCGACAGGACAGTGGGCGGCCTGACGGCGCGGGACCAGCTGGTTGGGCCCTGGCAAACGCCCGTGGCTGATGTTGCCGTCACTCTGGGATCCTTTAGCACCGACGAAAAGACAAGGATGGGTGATGCCATGGCAGTCGGAGAGAAGCCAACACTGGCGCTGATCTCGCCGTCCGCTTCAGCGCGTATGGCTGTTCTGGAAAGCATCATGAACCTGAGCGCAGCGGACATCCAGGCAGAGCCCAACACGAGAGGTGATCTCAGGCGGGTAAAGCTGTCGGCCAACTGGATGGCGGCGGTCAACCACCCTGGAGAGGGCGCGGCGTTGTACGAGGCAGTCAAGGCGATCGGCCTTGACCTGTGCCCCAAGATGCGCCTGGCGATTCCCGTGGGCAAGGACTCGACCTCGATGAAGGCTTCGTGGAAGGATAAGGCCACTGGCGAGAGTAAGAGTGTGACAGCACCCGTATCGGTTGTCATCTCGGCATTCGCGCCTGTGGAAGATGTGCGCAGGACTTGGACTCCCCAGCTTCGTCGGGTCGAGGAGGTTGGCGATTCGGTGCTGCTGTTCGTGGACCTCGCCGAGGGAAAGAAGGCCATGGGAGGCTCAGCGCTGGCGCAGACGCTGGGCCAGCTGGGCAACGAGGCGCCAGACGTGCGGTCGACCAAGCTGCTTGTCGACTACTTCGACGCCGTCAACCAGCTGCACGAGGACGGCTGCGTCCTTGCGTACCACGATCGGTCCGACGGCGGCCTCCTCACGACGGTGGCGGAAATGATGTTTGCTGGCAGGTGCGGCGCCGACATCGAGATCGATGACCTGATAAAGTCGGGCTCGGTCACGGACATTCTTGACACGCTCTTCAACGAGGAGCTGGGCGCCGTTTTCCAGGTGCGCAAGGCTCATGAGCAGCGGTTCAAGGAGTGCTTCGCTACTTGTGGTCCGCCTAAAGGCCTGATCAGGAAAATCGGGTACGCGCGCTCGGCGCCCAATCAGTCGCTCACCATCAAGTGTAGCGGAGCAGCGCTCGCGGTGCTGGACCGTGCCGAGTTCCAGCAGATCTGGTCACGCACGTCGTTCGAGATGCAGAAGCTGCGGGACAACCCGGCGTGCGCCAAGGCCGAGTTCGACGCGCTTGCCGACCTGAGTGACCCCGGCATGTCGTACAAGCTCACGTTCGACCCGGCCGAAGTGACGTTGCCCGTCATGACAAACCTGAGGGGCCTCGTCAGCGCACGGCCCAAGGTTGCCGTGCTGCGCGAGCAGGGTGTCAATGGCCACGCCGAGATGGCATTTGCCTTCCGCGCGGCAGGCTTTGACGCCGTCGATGTCCACATGTCGGATATTCTCGGCGGCCACTCGCTTCAGGAATACGCGGGCCTTGCGGCCTGTGGTGGATTTAGCTAGTGTGTACCATGATCCCTGGTCAATGCGTCATTCGTGATGTTGATAATGTGGCTAACATGTTAATAGCGGCGACGTCCTCGGCGCTGGTCAGGGATGGGCTGCGTCGATTCTCCTCCACGATAATGCTCGCAAGACGTTCCAGGACTTCTTCAAGCGACCCGGTATGTTGATTTTTCTCAGCCTTGCATAGTCGCGAATGTCTCGACGCTAACCTGCTGTGATGCAACAACAAGACACATTCGCTCTCGGCGTCTGCAACGGCTGCCAGCTGCTCACTAGGATCAAAGAACTCATTCCAGGGGTCCAGAATATCTGGCCCACCTTTGTCGAGAACGCGTCGCAGCAATTCGAGGGGCGTGTCTCGATGGTCAAGATTGAGCTTCCCAAGACCTCCTCGTCGTCTGTGTTCTTTGACGGCATGTCGGGCTCACAGCTCCCCGTGGTCGTGTCGCACGGCGAGGGCAGGGCGTCATTCGATTCGTCATTGGCGATTCGGGCCCTCAGCGAGCAGGGACTGATCTCGATGAAGTACACTGACAACTACGGCAAAGTCACCGAACAGTACCCCTTCTCGCCGAACGGCAGCCCGATGGGTATTGCTGGCGTCAGCAGCCCCGACGGGCGTGTGGTGGCCATGATGCCACACCCTGAGAGGACCGTCATGGCGGACGTGTGTAGCTGGGCGCCCGAGGGCCAGCTCGAGAAGTGGGGCCAGTACGGGCCGTGGTTCAAGATGTTCCTGAATGCCCGCAGATGGGTTGGCTAGGTGAGGGGCTATGTGACGTTGGGATGGATTGCTGGCGTAGGGAAGGGGAATCTTGGGCTGAGGTTTGTGGATTTCGGGCATATCGCGATGGCTTTCTCGGCATGAGGCAATGGTTCTTGCCTGCTTGCGCTGATCTTAGGATAGAAAAAGACGTTTGTTCAATCTCTAGTTGTGTGGCATGCCCAATAAGTCCGTGAGGGAAAGCAAACTGTTTTTTATGTAGGTACTATCCTATCCAGCCCCAGCCTGGCCGGCAGGTATCGGCTACTGGGATTACAGACAGCACTCAGGAGCAATAATTAGACGGCAAGATGAACAAAAGAACACAGCCCGCTGCGCAGTGTCAAGCTGACTCAGAGGTATCCCGCTTATACTGGCCATTCTCGCTCCACGTGCCGCACGGGGGCTTGTAGTCTTTGGGCGACACCATGCCGAACCGTCGCGTGTCTATCCGCAGCGAGGGCGTCGAGGGAGCGACGGTGCTCTGGGGCGTCGTCAGGCCTCTCGGCCCGGCGCCGGCGTCGGGGGTGAGGTTGAGGTTGAGGGAGGCGCTGGGGAACGGCACGAGCTCGTCTTCGTGATCGTGCTCCGCCCCGGCCTTTGTCGAGTTCTCGGAGATGCGGTCGATCCACTCGAGGATCTCTTCGACTCCTGCAGGGTGGGTGATGTTGTTTTGCTCAGTATTTCAGTTCGCCAACACGACTTTCGCTCGGTATGATGCCCGGCGGCGCTCTTGGGCCAGGAGGTCTCAGGACTTACGCTTGTTGGAAATACAGCCGTGGTTTCTCATGTCAAGAGAGATACCCGACATTGCGCTTCAGTTGGATATGGCGAATCAGGTTTTTGCTCCTTCTCCTTTTGCTCTGGGAGCTGGGTCGTTCATTGGCAGCGGAGTGAAGCTCGTGCATCCCAAGTCGGGCTAGCAGAAGGAGGGAGAGATCATGGCGCTCTAGAACCCCAAGAAACCTTCTCGACGCCGCCGTGTGGCGATCTTCCTTTGTTTCCAAGGATGTCCTCGTGCTGATGACCCCTTTTGTCCGCCATGCCGAACCCGGAGGTCGGGGAGGAATGAATATGAACCACCAGAACTACACGCCAGCTTCTTTGCCACAAGACGGCGTCATCATCCTGATTCCATCCTGTCGTTGATTTGACATGGTTGCATTGCGTCTTCGGGATCTGGCAGTCTTTGTCTCTAAGATCTCAAAGGAGAGGGACACAATGATTATTGTACGCGTTCAAGGTGCCTCCCTTTGTGATGTCGGATGCGTGATCTGTATTTCATCTTCGTTTCCGTCGTCGGGAACTTCCCCGAACAGTTAGGACAGAGGAAGCCAAACATCTGTCTCGGCTCCATCACTGCAAGAAGACCCTTCCAGCCCTACTAACCACCCTACGGCTTGAAGCCTACCACTCCAACTTTGTTCAAGGGTCTTCTTCTTATTAACCATGATTTCCAAGCTCCGCAATGCATCTTGCGGGTTGCAGTCTGCCCGCCCGTTGATGGGCAATTCTTACCGGGTCAGCAAGCCCCGGAGCAGCTCTCTGTTCCTCAGGCGAGCCAGCAGCAAAGGGCAGCAAGATGATAGCGGTCTTGCCCAGTACAGCGGCGCCAAGCGCACTGTTGATAACAGGGCCGGATCGGAGGTAAGCACCCTGCAGTACGACGACCTCGAGGAGGGCAAAATTAGAGAGGGATGTGAGCCGACCGAGACCCCGAGCTCCTCAATCCCGAGCTCCTCAACCGCGAGCTCCTCAGTCTTTCCGGCATTTCGTCCACGGGCCGGGTTCGAGATTCACGATCGGACAGAGTACCACCCCGGCATGATAATTCAGACCGTATGTCACACGCCGGCAGGTCCCGGCTCTACGCACCGCGACGACGTCGTCGCGGTGACCTCCCGAGGACCCGTTTATTCCAAGTTCCGTCGTTTCGTGGTGCTCGAGATGCACTGGTCGCATTTCCAAGCGCTGCCGTTGTATACACACAACGGAACGGGCTTGAATAACAAGCGGCAACAGCAGCACGAGTTTGTCTGTATCCGCGACCGCGACGTGCCCAAGTCGGAGAGGGAGCCCGAGGAGGGCGTCAACGGGACCGTGTTTGGCGTCCGTCACGGCCGGGAGCCCTGCGTCGACGGGAGGACGGCTGTGAAGCTCACCGAGTCGGTGAGCTTCGTCCCCCGCTCGACGCTGGCACGCGTCGAGGGCCGGCTGGAGCACGAGTCGCTGCGGGCGCTGGCGCGCCTGGTGAGCGACTCCCGCCGCGTGTGCCTCGAGCACATGCTACAGCAGCCGCCGGCCAAGGTTGCGGCGGAGCCCGAGGCCGAGACGGAGACGGCCAGGCTACAGCGCGAAAACGACAAGCTACGCATGGACGCGCTCGCGAGGGGCGCGGAGGAGATCGAGTCCCGGATGGCCGGGTTGAGGAGCGAAAGCCACCGGCTGCGGATGGAGGCGCTCGCGCTCCAAGCCAGGGAGCGCTCCGTCTCGACCAGCGGTGGCCGGAAGAGGGCGGACCAGCGGCGGCGGCTGAACAGGCGGTTGGGGCTGCTCGAGGCCGAGTTCACGTGGTCTCGCGCGCGGGCGTCGCCCAGAACGGTCCGAGAAGATCAAAGTCTGAGGCTCGAAAATTTCACTTATAGGTCATAGATAAGTGAGGTCTTTTTTTCTCTCCTTCCTAGGACATCTTTCGGTAACGAAAGGGATTAGGGGTTAGAGCCATTCATTGTCTGCCCTGACTGGACTCAGTGGCCGTGATAATTAAATCAAGCATTTCAACTGGCCAAGGCACCAGGCGCCTTTTCTTTGTCCCTTGTTCAAATCATCCGCAACCAGTATCCAAATAGTGTCACGATTCATTCATCGATATGATCGATATGTACCATACATCTCCCGTGCGCAACAGAACAATAAAGTCCGTAATATGAATGAACAAATTCCGGCAACAATGTAGGCAAGGAATTCAAAAGATTATCAAACCCCCGTCCGTGCCTGTAGCGCCACCAACTAGAAAAGCATAGCAGCAACCCCCAGCGCCAAAGCCGGGAAGCTCAGCCTGGCGGCGGCGGCCGTGACCACGGGCGGCAGGGAGCCGGTCGGAGTCGACGGGTTGGTCGGCGAGTACGTGGGCAGGAGCGTCGTGGTGTTCCCGCCGCTGCTGCCGCCCGGGTTCTGCGTCGTGAGGTTGCAGCCCGAGATGCCGAGTGAGCTGTTGAGCGAGACCTGGAACACGCCCTCGGCGGTCGAGTTGGTGGCGGCGACGACCAGCTTCAGGTCGCCCGCGGCCGAGGGCGAGAAGGCGACGGTCGCGGTCTTGGAGCGCGCCGTCGTCGAGTTCTTGCCGACGACACTACCGCTGCCGCCCTCGGCGGCGGACAGCTCGGCAGACAGCTCCTGCGCCGACAGAGACGAGACGCTGAAGACGAGCTGCTCGCCCGCCTGGGCGGCGTAGCTGAAGGCCACAGACTGGCCGCCGCCCGAAAGCTTGGCGACGGTGATGCCGGGCAGGAGCGGCTGAGACGACGCGGAGCCGGGGCGGTCCGAGGCCGTGATGCCGTTGGACAGGATCAGGAACAGCCAGCTCTGGATGGCGTCGGCGGTGGCGAAGGACGCGTACGACCCGCCCGTCTTGAGGATGGTCGACAGCAGGTCCGGCTTGAAGGCGCCCGCCGTCGGGGCCAGGAACCCGAACGACACGCGGATGCCGGCCGCGCGCGCCGCCTCGATGGCCGCGATCAGCCCCTTTGTGTCCGAGTCCTCGCCGTCGGTGAGCACGACGATGCCGGAGCGGTCGGCGGTCGGGTCGTTCCCGGGCTTGGTGAGCTCGGCCGTGGCTTTTTTGACGCCGCTAGGAGGGGGGGAGGGAGAGTTGGAGTTGTTAGTGACTGGCGTATGTATCCCGGCGAAGTTGATCGGTTGAGCAAAATGATGTATACTCACTCGGCAATGAATGTGCCTCCGCTGCTGTCGATCTTGTCAAAGGAGCTGCCGGCCTGAGCAGGGTCTCCAAGAGGGTAGATGACCCTGGCAGAACCGTCGAAGCTGTTGGCAATTTCTAAAAGTCAGCCTCTTCCGCACCTCGTACTGCAGGATATACATGACAAGATGGATCTTACTCGACAACAGTGACAACATCAGCCTGCTTCCCACCCGTGGCCGCCGACGACGGGACGAGCTGGTTGTTCAGGGCCTTGCCGGCGACGACCCGGAGGCGCGAGGGGTCGGTGGTGGACATGGAGCCGGATGAGTCCAGCACGATGGCGACCTTGCGCCCGCCGTTGCTGGCGGCCAGCTGGATGTTGCACTTGCCCGTGTCGCGCCGGACGACGTCGTGCCCGCCGTGCCAGGAAGCCGGCGACGACGCCAGAATGGGGGAGGCGGCCAGGGCCATGGCGCTGATGAGACTAGCGACCTTCATCTTGAAGAGTCTGGGGCGGGGGAGGGGGGAATTAGAAAGACAAGTGATGGGGGGTACGGGATTTCCCGACTATTGAGCGAAAGTAACAGAGCGACCGACTTCTAGCACTATAATTTCCCAGAGAAAACGAGTGTGGGATGCTGCCGATGTGAGAGGGGCAGGACGAAACCTCTGCCTCGGAGGGACGGTAGACGGTGTTTATATATCAACTGAGGGATGTGTGAGTACCACACGGGCATCAATAGCCGCTAGTAGGATGCGATATCAGCCTCTCAAAGGGTTCGAACGAGTCACTCTGAGGGCGCTTTTGCACACAGTCCACGCAAAAGCGACATGTCTTTTTGCAGCTGCAGGTCCCTACAAATCATGATGCGCATGGGCGGCAGCAAGAGCGCCTCGCCTGGGCACCCCCATCCTGCCCAAGGCTGCCTTGCCTCCCGAGATGGTGGTGTGGTGATGCCGAAGACAAAACGTCACTGCCTCAGCCATGTGCCAAGGCGGAGATTGGTTAGGGCTGGCCAGGCCATGCGGAGGAATGCCTCCCACAGTTACACGGCGGCTGCGAACCCCCTGAGATTGCGGGAGGGAGGGCACATCGCCTCCTCGCCAGTCGCGTCTCGTCGCACGCCTGTTGGAAGCCTTTGGGAAGGAAGAGAGGGCTGAAAGCCCGAACGGCAGCAGCTAACAGCAGACACACACATATCGACCGGGATAATGGGGACACAGCCCTCCAGTCACCCAACTCCTCCTCGCGCCCAAGATCCAACGGCGCCACGTTTCACGGTAACGACCTCCACTGCGCGCCCTTATTGCACGAGCCTTTTGGCTTCCCTTCTGGACGTGACTTCACTAGACGTTTTGCAGCCGCTAGCAGCCCTGGATCAAGGCGGACAAAACTTTGGCTATCACGCGAGGCGTCTGCCTGGAAAACAGTCAGGCAATCCGACGCAGGTGCAGACGTGCCATGCGTGAGGTGATGGCTGATGGCCGTCGTCTCAAGAACCGGTGCGGCGGTACAGAGCGAAACAAGGCGGCGCCACGACAGAAAAGAATGACGGCAAGATGAGACGCTCGAGGCGAATCATGTAGCCAAGCCCACTGAGCTGGACCTCAGCCACCGAGCTAATCTGCTGTTGAGTCCTGGTGTTTGCTCCGAAAGCAGTACGGCTGAACTTTGGAAGGGAGGGGAAAGCATAAGGGCGACTATAATTGGCTACAGCGCGCGCATCACCGAGGCAAAACTGAGCGTCGCACAGCGAGACCAGGAACAAGGGAGAACTTCAAAAGTGCCCCGAGATTTCTGGCATCCATGGTAGCTGACGTTGGTTGGGCTTTCAACGGGGTTTTCCCGGATAAGTCGATTAGAGGGTCTATGATCGTTGGGAGCGTGGTAGAAAAGTATGAGAAGAGTTGGGCCAGAGGTCGATTCCTTGAAGAATCGCCTGAATCTAGTCACTCCAGTCTGCTAGCGCACCGGCTGTGACCTGTCACGCTGCGCTAGTCCGAAGTATCACTCCAGCTTTACCTCCTCGAAGCAGCCCACCACCTCGCCGTAGAGCTCGCCGTTCCGGATCGCCTCATAGATTGTGGTAAGGTATGATCCGACCGTTGGGGTCGCGTCGGGGAGGAAGGTCCCTGGGTAGTGTTTGGTCGCCCCGTTGGTTTCGACGCCGTCGCCGCACCCGTTGATTGTGGTCGGTGTCGCCGACTCCAGCTCCTCCTCACCCAGAAACGGCACGCCAAGATCCCTGCGAACATACAGATACATTCGCTGTGTCGCGCCGCCCAGATATAGCGCCGCCCGTGCTGCGGCCCGTCTATACTTGGTACGCGTTTCCAGAAATTGAGTAGACGCGCTCGCGCTGCAGTCGCGGACAAACTTCTGTAGCTCCAGCACCGGAAACGATTTCGTGTCTTCTGCTGAGAACTTGCCAAGCATCTCCATGATAGGTGCTAGCATGGCCCGTGAGGCTTGGTTGAACATGTCTCGCAAGTCCTTTCGCCGGTTGAAGCTCTCAGGGTTGAAGAAGACGGCCCAGAGGAGTGCTGCCAGATCGGCCATGGCCCCATCTGGGAACATGCCGCCGAAGGACTCCCTAAAGAGCCGGTCGAACGAAGGCCGCCAGTCGCAACGAAACTCCTCCCACATGACACGAAGGTCCAGGGCTTGACAAAGAGCTAGAAGATGCGCCGCCATCAGCTGGGAGAGGCACTCAACTGCCATCAGGGTGTAGCGTGCCGAGATCAGAGCAATAGAGTTGATACCCTGGTTCCCGAGCTCGGCCGTCATGACGTGGGCGCCAACGTTGCCAGCGAGGAAGCCTAGCTCCGAGGTTGCGGCTGCCGTCATGATGTCGACCCCCTTCCACAGATACGAACCGGATGGCTCGTCGACCACCAAGTTCGGAGGCAGGCCCCTGTTAGTGTCCGGGTTGAATAGATCCTTGCACTGCTCGAAATGCAAGCGGCCCAGCGATTGTAGGCCCTGGCGCAGCTTTTCGACAGCCGAGGTGACTGCCTTGGCCTGGAAGTTGCCGCCATGCAGAATCCTTCCCCGGGCCGTGTCCACCAGCGGGTTGTCGGTGACCGAGTTGACTTCGGTTGTCAGTTGGTCGTATGACAGCGAGAAGTCCTCCAGCACAGGCCCAATCCACTGCGATGCTGTCCTGAGCGAATACCGATCCTGCCTGAGCACACTGTCCTTGCCATCGTTGTGACGGGCCAGCTTAGAGCCTCGCAAAAAGGCGTGTATGGTCCTCGCCGAGTCGACCTGGCCGGGGTGTGGCCGCATCTCGGCGATGAAGGGGTCAAAACTCTCATCCGTGCCCAAAAAGGCCTCGACTGACATGGCCGTCAGCACCTGCGAGAGGCCGGCTAGGCAGAGAGACTCGTGAAGCGCCAGCGAAGCCACGCCTGCGGACACGGCTGTCCCGTTGACTATGGCCAGACCTGTCAGGGGAGCAGCCGTCAATATCGCTCCAATCCAACAAAACAGACTGCTTGGCTGGCTACAGCTTGGGTAGACTCACCCTCTTTCGGACCGAGGTGGATAGGCTTAATGTCAGCCTCACCAAGGGCCTTGTCCGCCCGGACGCACCTCCGCCCGTCACTGCTGCGACTTCCAGTATATACACTCAGTCCTGGGGCGCCCTGCATCGCGCCGGCGATGTAGGACAGGGGGCTGAGATCACCCGAGGCTGAGATGGATCCCCGCAGCGGCATCAGGGGGACGATGTCGTTGTTCAGGAGGCTTACCAGGGTCTCGACGGTGACAGGCTGTACACCCGAGGCACCACCCAGAAGCGAGTTGAGCCGGATTAGCATTGTTGCCCGTACCCACGACTCGGGCATACAGGTCGTTGCCTCGGGGTGGTCAAGCGGGATGGACAACTGGAGCGAGTGCGCCTTGACATGGCCATTGCGAGTCCCGTTGGAAGTAGCGTGCTGGTCCTGAGAGCGCAGGGCCGGCTGCAAGATGCCGCAGTGCTTGCTGCGGATCAGAGCCCGCTGCAGGGCCTCGACGACGGCAAGGACAACACGGGTGTCGGCGTTACCGCCGAAGCCAGTGTTCACGCCATATATGACTTGGCCCCGCGAGATGCTGTTGATGATCAAGTCCGCCGATACCGGGATCCCTGCCAGGGCAGTGGCATCGATGTTGAGCTTGGGGTCAGTGGATCTACGGTTAGGTAGGTTAGCTGGGGACGGTAATATGCAATCATGATCATCAAAGTCTGACCTTGCCACAGCCACCACGGCGCCCAAAGTCAGAGTCCGACCGTTGACGATGATGGAATCCTCCGCAAGCTTCGCCTTCCTCAGCTCCTGCCAGTGCGATGTGAGAAGAGCTGAGAAGGACATTGTGTTACCGAAAGGCATGGTAGATCACGAGAAGTGGGATGTTCCCATCATGGCAGGGCGAGAGAGAGAGGTTTGCGTTTTTTTTTTGTCGACGGCCAGGAGCGAGCGAGGTAGGTAGTGGTAAGGTGCAGGTGAGGTAAAAAATCCAGGCGCCTACCCGGCCGCGAAAACTCGGGTAGCTGTGGCTTGCACTAGCTTTGTGCAACATCGGCGCCTGCACTTTCTCGTAGCCAAACAGGAAACCAGACACAATCCTTCATTAGTACAGAATTCCATTCGTATCAAATACCTACTGTTCCATCCAGTAGATGCTAAAGGGGGTATCAAGAAACCAAGTGCTGCTGTCGCCAATACAAGAAGGTGGCGCTCTCCTTGCATTTGTCCCAAGGAAGCCTGCAATTTCCGCTCCGGATCACGACATGGTGTCGCGTCCGGCATGGAGGGCTCAAGGCAATCACTTGCCCTTATATACACCGACAGCAGACAGATTTCCAACAGCTCCCAGTAGCAGCAGACCGAGTGGTTGAGCGGGTGAAAACCGTGGCAATAAAAATTGCCACAACCGTCTTCCACGGGTGAGGGCCAGGAAACCCCAAGCTCGCTGGTTCGAATCCGTCTAGTAACGGCGATTTAGAGCGAGCAAACCCGAAAAATGGGTTTCGTAGCTCAGCTGAGAACAGCTGAGTGAGCTTTTTGCATTTTGCTTTTCGCTTTTTCCTTTCTTGTATAAAGAAAGCGACAAGCGACATACCTGGCGGGCGCGAGGATTTTATAATTTCGAAGTTTGGTTTATTTCTTTGGTTGAGGGGTGGAGGGGAGTCGATTAAAAGAGCTTTGTTGGGCACGCTTTTACGCAATAAAGTTTATGTGTTTAAGTTAATAATGCGGATTTGTTTATGCTTAAATGCTGTGGTTTTATGGTATGTTCTTATAGTATTTACTTTTGCTCCTCATTTACCTTCTCATTTACCCTCCAACCTCCCCAGGCGTGCTGAGTATTGTCGCTTAGGAGGTCGAACAAATCCCGGCACCGCTTAGGCCTGGCAAAGCTCGACCGCGACCAACTGCCGCGCCTCAAGCATGTAGTCACTGTCGTTTGTCACTAGCCAATGGCTGTGCCGTCCCCAAGCCGACGCGAGGATTATCCTAATCCGCTTCGAGCGGGCCTTCGCTGCCTCCGCCTCTTCGGTAGTACGCTCCGGGCCCGGATCGGAAACCACCTCCCAGCTCTCATCCGATGTGCCCTCGCTCGGCTCCCACCACCGGTCGTAGGCGTAGTTGAACGCCTCGTTCATCACCTTGCGGACCACGATCCCCGGGTGAAAGGAGAGCATGGACATCAGGGGCGTGGCTGAGCCCCCGCCGGGCGCGCCGGGCGCCTGGAAGCCGGCCCAGCTTTCGGTTACCAGCTGCCACCCGTCGTGGTACTCGGCAGTGCGCAGCAGCTCCCCGATCGCCGCCCGCAGCTCCTCGTCGGCCTCCCGGAGGTTCCCCCTCGCGCGCTCAAGGGCGAGACGGAGAGCGTCCCCCTGCTGAGGGGTCCGAGCCCGCCCCTCATTCAGCTGATCGCGGGCCTGAAGCCAGGGTTGGTAGGCATCCCTGTATGCCTTTGCCTTGGCGACCACTTGATCGTCAAGTCCCAAAAGTATCTGCCTGTATTGCGCCTCCTGGACAGTGGCGTAATCCTGCATATCCTGCGCCATACTGTTAGGCATAGCTGCTGATGCTGGGTTGAGCTGTGATCTGGGTTGAGCTGTGATGTTGGGTTGAGCTGTGATGTGTGGTGTTAGCAGGTGCGTGTAATTTGAAGGACCATTTCGGGTTCCCCAGAATGACGAAATGTTACTTTTATAAATACTTAAATCTAAGAGGACTGGGCCATCGTTCGACCCGAAATTACTGTCGGTTGGTACAACAATGGCATAGTCACAGTCAATATGCCTTTGTCGGCGGCCCAGCCTCTACAGGAAGTGAAGTGGCTTTGTCCCTTGATTCTACCAGTCGTCGTTAATGGCAAGCAAATGAACTCGTTCGACCTAGCTCGGACAAAGGCGAACGCGCCAGAAGCGTTTTCAGGATCAACTGTTGTCAGATATCTGGAATTCACCTTTGGACACAAACTCTATCACTGATTGGTAGCGAGCAACAAAAGCACCTGCGATTTCCCAACCCGGCATCAGAAATAAGCCATGATAGACCATCCCAACGCCGATTCAAGCTCGGCCCTGACCTCATCCGGCCCTGCAAATCCGGCACGACCCGCGACCTCTGCGCGCCTGCCGGAGCCGAGCTCGGCCCAGCGGGCGAGCAGGGCGCCGTCGACGACGGCGCGGCCGACCGAGATGTCGACGGCGGCGACCTGGTTGCGGGCCGGGGCGGGCGGCATGCGGTATGCTTTTGGGTTGAGCGCCGCGTGGTGCGGCACCGAGGCCGCTAGGTTGCTCGCCAGCGCCGAGAGCCGCGTGTAGACGCCCTGCCCGAGTGGCTGCACCGCCGCCAGCACGCCCGTGGGCGCCGCCATCAGAATGTGCTGGGGGCCCGCCGCCGCTGCCGACGCGTCGCCGTTGGTCGCCGGCTGGGACGGGTTCGACGAGGTGGTCGGCATGAGGAGCGACTTTTGGGGGTGGTGAGCACCTGTGCTAAAGGTGGTGCGGTTGAGGAGCAGGTGGCCTTGGAGAGACTTGGGGTCTATGTTTCGGGGGATCAAATCAGTCATTGTCCTAGGCTTCTACACGAGCAAATAGTGAGACTTACGCTCGGGATCGAACTGAAAGATGTGGAGGTTCCCTTCAGCGTCGGCGGCCACCAGGAGCAGGTTCCGGCCGTCAGGCAAGAAGTCGACATTGATAACCTCAAGGTTAGTGCTGCTCTTTCCAAATATCATCATCTTGTAGGGACCCTCGGTGTAGCCCGTAAACCAGACGCCTTTGAAGGCGTCGGCCATGGCGCAGAAGCCGGTCCCGGGAAGCTCCTTGGCGCAGCTGACGTAGCAGTTCATGTCCATGAAGGCAACGGGCAGCAGCCTGCCGTCCTCGCCGAGACCGCGGACCAGACACTTCTGGCCTTGGGCGACTAGCATCAGGCCCTGAGTGCCGATTTCGGACAGTGCCGTGACGGCGCCGCGGGGCACCTCGTCCTTGGCCATCAGCTTCAGCTTCTTGTCCGTCTCGGGTCGGTCCTTTTGTGGGACGACGCTGGCGAGGTCGTAGACGTAGACGCAGCCGCGCACCGGCAGGTCCTCGCCCTTGCAGATGGCAGTCCCGACCGTGATCAGATGGCGGCGCTCATTGGTCGACTGGCTGACCTCGAGGTTCAGCGACTTGATGCACATGGCCACCTCGTTTTTGTCAAACTCCTCGGTCCAGATCTCGCTCCAGTTGACCGGGTTGATGACCTTGAGCACGCTGTGCTCCGTCTGCGGCTTGAACGTGATGTTCTCCTTGGCCCACTCTCGATGGGATTCATCATCCGACGGCAGCTCAAACGGCTCCCAGAAGCTGCAAGTGACAACGTATACGCCCGAGGGCGTGTGGTACGCGATCCCGTCTGCATCCATATTCAACGGCACTTTCTTGACCGAGAGACCGAGCTCGGCGAAGCTGCAGTCGTTGGGAATCTGCGCCACACGGGCCACCCCTTCGTAGTCGGCATAGATGAACCCACGGTCGCATCCTTTGGTGTGGAACGGGCTCATAGCCCTCACACCGGGCCCTTGCAGACCGATAACTCTTGGCGTGGACTTGGACGACTTGATCAAGAAGCTAGGTGAATGTCCGGGAAGGAAGACGCAGCTGTAGCCAGCAATGTTGCCACATGCGCGAAGAGGCATGCGGCGCATTGGAGCGGGGGCGTCATCCGAGACCTTGGTGTCCTGACTCTTTGCCACCGCAGGATTCGGCAGTTTGCGGAAGCGGAGCGTGCCAGACAAACTCTGTGAGCTCTCCGCTATCTTGAACGGCTCATAGATAGTCAGATCGTCGTTAGAGTGGCGCAGCTTTGGAGAAGGGTTAGCTCTTGACAGTGTCTAGACATTTCCACGGCCACGTAGTGATCTCAGGTACCGTCGTAACATACAATGAGATGAGGAGACTTGAAAGTGCTGTCACCCAAATCCGTAACCATGAGTTCGCTCAAAGACTCCCTGGAGGTTCCTTTTCTTGCCGCGTAGTCGGCCGAGAGCAGAGGTGGGACGTAGCAGAGTCCTTCTGCCACGTAGATGGGCTTGGAAATGTCGGGAAGAGCATAAATCTGAAAGGATGTTTTAGGTTCCAGTTTAGCGCATGTCAAAGATAGCAGGAATCCATACGGGGAGCAAGGCAACACACGTAGAGGGCACCGGTGGTGCTCAGCAGAAACATCACCACGCTCTCGGTTGGTTTCGCGCTCTTGTCTGTCTGAGTGGGAGCAAAGGCCCCCCTGGTGTCCGCATAGAGACTTCCGGCGATCCATTTGGTGCTCTTAATCACCTTGTCCTCCTTCTCGATTTCCTCGATCTCGCTGTCCTCGTTCACGTGCGCGACGAAAGCACTCGAGTCGTCGCGTATGATGAGTAGGTAGGGGTCTGCTATGCTGGCGCTCGTTGCTCGCGGCTCGTGATTGGTCTCTTCGTCCAACATCGGGATGATTTGGGTGAGTCCCAGGTCTGGGGCTGGTTAGCGCACTGTTGTCGTAGTTTTTGACCGCATCCGGGGGCAACAGGGGTCCGAGTCTACCCACCTCCATCATAACACCTCACTTCCGATTTCAGGACTTGTATTATCTTGGTGTGGTTTCCCATTGTGCCTGCCTCGATCGTAAAGCCGGCCGCAGGCTCAAACTCGGTCCCTACCAACTTCTCAAATCCTGCCGCCGTAAGAACGTAGATGTTGGAAGACTCAAAGTTATCGTCATCTTCTTTGGCGACGACCATGAACTTGTCGTACTGGACCGGGACACCAAAATCGCCTCCGACGGGCTTAGTGCCCTTTTCGCCCTGTAGGACTTTGGGAAGAGGCTTCTGGCAAGCGAGTGTCCAGAGGCCCCTGGCTTCAGGGAAATCGAATCTCCCTATGCTAACTGGAGTCATTTCCCTGTTCATTATTGCGAGCGAGGAGGCTCTGTCCCTACCAACTACAGCTACAAGCTGCAGTTCGCTCTGAATGGGCGTGGAGTTTCTGCTTCCAGTCTCGCCTTCTGCAGGAGGAGGGGGTTTGCCATAGGCCATATCCCGAATCGGTGCGATGCTGATCAGCCTGTCATGACACCGGAACACTAGATCTTCTAGCTTTGCCTGGCCGGACGCGAGACCTGCCACAGTTGTCGTTTTCTCCGTGTCACCGTACAGGTCGTCATCGTCATCCTCGTCATCCTCAAGATCGTCAAAGTCGATGTCGAGGTCGAGGTCGGGGTCCTGGACTCGAGACTTCTTCCTCGAAACCTGGCTGCTTTTCCTATTCCAGCCGATGACGATGGAGTCACCGCGCTCGCTTCCGGCAAACATGGCGTTCCTTCCAATCCTGCTCAAACAGGACACGGAGGTCGGCAGTATATTTCCACCGGCCTCTGGGGGGATGATCCTGACCTTGAGGCCAGAGACGGTGCGTCCGTCAATGTGGAAGGTGATGGTAGCAAGCCTTCCGTCGTCCAGAACAACCAGGAGTTCCCCATGCTCGGCCGACAGTACCTCGATGGTGCAGCCTTCCAGACGCAAATTCAGGTCGGAGTGGTCTGCCAAGCCAAACGAGGTGCACTGCTTGGTGAAGGGATTGACAGCAACGCCGTTGGCCTTGCCCGACTGGTCGATATGGATCAACTCATTGGCGCCGACTAGAAGCGCACCGCCAACCGGGGCCGGGAGGGCAATGACACGCGTCAGGTCCTTGGGCAGGCCGCCGACAGAAAGAATGGTGGTGGATGCCTTCTGCTGGAGGTCTAGGGTGAAGACAGTGTATGTCAGGTGGTCTTTGCGGTCCAGGCAGTTGGACGGCGTGATGCTGGAGGACAGTATGCCGAAAGTGGGCTCGCGATACTCGTACAGGAACGCGAGATGGACGGGGTGAAGGAGAGCAGGATCAAGATTGGGCAGTCGGAGCACAAAAGATGGTGAATAAGGTGTATCTTCTATAGTGCTAGTTCCATTGATGGCCACAGCGGCCGACTGAGACTGTGCAGGGCGTGGGCCGTCCAGCGCTTCGTCCCAGTCACCCATACCAATATCTTCATCGGCTTGTTTGAAGGGCAGGATGGCCAGGCTCCTCGGGCCGAACTTGAGGGCTGCGCATCGGCTGCCCGGGTCGGCCACCAGGAAGTTGGCGTAGTCGCTCAGCGGGCATTCCCAGGGGTTGCCCTGAAGCTCGTCTTGTTCGTAGTAGTGGATGGAGAACGTCTCGAGCGAGCGCCGCTCTGAATCCCACGCGACAAGACTAAGCTTTGCGTCCTTGAAGGCGATCAGGAGGAGATCGCCAACACCACTGCCGCCGCCCGTCTTGGAGACATTTGGTGGCTTCACCCTCGCCAGACCCGTGACGGTTCCAGAAAGCGGGAACTCGGCAATAAGCACAATCTTGGTATGGCTCGCGCGGTCCGACCTGACTATTGCGGCGTCTCCGCCCAGGACTTCGAGCCCCTCATCGTCGTTCAGCCTCGTGTCGTAGGCATGGCTCGTCTTGACCGAGTACGAGGCGGGGTTCTGGGAAGCACCGAGGTCGACGGGGACGGTCTTGGTCGAGAAGATCTGGAGGAGGGAGGATTTGGCGACAACGAGGTTGTTTGCCTTTGCAGCAACGAAGGGCAACGACAAAGAATGCGACACAGCTGACGGCGGCGTCAGCTCCGTATAGCACTGCATCACTGGAATAACCCTCGCATCGGCCTGCCTGTCGGCGAGACGGGCGACCTCGGCGAACTGGGCTTACGGAGGTGCAGCAGGATCTGGCGTCGGGCCAGCAGGTTGAGCTCTAGACGGCGCGGTTGAAACTATACCACAGGCGGGCTGCTCTTTACCGCGTTTTTGAAGTGGTGTCGCGATGCGATGCGACGTGCAGAGCTCCCTAGCATTAAATTCTGCCAATCAAAATGGGTCCAAGCGTGCAAGCTTGGGGCGCGCCACAAGCGTGCAGTGTGATTCTCAATCCAGGCGAGAGCCGTGATTCGGTGGCGACGAAGCACAGGCCCGATCGAACCGATGCAACCTCGATGCCCGGGGAGTCGCCACAGCGCGCTTCAGGTTCAAAAACGCCCCAGCACAGTGGGACCAACCATATGCAGACGCACCAAGGTGGAGAGAGCTCCCGCGTCCGCGTGGGTCAAAGCTGCCCGCTAAGGGGACAAGCAGAGCGCAATTGCGTCACAGACTGCGCGCTCCCTGAGCCCAGCGTGCCACCTCCCTCGTCATCATCACCCATAATACGCAGCACCGCCAACCTCTAGGTTGCCAAAACCCCTTCACGCTGGACTTGCCTGTCCTGCACCTGCAACTTCGTGTTTTCGTCTTCACGGAAGCAGCACATTGGAGCAAGCGGGTTGAGCTATTGTTCCTCCGTTCCAGCCAGCAAAGTGCCAAGCACAGGTAAGTCGCGAGCTCTTGTTTTGGACATGCGATTCTCAGGACGTTGCTCCCCGACGTCAGCTCTATCACTTCTTCATTCCATTCCCCAAGTACGCGCTCTGCAGGGCAGCAGTCGAGAGGACTAAATACTCGGATTTGGCGGCCGACATGGCATGCTCTCGCAATGGACGGCCCCTCTCCGGCGCTCTTGTTGACAATTTCTAACTCGCTGGATCGCATTGTTGCACAGCTAGCCGTCCTCCAAACCCGGCTCAAGACCGTAAATAGCCTGCTGGGAACTATCGAAGCCCGAGCGCAAACCTACTGTTCAAAAACACAGCCCGCGGGCCGCTTCACCCTTGGTCGAAAAGCTGCTCCTCTTCAACCGCTCCTCGACGCTAGCATCGAGTGCTTTTGGAACCCTCCAGGCTCGACGACAACCCCGGAGTGGGGCGCCGTCACAAGCCTGCTTGAAACACGAATTACCTATCATACACGCAACTGCTGCCCAGCAATAAATCTTGCAGACTAGCATGCTGCCAGCTCAGCTCTAGTTCCAAGATGGCTCCCTACCTGCAGACGAGTTTGATCTGGATCGCGTACGGCGTGGCCGTCGCCGTGGCCCTCCTGGCCGCCATTATCACCACCTTCACCTGGCAGACAGCGCGTGACCGCTCAGCCGTCGTCAATGTTGTCGCCATTGTCAGCTTGACAACACTGCTGGCGACGGTCTTGCTCCTCCCCGTCGACATCGCCCTCGTGTCTTCCACCACCTCGGTCCATCTCGGTGCGAAGAGGGATTGGGCAACGCCCGAGCACGTCGCCAAGATCTTGTACTCTCTCGAGGTCCTATACTATACCCTGTATAGCTTCGACGCGCTCCTATGCCTCATCTTCATCCCTTTCGCGTACTTCTGGTACGAGGAGTCGGACGAGGTTGATGACGAGGAGGGCAGGAGTGTTGGCAGCAAGCTGTGGGGTGCATTCAAGTACACCACCATCTTCATCATCCTCGTCGTTATACTCTTCCTCGTGGGCTTCTTCGTTCCGGCAGCGGGCAACCAGACCGGGGCACATCTCGACCTCGACTACTTCAAGCGGCTGCTGGCAGCGAACAAAGGCGAGAAGGCGCTGACCTTTGCCGTCGGCCTTCTCGTGTGTCTTGGGACCATGCTCTATGTCCTGTACACGGGTTCTGGCCTCGCATTGCTTCCCATTTCGTTTATCAAGTCGGCGCCGTCCATTTCGGCCCCTCAGCTCTCCGAGACGACGGCAACCGCCCTTGAGAGGAACCGCGAGCGTCAACGACAGCTCGAATTGCGTAGCTCTGGAAACACCGACGGCGTTTCTTCCAAGGACAGGCGCGAACTCGAATCTCTGGTCCGGGAGGAGCGCACCCTTGTGCGCCGGGCGCGACTGGCATCTGAAGCCCAGGGCGAAGGGCGCAGTTTCGTCTACCGCGCTTGGACCAAGATCTGCGCAGTCCTTCGACCCCTCAAGTTGATCGGGGGCATCCTCTTGCTGATTGTTTCGGTAATTATCTGGGTGTCAATGCTCATCACCACCATCGACAAGGCATCCAACTCGCTCTGCAAGGGCCGCTGCGGGTACATCCTGGGCCACATCAAGATCTTTCAACCCATCAACTGGGTCTTTGTGCAGTCCGCCAAGGCCTTCCCTGTCGACTACGTCCTCATGGCTTTCTTCATTCTGTTTTTCTTCAGCAGTTCCGTCTCGGGCCTGGCGACGGTGGGCATCCGTTTCCTCTGGGTCCGGCTCTTCCAGATCCGCAGGGGCCGCACCGCGCCGCAGGCTATCCTGATCGCCACCGTATTGCTGGCCCTCATCATTCTGGCAATCAACTACGCCATGGCCATGATGGTTGCGCCACAATACTCCATCTACGGCACCCAAACATTCTGCCTCAATGCCCCGCGCCACCACGGTGAGCAGCCAGACTGTACTAACCACCCGGAGATGGTGGTCCCCTGCTCTGAGGCGTACACGGAGGATGCGGCCAAGGACGTCTGCACTCCGTCCGTCATGTCGACTTTCCTGAACAGAGTAACTCTGAACTGGCCCGTCTTTGGGGCCATAGATTTCTGGGCGCAGCCGGCCTTCCTGGCCGTCTTCTTGATCGTCTTCCTCACCTCGCTATTCCGCACACCCAAGCTCAACATGAACGAGTTTGACGAGGAGGCAGAGGCAGACGAGGAGGAGGGTCTCCTCGCGAGCACAGGCAGGCGGTTCGGCGCCACGTGGCAGGACATCACCGGCCGGCCGACCAGCAACAATGGCGGCAACACATCGGGTGCTGGCTCGAATCGCGCTTAAGAAGGGGCAAGTTGTTTCAGGTTGTCTCATTTGTCTTGCTTTTGAAATGTTGCAAACGAAGTGGTGACAGTCCACAGAGCAACGGTGTTGGGCATTATGCAGGTTTACGGCAACACACTTGGGGTTTCTTATCTTTGGCACAAGGGAGACGGATTATGTCCTGTTTGTTTCCTTTCTCATTTCGACTAGTCATATCCTGATCCCTTTTGTCTTCATCACTCGCTTTCTGTTGGTTGGGGAGGGTTATCCGGCTATCACGAGGTACTTTACACATGCTAGCAGTGGTTTGAGAGAGAATAACAGAGATTTCTTTCTAAAATGGCTCTCGGGGACTGCATTCACGACGTTTTGATGACGACTCGCTGTCTCTTCTAGGATCATGGAGAAATGCACGCTAGGTTGGCTTCTTAGTTTTTCGTAAACTTCCAGCGCCGGTGGCCGCGCGCGTCGTAGTCGGCCGAAGGACCAACGTGCATCCCCCACCAGCACTGCTCGCAGTACACGTCGTCGTCGCAGCCCTCACAACGGCAGGTGGCGTCCTCCAGGCACAGTATGCACCAGCTCTTGACGTCGTCGTCGGTGTAGCCCGTCTTGGTCGTCAGGCGCGTCGTCTTGCCGACGTCCCCGGGCTTGTAGCTCGGGACGGACGGCAGGCCCAGCTCGTCGTCGTCGTCGTCGGCGGCGGCGGCGGCGGCGGCGGGAGCTCCCGCGTCGCGCCCGGCCTTGAGCCTCGCGAGCCTGCTGCTGAAGTCGGCTTCGAAATCGGCCGAGCCCCTCCGCCGACCCTTCCCGGCGCCACCACCTTCTTCCCCCGACACGGGCGGCGGGAGGGTCGAGGGGGGCGTGGGGAGTGAGAACTCACCGTCTTCGTCGCCTCCCGTCCCGGCCGCCGCTGCAGACCTCCCGCCGTCTTCTGCGCCCCCTGGATGTTCCGGGCCCGTCTTGGCCTCCGGCGCCGGCGGCCGGGTGCCTTCCAGGCTCAGCTCGTCCAGGGCCCTGAGGAGCGCCTCGTCCGCCTCGCGGCGCATCTCCTCCCCGTCCGAGTCGTCGTCGTTCTTGTCCTCGCCCTCCTCGCCCAGGCCGGCGGCCTCCCGCAGCTCGACTTTTTCGAGCCTTTTCGTCGCCTGCTTCTCGAATTTCGCAAAGAGGGCTGCAGTGCGCTGCGCCTCTGTCAGCTGCTCGTCCAAGCTAGGCACCGGCGCGCCGCCCTGCTTCTCTTTCGTCGCCGTTGTCTGCCCCCCGCCCGCCCCTTCTACCTCCTCATCCTCCTCGGCCAGTCCGAGATCCTCGAGACCCTCCAACAGGTCATCCAGGTCCCTGCCGTCGGAAGCGAACAAAGGGTCGTCCTCCACATCAGGTAGTGAGAAAGTAGAAATTGGGCCTCCAGCCCGGGGAGGCGGCGGTGTTGGCGCGTGCCGCTCTGTGGGAGCCGTCGCGCCTGTCCTGTGAGGCGCGCTGGCCTTGGAGGGCGGCTGCGCCACCCGTGGGACCGGACCTTTGCCAAGGTCAGCGGCGGGCGCAGGAGGGGTGGAGACGCCCGCAGCAGCGGTAACGGCTGATAGAGATGCGGCGGAGGACCCTGCAGATGGCGGTGCGTCCTGGGAAGTTTCCCTCAAGGACCGGAGCCGGGCTGATAGGGCATCATCCCTTGCCTCTTTTGGGGCAGGGGCAAATGATGATATCGGGATCCCGAGCGCGCTTCACGTTGTTGTCTGCTTAGCTAAGTGGAATATTTGACTCGGACGGAGGCCGGTAGGCGAAAGACATTACTACTTTTGCGAGGTGTCTAGATCCAAATTCAGATTGGTGCCCTTGAGCGCATTGAGACGGTCCAGCAGGCTCTGGTCTCTGTCACGGTTGCTGTCGCCCGCCATGGCTGAGTGAATAGCAGCCGTCGGTCTTTATTCCAGCCGAAACCGGCCCGGCCGCCTCCGAAGGATGGGCGCACCGGTGGCTGAAACAGGCAGAAAGGATTAAGGGAACCGCCTCCGATGCGCGGCAGCAGTCTTGCGGCTGTCTCACGGGAAAGCCTGAGGTAGCGAGCCCATCAGGAGAGACGAGAGCTAATAATGTTGTTCCGCCTCGGCTCTGCCTGATTCTTGGGCTGAGAGACTAGGTAGGCAGCGATATTTCGTCTTTGATGACGGGACCCAGCGAGAGTCACGCCAAATATCACGCTCTGACCTCTTGGTACGGAGCCGAGCTGGGGCTGTGGCAGGGGCGTTGACAGGACGGGGAGGCTGGCACGCTTGGTAGCGGGTCATTCGATTAGGGAACCAATTGCTGACAGGCATTCAGGCCCCAGCAGGTGGGAGCCAAATGTTTAGTATGAAACAAACACAACGCCGTCGTCAAGTTCGACTGCCCGGCTTCCGGGATATGCTGTTTGGAATCGATCAATATCTGCACAGCCATGTTTTAAGCTTCAAGCCACCTGCAGGACAGCGCCCCCATCGTGGGATCAGGCACATGATCGTTGCTAACCGCCACGCGCCTCTGGAATTTCGGATCCACCAGCCGCCAAGGATTATAAATCGTCGTCCAGCCAAGGGGGAACAATTCTCCCGGCTCAAATGTAATTCGCTCGCAAAGACAACATCGGATTTAAGCTTCTTTGACAATCTGCGTGGCGAAGTGCATGCGCTAGATGGGAAAAGGACATGGAGTCATTTCAACCGCCACCTATTCGCTCTGTTGTCGACGCCAAAACCCGCGACGGCCTGATGTGCTAATCAAGCCATCATTACCTCCCAGCGCTCCCGTCTTCATTGACACCAGTGACTATCGATCTTCCGTCTCGCGAAAATCAAGTTGGCAGGCCATTTTCGGTTTTGCTAAGACATGTTGTGCAAGGAATGACGCCAAGGGACGTCAGACCCCTGCCGAGAAGGGAGAAAATGGCGGAGGTGGCCCAAATACATAGGCCGTTTGCGGGAGCTGGTGGATGCCAAGAGCACAGCCCCCTGTCCGCCACTTTGGGCCCAACCACGGGGACACAGGTTGCCGAACCTGTGTGGTCGTTTGTTCATATAATAAAGACCCAAGTTCTTTGCAGGCCCTGTGCGTGCTGGTCGAGTTTGAAAGTCACCTCATCACCAACATCATCACCATCTCGACGACCGAGACCTTCTGCAAACCGGGACAGCCAACAGACAGACACACCTCGGTCTGATTCATCGTGACGCCGCCCAGGTCGATTGGGCGCGAACCAACCAATACAGCCATAGCGTTTCCGCGCTGCACCACCACCAACTATTCTACGCCGCGATGAAGGCGACTACGTTCCTCGTCCTGTTCTCCGTCCTGTCGGGCTCTGCCGTGAGCGCCGCCGCGGTGCCCGAAGACTCCCACGCGCACGTCCGCTACTCCAGGACGCCGTCTGTGTTCGACCGAGATCTGGGCACGACCAAGGACCTATGGAAGCGCAAAGGCGGCGGTAGGAGCAGCGGCGGCAGCGGTGGAGGCAGCGGTTCTAGTGGAGGGTAAGTTTACAGAAGCTCCGGTTCCGTCATTTCACTTTCTTTCCTTTTCCCCCGTTTTCATGCAGAGAAATGAGTGTCACTCCTGCCCGCCTGTCGTCGCGCCTGTCAGTTTCCCTGTCTTTTGTGATGGTGCAGTATACTCAGCTGGAATTTTTGTTTGGATTCTAGGTCTGGATCAAGAGGTTCGGGTTCTTCTGGCTCTTCGGGTTCTTCAGGTTCATCTGGCGCGAGGGGTTCCTCAGGCTCATCAGCTCCGTATGCTCTCCTTCTATTCTTCGCCTTTTGTCACCCCCTGGTGACTTTCCCCCTTTGCGGAATCGGCACGCCACTAACACGACATAACCCACCCCAGCTCGCGATCACTATCCAACTCCAACGCTGGCGGCCGCACGGCCCAGGGCAGCGGCCCGCCGCCGCCCTACAGCGCCGGCACCTACTCGGGCGGGGCCAAGGTCCCGCTGCAGGCCGGCAAGTCGTTCCCGGCGACGCGCGTGTTGCCCTTTGTGCTCCTCGGCGGCGCCGCCCTGGCATTTTGGCCGGGCTGGTACTACGGCGCCCACATGTACCCGTACCAGAGTCACTGGAACTACCGCAACCGCTCGAGCACGGCCAACAGGAACGAGACCACGTCCCTGCCCGTCATGTGCGGCTGCGCCGAGTACGCGTCGTGCGCCTGCGAGGAGAACAACAACCAGACCTTCATCGACAGCACCATCGGCAACGGCTCCATGGCCGACCTGAAGGAGCGGAACGTCACCATCGGCGAGTACAAGGGCAGCAAGACCATCTTGATCAACGGCACCCTCCCCAACGGCACGACGGCCGCGGGCGGCGAGGACGACGAGTCCGGCGCCGTCCGGATGCTGCAAGCTCTCGGGTACTGGCCGGTTGTCGTCACCGCCGTGGCCGCCGTGCTTGCAGTATAACGGCCCGCCCTCGCTGCTGGGTTGCGGAATGAAAGGGAGTTCGGTACCCGTCGGATGGTACCATAACTCGCGGAGATGGAAGGTAAAACGGCTGGTGTGGCGAGTCGTTGTACTCCTAAGCATGATACCCATGATTCTAGCTTGATACGTTACGTTACGCCTCTGATATCGAGAGCACTTACGCCTCACTGATTGGCTTTATCTTCAAATGTAGTTCATAATCCCACAAAAATCTTGTATATGATGTCTTGCTTCGTACTCAGCTACTTACCAACGCTCGCCGATGCCTTGCATCAGCACTGTCAGGGTGTCTAGACAAGCGGTGATTGCCGGTCTAGCACAAAAGCTTCACTGAAATCCAGGCCCCCCTGAACCACCACGATACTGTGGCCCGACGTGAATACGAAGTCGGGAGACTGCCCCGGTTTCGCCGCAGACGGCGCTATAGCACACATCACTTCGCTGTCGACGAGCCACTCTCCCAAGGCGAAGAAGTGACGCCGTGCGACGGTATCGGCCGAGCCACCACCTTCCAGCGCGGGCGGCCGCAGAGACTGACCAGGAGACGCCGTGCTCAAGGCTGGTTGCGTGGGTTGAGCCGGTGGGAATCGCCTCGAGTTTAGGGTCGGCCTTAGCCGTCCCGTCTCCGCGGCCGTGCCGGGCGGGGCCGGCCGGCTCCATGGCTGCGAGTGCAGGAAGCTCGACACTGCATGCCACTTGACGCCCGGTTAGATGCACCCTGGCCAGGCTCCCACCCTGCTACCGCACAGGAGGCTCCTGATGGTTGTGCCCATCATCTCCCTCCTCTACATAGCCCTGCGGATATCTCTCGATAAGTATACGTATGCCACCCTTGGCTCTGTTTCAGTAGCATTATCAGCCAACCATGTAGGTCTCATGATCTAGGAAAGCGGGGATTGGGCCTCTTACAGGTTAAGGAACGTATCATCCTGCCAGAACATGGCGGACGCGTGAACGTTAAACTTTCTGCACAGGAAAATAAACACCTCAGCACACAGTCTATCGCAAACAGAAACCATGTATGAGAAGTAGGGTAGCCATACATGCCATATAGCCGATTGCGGTCGTTATAATCCTGCCTGGGCTCCAACATGGGCATGTAACGTGGTACTCGTTGATATATGATTGGAGTTTGTTGCGGGATGGCCTCCAATTTCCCAGCTCGTCTAATATCACAAGGGTTAGAGCGCCTGTAATATTCGATAGCAAGCAAGCAGGGGACTTGCGCTCATTATGAGCCCAGAAGCTCGAGGGGCCACAGCAGTCGGGGGATAACCTTGTCGAAAATCCCGGGAATAAGTGCGTTGAGCTCCGGGTCCGGGCCGGCCCGTTCCTCACGCACGTTCAGCACATGTCTGAGCCCTCGCGAGAAAAAGATCTCCCCGCTGTCGCACCACGTGTTATCCTGCGGGATATTTCCGTCGTATGTCACACAGTGGAAACCGAACTTTCCCTCCGGGGACGTATGCCTTGAGTGCAGGAGAACCAGCTTCTTGCAGAATAGCTCCCTTGGCGGGAGGGCATCCAGGTCGAAGTCGTAAAACTTGCACACATAAAAGTGCGCACTGTCGTCATTCTGGAAAGTGCCCCATGTGATGGGTTGGGGGCAAAGACCTGGACTGATGGCGTGGATGGCGGTGATGGACTCGTACTCGCCCTTGAGCGCCTCCCTCCCATCATAGCCAAATGAGACCTAGAATTAGAGTCATGTCAGAACTGGGTAGCCCAAACGCCCACCCATCCCGCCTATGGAACAGCACGTCTTTAGGCGCAAATCTCTGACCTTGACGAAGTAGCTCTCCTGCTTCCCATCTGTCTGTTCCACGATAACCCGACGAGCAGTCGCCCACGCAGAGTCGGCCAGCTTGGCCACACCTAGGACTTTCCACACGGATGGAAGTGCTGCGGTTGAGAGGGTTCGGTCTCTCGTTAGTCCAAAAGCATTGGACTCGCAACGGCGAGGGCTGTCGCTGGGGCCAACCTTTGGGGGTTGCACGGTCAACCTCGCCGTCTTCCTGGAAGCAAGAATCCGCCGGCAATGCAGGAGCGCTCGTTTTGCCTGACTGACAGACCTGCACCCATTTCTTTGCTAGTCGTTTAGGTTCACCAGTCCTTAAGCCCACCAAAGCTCTACTCGGCACTCACGAGAGCATCGCACCTTCCCAGTTGCAACACCATCTGCAGAGGACTTTTGTTCTGAGTAGCCGCCCCGCCGTGAATCAAGTCGAGCTTCACCCGTGAGTCTTCAAGTTCCAGAGCGTTTTAAAATTTTGCTTCGTCGTTGCTCTCCCATGATCGTCGACTAAAACCGGGTTTTTTTTCAGACACCTTCCCCAACACGAGCTCTTCGACTTTTCGTCAAAGCAAGGAATACTCCTTATGGCTCATCAACCTCTCGGGTGCAGGCCAGCAGGCGTTGTGCGCGGCAACCCGGATGTCCCGCCGCCCACGGAGGATCAAGAGGTTCGTTACAGCCGAGCCCCTACCCTGGACGAATAGGCCAAGTTCGTATTGGAATCCGTGACTGACAGGCATTCTAGATCATTGGCGCCGCGGCGGACTGCGAGCTTAGCCCAGCACAGGTCAGTTGCGTTTGCTTCCTTTCTTTTCCAATCTGTTCCAAGCAGCTGACCAACATTTTACTTGTTATTCTAGCTCTGCCTCGCGTGGGCTGTTCAAAGGGGGATTCCTGTGATTCCCAAGGCTGTCCAGGAGAGCCACATGCAAAGCAACCTGGAAGTAAAGCAACTCCCCAAGGATGTTTTCAACGTGGTCAGCAGGCTGGCCGCCGAGAGACAGTGCGGGGCTGTCCGCTTTCTGGCCCGAGCAAGCATCTCGGGTTCGCATCTTCGACGAGGAGCGCGACCAGCCTGAGGCTGACGTCCCTCCGTGGGACTAAAGCTTTGGCAGTCAGGGCAGCTCATGGGTCTCGGAAGACGATTGGTGTGGTCGTCTGGAGGAATCAAGGGAATAGTTTGGCAAGGAGGAGAACGCTTATCATTCTTATGCGCTGGCTTCATTATTGCACTGATATCCTAAAAATTGGCACTGTGGTCATCCTTTCATGCTTCTGCCGCCGCCGCCGCCTCCCTCTCAGCCCGACGTTGCTCAACCCACACTCCAAGCTCCCTCCATATACGCTCCTTCTCGACAAGCGGGAGGGTGGCCGCGAGGCCGCTGGTGCTGGTGGCCACAAACATCCTCGCGCCGCCCCAGTCAGCCGCCCCCTCCGCCTCCTCCATGCCCTCACCCACCAGGTCTGCGGACACAAAGCTGGGGTCGACCGAGTTGGCCGCCGCCACCGCCTTGGCCACGCCGGCGGCGGTGCCCATGTTCTCGCTCTCGGGCTGCCAGCCGTAGCTGAACTCGGTCTTGCGGATTGCGCGGCCGTGGCGGACGCGCCAGACCGACTCCCAGATGCCCTTGCCGACCATGCAGACGGCCTCGGGCCGGAAGCGGCGGGCCTTGGCCTCGAGCACGGCGACTCCCGCGTCGAGCTCGCGGTGGGCCAGCTCGGCGCCGCTGCGGCTGGGGCGGGCCACGATGTTGGTCAGCCCCAGCCGGAAGAGGCGCGGCATGTCGAGGTGCTCGCTCGGGGAGCACAGGCGCGTCGTCATGCCCGACGTGTGCATGAGCCGCCAGAAGAGGTTGGTCGGGTGCGCGTACGCGTGGCCGGTGCGGGCCGTCTGCACGCCCGGGTTGAGCCCGACGAACATGACGAGCAGGCCCGGCGCCAGCGCGTCCGGCACCCCGGAGAGGTGGGCGTAGGTCGACGGCGGCGCGTAGCCGCTGCCGTTCTTGCCGCCGTCCGAGGGGGCTGCGGCGCGCGTCTTTTGCCGCTTCGTCATGATGGCGAGGGAGCGGGCCGAGCGGGCCGCCCCCTTTAGAAACATGGGCGCTAATGATGTGGCGTCCTTGCTTTCATCCTTCTTCTCTGGTGCGTCTTCTGCTGCATCCCCTCCTGTGTCCTCTGTCCTCCTGCGTTTCCGCTCGCTCGGGCCTGCGGTGGAAGGACCGCCAGGCGAGGTCGAGGCCGCTGTCGACTCGCCATCAGGCTTGGCTACTGTCTGTGTCCCTTTCGGGGCTTGAAACCCCAGCAGTCGCGCACTTCTGCGGGTGGCTTGCGGAACGTCTTTGTACGCAAAGTCACCCAGCTTCAAGTGGCCTTTGAAGCTCGGACTGCGGCTGGGCGATGTGGGGAGGGGTTCGTCTTCTGGTTCTGCGGCCATCCTTGAGTTGAGGTGGGCTTGAATATACGAGAAAACACGAAAATATGTGGTACCCAAGCGGGACTTTATCGGTGCGATGCTACCAAGAATTTACTGTTGCAGAGAATGATTTGGGTTCGCCAAGGCCCTGCGGCCTCCCGCCTGCAATTTATAGTGTTTTCAGCCCCAGCCGTCGGAGCGGCTTCTTGCCTCCAGCCTGCTCGGTGCCCTAGCCTCGAAACTGATTAGCCCAGGCAGCCCTAGGCATCAACGCCACATTGAAGCCGACGCGTTGAGCCCGTCTGTTGATGAGATGACACGCGACAGGGCCTGAAGAAACTCCCCTCTGATCGTTTGCATGTTTTTATTCCTTGGTTCCGCACGGGCGCGGGTGTTCGTTGTTCGAGCCCCTGCCCAATCCTGCTGGGAGAACCCGCCACGCCCACCAACCCAATCCAATAGGGGGGTGGCGTGGCGGGGCCCATCCACTGCCGACGTCAGTGGGGGCTGCCCTGAGCAGCTCCCATTCAGCTGGGCTGCCCCTCCAACATGCGGTGTCCCAAAAGCAAGTGCCAGATGGATTCGTTCGTCAGCTTAGTCTCCAGCCAAACGGCGCTGCTAGCCAGAAAGAAACCTCCGTGATCTGCTTAAAGAGGAGGTAAGTCTTGAGCAGTCCTGTCTCCTCCTTTCCGTTCTGTTCCCCCTCATTTCACCGCCACTCGTCGTCAACGAGCTCAACCCCCAGCTGACATCCCTTGATATCAAGTAAACCAAGTAAACAAACTTCCACGAAGCTACGATAATCGCCACAATGGACACCGTCAAGCAAGCCCTCGGTCTTGGTAGCAGCGCCAAAGCTACTCCGCCGTCCGACGAGACGCTAGGCCAGCTGCGCGAGAAGTACACCAAGGCCGGTCAGGACCAGGTCTTCACCTTCTACGACTCCCTCGGCGCCGATGAGAAGGCCGCGCTCTTCCAACAGCTCTCCCAGATCGATCCGGACCACATCAATACGATCACCGACCGTGCCCTCAACCCGCCCCAGACAGATGATGCCGGCAAGGCACCCGTCCTCGAGCCCCTGCCCGACTCGGCCACGGCGAGCATCCTCGACTCTGCCGCGGCTGACGTCGACACCTGGTACGCTTCGGGCCTGGACCTGATCGCCCAGAACAAGGTTGCGGTCGTCCTCATGGCCGGCGGCCAGGGTACCCGTCTGGGCAGCTCCGCTCCTAAGGGCTGCTACGATATTGGCTTGCCCTCAACCAAGTCCCTCTTCCAGATCCAAGCCGAGCGCATCCGCAAAGTCCAAGAGCTTGCGGCCAACAAGGCCGGTGGCGGCAAGGTGGTGGTGCCGTGGTACGTCATGACGTCGGGCCCGACGCGCAAGCCGACCGAGGACTTCTTCAAGCAGCACAGCTACTTTGGGCTGGAGAAGGCCGACGTCATGTTCTTTGAGCAGGGCGTCCTCCCCTGCATCTCCAATGACGGCAAGATCATCCTCGAGGACAAGGGCCGTGTGGCCGTGGCGCCCGATGGCAACGGCGGCATCTACCAGGCCCTCGTCGTGGCGGGCGTGCTCGACGACATGCGCAAGCGGGGCGTGGCGCACATCCACGCCTACTGCGTCGACAACTGCCTGGTCAAGGTGGCGGACCCCGTCTTCATCGGGTTCGCAGCGTCCAAGGACGTCGACATCGCGACCAAGGTGGTGCGCAAGCGCAACGCGACCGAGTCGGTCGGCCTGATCCTGCTCAAGAACGGCAAGCCCGACGTGGTTGAGTACAGCGAGATCGACAAGGAGACTGCCGAGGCGACCGACGCCAAGCTGGGCTCCGACGTGCTCAAGTTCCGCGCCGCCAACATCGTCAACCACTACTACAGCTTCCGCTTCCTCGAGTCGATCCCGCTGTGGGCCAGCAAGCTTCCGCACCACGTGGCGCGCAAGAAGATCCCGCACGTCGACCTGGCCAGCGGCGAGGCCGTCAAGCCTGCCAAACCCAACGGCATCAAGCTCGAGCAGTTCGTGTTTGACGTCTTCCCCATGCTGGAGCTGGCCAAGTTTGCCTGCATGGAGGTCCGCCGCGAGGACGAGTTCTCGCCCCTCAAGAACGCCCGCGGCACCGGCGAGGATGACCCGGACACGAGCAAGCGCGACATCATGCAGCAGGGCAAGAAGTGGATCGAGGCCGCCGGCGCCACTGTGACGAGCGAGGAGACCGATGCCGGCATCGAGGTCTCGCCCCTTATCAGCTATGTGAGCCTTTACGTGCCAATGCCACCCTACATTCTTCGTGTCACTAACCACGTGCTGCTTCGCGATTGGATAGGGCGGTGAGGGTCTCGAGGCGCTCAAAGGGAAGTCCATCAGGGCGCCTGCTCTGTTGAACATGGAGGCCCCCTGATTAAGTCCGAAGCTTTCTCGATTCTGTTGTAGCAGGCCTCTAAAATCAGGTGATGGTGTCGGTCTGCGGGAAGGACCACCATTGTTTTTAAAATGTTCCGGGACACCTGATGTTTATGAAATGATGAAAATTCGTGCCATACGGTTCGATATGTGATTAGATGGGTCACAACTAGCCTCTTGGTAGCCCAAATATCAAGCGCGATGATGACCATGACATGTTCTCATTACTTGACCAAGCATACGTATCGGAAATGCCATGTTTTGCAAAGCAGGTAGGTAACGCAGCCCAAATTTGTCTATCGTCATTACATTCTATGAAGAGTGTATACCTATCTATCCTTGCAGTATCGATCTATGCGCAGGGCGCAGACATTGTCAGATACGCCAGAAACTCCATGATGAAGCAAATCCGAGTCTATCCAAGGGCCCGACTAGCCCAATAACGGCAGATGGGGGTTACTGTTTCTGCCCACCCTTCGCTAGACTCTCGGCAGCTCAGATTCTCTGGATAGGCTTCGTCTTGGGCTTCTCCTCATCCCCGAACGCCTCAGTGCCCGAGCCGCCGCTGTTGAGGAAGCTCAGGTAACAGTTCCAGCCAATGGAGATGACGTTGACAAACAGCACGCGGTGGTGCAGCGGCACGAACTTGAAGCTGCGGTAGGGGTAAGACCAAGGGTCCGGTGGTTAGCTTCTGCTCCAGTCCGGAGTATACTATCGATCGGCACTAGAAAAAAAAAGGGAAAACTTACTTGACCATCTGGACAAAAGGCCAGAGCATGTAGTTTGCCGTCAGGGCGTTGAAGTAATTCTTCTGCAGCTTCTCCTTGGGGCTCCCGCCCTCGAGCACGGCCATGCTGCTGAGGAAGATGCCGATGAAGGTCGGGGCGAACAGGCCCTGGTCGACGGCGACGCGGGCCGCGATGGTGGCGTTGGCGCTCTTGAGCACCACGCGCTGCTGCAGTATCTTGAACCACGTGGTGGCCGCGGGGCCGAAGACGGCTTTTTTTTTTGGTCGGGGGACCCCAGTGTCAGTCAAACAGCCCAACGACGGGGGGAAAGAGAGAAAAAAACAAAACAAGAGGAAAAACGCAACACTATTCCTCAATCGCTAAGGAGTTGGTGGGTGGGCTCCTCACCTCCGCCGTAGAGGAACATGCGCCCCGTCCGGGTCAGGTCGTGCTTCTCGACGCCCCGCTTCTCGACCAGCTGCTGGGCCGTGATGTCGCCCGTGGCGAAGAGCACCGCCGTGGTGATGCTCTGCGTCAGCAGCGGCCGCGCCGCGAGCCTGGCCTGGTACCTGCGTTGGCGGCGGGGAGGGCGATTTGTCAGTGGGCCGTTGTCTATATTGATGAGGCAGCTGCGACCGCGGGTCGTAAAAAGGGCGGCGTGGCTCAAGATCCGGGGTTTTCAACATACCACGCGAACACCATCTTTGATGACTGGGGGTTGGTTCTTGGATCCTTTAGTTTGTTTCCGAGGCCCCAACTCGGTCCGGGTGCTGTCGATATGCGAGTCGCGTGCTTGATGGGAGCCGCAATTGGGTACCAAGGCTGAAAACCCTAGCACTGATAAAAAAAAATATCGGCTTGTCCCGATTCCAGCCTTCCTTTTTTTTTTCTTTTTTCCACCTCAGCATGCACTTTGCCGGTCACACGATACGAAAACAAACACAGAACCAACACACCGATATTCTTCCTGGTCCTCGATTTCCCCGAACGCCTAGAACGCCCAGAAATGCCGGACAAGTCCTTTCGGACCTTGTGATTGAAATTTCGACGGTCTCGAACGGGGGGGCCGAAAAGGGTTGGGATTTGCGGGTGAGACCCGCTCGGAGCGGCCTTTGGCCTCGCCCCAGTTGCAGCCTTGTCCAAACGCCCGTCTGGCCCGGCTGGGTGCCGCCGACCGAGTCATGAACCACTGCCGTCAATCCGGGCAGCCTGCGTCTGGTCATTCGCTAAGCTCCCGAGATCTGGGTGCCCGCCGCCCGCTGCTTCCACCCGGGCCGCGCCAGGATTGGGACAGTGCAGGCGTCTGTCCCCTCCGAAGACCAGAGTCCGCGTACATTGTTCCCCATCAGTCTTGATCTCTTCTTGCCTGGGGCTGATTGATATCTCGTGGCAGGTGACTATGTTGACCTTTTACGACTGGACGAACAAGCCAACAGGGTCGAGATGCTGAGAAAACCCTTCGTCAACAGTGGTCATGTATTCCCAAGCGGCTAAAGGCGGCAAGATATCGTCTTCTTCCTACCACTCGCACCCCTCCTTGGATCAGAGTTGGTCTAATCATCCCAGCGAGTGACGGCTATCCCAGTTGCCATTCGGCACAACCTGGTGGCAGAGATCAGCCCGAACGCTGTTTCCATGCCACCGACAGCATGGTGTATCCCAAGACCTTCGGCAAATCCAGACGCGGGACATGGAACATTCTCAGCTCCCCGTTACCAAGCCCCCTCTCTGTCCAGGCGACGGGTAGGTACCTGCCAACCAATCACCCTCACACCCATCTACCCACTTGCGAGCGAGCGAGCGAGCGGGGTGTGCTTCTAATTACGCAGCGGCCACAGGCCTCTCCGCGGACTTGTTTGTCCTTTCGCAAACGCTGCCGGGGATCCGGGAGCGGGTACGGAAGGCTGACAGGCCGGGGAGCGAGTTTGTAAGTCACGCCACACTGCATTGCCGGCAGATGGGCATGCTTGTTTCTTCGCACGCGCTCTCAAACCCCCCCATCCCCCATGCTCTCCTCCTGGAAGCTTCGCACCGATGACTCCACCTGCTCTTCCACGAGAGTCCCCAGGGTCCAAGCCCGCGCATTCTCCTGCAGGAAAGCGCCCTGGGTGAGCTGATAGGGGAAGAAGCGATCGAGATTGAACGTTGTCGGTCGGTCGGCGGTGATGAGCTGGAGCCTCGGGTGGTGAGAGACGCACATAACCGAGTAGAATCCCACAATCTAACCGTAGTCGCCAAAAAAGACACCCTTGCGCCATCGTCGGCGCATGCGCATAGGTCTCGCCGCGAGCACCTAATCTCGGGCGGGATGTCATCCGTCCCCCAAAAGCACCTGATTTTGTTCCCATCCCCAATCGGCTTCCGGGTTACTTTTTAGTCTCTTTTTTTCTGGGGTACCTACCTGGGTCCTGGGATAAGGCTCACATACAGTTTAGGCGACGGCGACGGTGCAAGGGGGGAAGAAAGGGGGCGTGCGGGCCGCGCGATCGATGCGAGGTGGTTCGATTCCGAGCTGTCAAACGAAACAAATGGCCTGATGGACGTGGGCGCCAAGACGCCCGCCCGCGGAGATGCTGGGGGGGAAGGAGGCTTCCTTTTGAAGTGTGGAGAGGACCACCATTCCACCGCCGCATCGACCCGACCCCCTTCTTCGCTTCCTTGTGTTGACCGCACACGCCCCGCGCGTCATGTGCGACGAGGAGGTGACAAGTCAAAAGCGCCAGCGACAATGGAGCCAAACAATGTTGACGCCTAGGTTCTTGCTGTGGCTCGTGCAGTGTACTTTTGGGGGTGTTGAGGGCCAGGTGCTTCGCGTGGCAGGTTGCGACCTCGAGCGAGGCTCAGTGCGGGCCTGCGTCCCTCTCCCGCACCCATCCCGGGTTCCGCGGGACTGGTATCGAGGCAAGAGCCATTCTTAGCGAAAGCTTCTTCCTTCTAGCGTGCTTACTCCTGTCACCACAAAAGGAAAAGCATCATTCATCTCGACGATAAACTCAGGTCATCCTTGCTCTCCTGTTTTTCCCAGATTCATCAGTCCTGCCGGTCCCATGATTTTCGGATGGCCGGCAGGGCAAACAGACGGGAGTGCCTTGCATGCAGTGCATGCAGCGGGTTTCGGGGCCCGGGATCCAAGTGCCAGGGGAAACAGCAACAGGCAAGAACCGCCCATTTGGGGCAGGTCTTCGCCGTGTGGTACCAGACTGCCGCTGGTGGGTGATAAAGAGCGGGCCCTGCCACTTTGGAACGGCTGGCGTTTGGGAGCCATGTTGCCCCAGGAACGGCCGGGCGGCAACATCATATCCGGCGCACTTGCCCCTCGGATTTTGCCTAGGAGGGCTAGGCTGCTTGGTTTATTTTGCCGCCTTGCCTCAAATGTCGAGCAAAGGGAATTAGATGGTTTGGGGGGAACGACAAACGACAAAAGAAAGGGATGAGATGAGTTGCGACCCGAAGCCAACACCCACGTTGGATTACCTCAGCTAGAACTAAGAGGCTCTGCAATTCATCGGTTTTCACATCAGACGACCAATGAGATCAAAATCGAACAACTGAGCCATCAGAAGAATTCAGTCATGTGAAGGAAATGGGGGACACTGGCTTTACAAATACATTGTTATAAGAGATATGCATCAGGATATGCATCAGTTCGTATTGACGTAGTAGAAGAGTTTATGACTGTGATGGTGAAAAAGGGAGAAGATGCGCAAAATACTGAAGTAAGTAGGTATATATGACGAAGAGTCATGGGCTATCAGGATCCCAAGGGTCATGGAGGAAAAGATAAAACATGTGAAGAATATAGGTAGAAGGCGGTGGAGGGAGATGCTGCCTGCTGAGGTCAAGTGTGAATAAACGGTCGCTTTCCGGCGTGGATTGCCCGTTCGCGCTCATCAAAGGCCAGGGGGTGAGTTTTAGTACAGCGGGAGGGCTGGAGAAGAAGCAAATCCAAGGTATTTTCGTGCAATAAGACATAAACTGCAAGCAAATGAAGTCAGACCAAAACATACAGGCTGTGTTGTGTCAACAAAAAAAATCTGCTTAAATGCATCAAGCAAAAAGGGTTCTTTCCAACTGCCCCCATCGCTGCGCCCACTTTGGCTGGGAGCCATTCCGTCACCCTCGCGCTTCTCCCGGTCACAAATTTTGGAATATGGGTGGGTGGGCCTTGGTGGCATTACCACAGGTATATTGAGGATATTGAGTTTCCAAAATTGCAAAGGGTGGATTTGTTGGCGTTAAAATTGCCCAAGAATAATAAGAGAGCGGGACGCAAGACGCCCAGTTTAGAAGTGCTCCTTCCAGAAGCGGAAGTCCACCTCCCGTACTGTGGCGGAATCGCATGCCTTCTTGATGTCGCGAGCTGGAGGAGAAGGAAGTCAGTACACCAAACTTGAGCAGAGGCCGATGATGTGTAGGTGAGGAGAGATGGCGTGAATACATACCGGCTGCCGTAGGACCGCAGAAGTAAACTCCGACCGTGGTCTTCATGCTACCCTCCAGGCCAGTGAGGTAAGTCCTGTCGAGGATACCGTCACGAAGCGAAGCGAATAGCCTGGGGAAGTTGGGACGACCAAAGTTGGTGCGGGCCTTGAGCTCAGTCAGGGGATCCAGCGATGCACCAACCGAGTTGAGCACAATGTTCTGCGTCGTGTCCATGTCGAGCTTCTGGGTCAGGTAGGTGTGGATCTTCAGGAACTCGATACCGTTACCGCCCGGTAAACGGGCAGCCTCGGACGACTGCTGCTCAAGAGACGAGAGCAGGGTTTGGAACCACTCGAAGGAGCTGGTGTCCTTGCAAATCCAGAAGAACTCGACACGGCGGAGACGGGTCGGGGGGTTGGGGCCGTTGCGCAGATGCCAGATGTTCTTCAGGATAGAGGCCCAAGGCGTCACACCAATACCAGTACCGACCAGGACGGCGATTTCGTTCTCGAACACGTCTTCGGCGGGGGCACCATAGGGACCGTCGATACGGAGGTAAGGCATCTGCTGACCGTTCTGCAGGGCGACTTCGTACATGCCCATGGGGTCCACACCCTCGTACAGCTTGGCCTGCGCAGCACCGGCACCGACCGCGTCACCGAGAGCCTTGGTGAAGTCGCCGACCTGCCTGACGTGGACCGAGACGTAGGGGTCATACGGGCAGGAAGTGATGGTAAAAGGATGCCACTGGTACTTGGACACGGCAGGCACCTGGAGGAAGAGCCACTGGCCGGCCTTGTAACGGAACGAGGGCTTGGAGAACTGGATCTCGACGACATCTGGGCAACAAGAGTTAGTAAACATGGCACGAGTGAGAATGTAAATGGGGCCATGGCTCCGCAAAACTTACCATATGGGTGGCGAACAACACGAGTAATCTTGGTCTCACGGCGGGCACGGATCTCACGGTACAGGCGCTCGATCAGGTAAAAGCCACCAGTCCAGAGCTCCCACTGCCAACCCTGGTATCCGATACAGTGCTTCCAGAACTGGTCCATATCAAACGGGGAGATGGGCTCGACAGTGTCGCGCACGAAGCAGCCGGTAGTGTGGGTGTACAGGCCAAGGAAGAACGGGATGAAGAGGTGGTGGGTGTACCAGAAGGTCTCGAACGATTGCTGGCGGATGCGGGCGTGGGCCGTCGTGTACATGAGCAGCATGCACAGGAGCATCATGTGCCCAGTAGCGCCACCAGGTTGCGTGTAATGGATCTGGAGCGCAGTCTGGGCACGGATCTGGTTCTTCTCCACGTTGAAGAAGCTGCGAGTGTTGGGATGGTTAGTCGCCTTGCTAGTGCTTCACTCTGGCGCTCAGCACTTCGCCGCAGACAGGAAGGAACTTACTTGACGTAGTGACCGGCGGTGTGGATGGCGGTGAAGAGAAGCATGGCATAGGCGACCTGACGATGGAACCAGATGTTCTCGTCGAAAGGAATAAACCTGACCTTGGGCCGGATCCACCTCATGATCGTCCTACACACAGGAAGCAGAATAATCATGCCATCGACTGAGAGCACCAGACCAGCGCCTCGAGAAATCCACACGGAGAACGTGAGGGTGTTGAGCGGCGCCAGCCTAGCATCTGCGTTCTGCTTGTACCTGGATCAAGAGGACGACAGATTAGCGAGTCGGTCAAATCGCAAATTAGAGCACCAGAGACCGTTGTTCTCCCTTACCATCCATAGGCGAAGATGGCCCAGTGAAAGCTCCAGAAGAGGACATTAAAGGCGAGCTTCTGTGGGGTGAATTGCTTCCCCAGTGTGTGTATGAACTCGCCCATTTTGGCGGTAGTTCCTCCTCTTGTCTATCCGGACCGGTTGTATTAGGTGTCGACCTGCGACAGTGCAGACGTCTCTGTCGACCGAGGAGCCGGAGGCCGGTCGGCCAGTCGGGAGTGGGAAGCAGCAGTGGCTTTGTCGGGGTTCGGTAAAAGAGCGGATTCTGTCGTCGTCGGTGGCGCGCGCGCAAGACTCGTTCCAAGCCCGATGTTCTCCTCTCAATACCCGAGCAAGTTCCTTCTCTTTTTCTCCTATCCTCCCCCTATTACAATGTAGGTAAATGTTTCCGACACCGTAAAACGAACAGGCAGGCGGCGACGGCGATGAAAAGGAAGAACGAGAATAAAGTTGGAGAAGTCGACTCCGGTAATATAAAGAGCGATCTGAGCCAGCAGCGAAGGGAATGGAAAGGAAGGGTTGGGGGACCTGGGGCTCAGGAAACAACCACATCAACAGAAAGAGAGGAAGAGACCTGGAGAGCCGCAGCGAGGAGGGTGGGCACAAAGATCATAAAGGAAAAGCAGAGACAGGGTGTGGACCTGTCAGCCGAACGAGGGCTACGAGGCGGGGCCGAAGGCAGGGGGGGCACAGATGGACGATGGTGGAGAGGGCGAGTGATGAGGAATCGGGACTGGTGTGCACCGTGCAACCCGTTCGGGTGTCAGCCGACCATGAAACCTCCAAATCCCAACTGGTATTTCTTTCACAACGGATTCGCACGAGCAGCCCAGTGGCAGCACGCGGGTGTGAAGGTTGACGACGGGGGGGGGGGGGGGGGGGGGGCGTGAGGTGTCCACGGGCGCAGGCTGGCCAAGGTTTGTGGCCGCTGGGATGGAAGCAGGGGGAGGGAGACTGCTGGCTGTCTGGTATTTTGCCTGGTCTATTTTTTCCTTCTGTTCTTCTTCTTTCGGACCCTCGCGCGAGTCGGACGGGATAGGGGTGGTCGGTTCCTGGGCAGGGAGTGTGGGTGGGCAAGCGACGAGGCTTCTCTTCGATGTGGCCAGCGACGGCGGCCTGCAGGCGTCAGGGATTATGCCCTCTTGGCGCAAAGGTTGATCAGACGCTGGAAGGAGTTTCGCACCGGCGGTGGGCCTGTGTCAGGAGCTGGTCCGATCGAGGCCGACACCGTGGTTGGAGTTGAGACGAGCCGTGTCGGAGGCGCTTTGATGAGGGGCCTCTGGCCGCTACGCTGGTGTTTCAGCTGCGACAGGGGGCTAAAAGATGCTTAAACCGGCGACCAAACCGCAAAGGCAATAGATCCGATTGAATCCCGGATCGTTTCCTGTCATCGACCGCGCGCCATGGGATTGAACGGACGAGAGAGAAGCGTGCAGCTCTACCGTCCTGTGTCGTCGTCGCGCGTCCTTTTGCAGTTGTAATAGCCTTGTCCAAAACCTGGGGTATCGGCACACCAAAAACCTCATGCACCATCTATTTAGGTTGGGCAACGCGACCATCGAACCATTGAGCCCCAGTTGCACCATCAATTGGGGGGACCTGCGCCGCTTTTCTGCACGCCGTCGCCTGCCCCACCAATCACTGCTATTGGACAGGCGCCGGGGCCTGCCTGCATCCATCGCGCAGCGATGGATGCGGCACACCAACCACGGCCAAGAATAGGCTGCGGCCCAGGATGGCGGCGATGACGGGCGCTTATTAGCGTGTGCAGCAGTGCAGCTGTCAACAACGGCATCGCCCAAATGGGCCTGGCACGTTCGCAGGATCGAATCGAAGACGATGGTGGGCGGGCTGGCGTCGCAACAGGTCGGCAATCCACCCTCGCACACCTTCTCTCGTAGCCGTTTGTTCTGCTGGCCCCTGGTCCCCTCCTCGTGGGTTGGTCTCGTTCCGAGAAGGAATCAAATGTCCGGGGCGCTTGGCTGCACGGCGGCTGCAGACGACGAACGACCCAATCTCATGGGTCGTCAGCTCGCTACCTCTCACCGTGGCTGAAGCGTGGGTTGTGTGCCCTTGGCCGGCCACCCTGGCCCACCGCCACTCCTGCGAGTCTCAGATTTCTCTATCCGACTGGGGCTCGACGGCAAACTGTAGCACACATAGGTATCAAGCAATAAGTGGCTCTCTCCACCGCCCGAGGCTCGCCTATGAAGCTGGTTTTGAACAAGGCCCCCTTGGCTCAAACGATGGTCGCCTCCCGGAAATTCGCCATAGCCGGGCCGGTGAGGTAAAGTGTGGTCGGACTACAGAGCATGCTGGCTTGCCTGCCCTGCCGTCATCCCATCCATGCTCGTAAAACGGTTGTGTGGTGGGCTAGAATACATACGATGTGCTCTGCGAGCAAGTGGCCAGGCTGTTTCGCCGATCTCTGCGTCCCCTCAGCGCTGCAGAGCCCACGCAACCAGATTTGCGTGCACAGAATTAGTCTGCCAGCTGTCGATCGGAGGGAATCGCCCTCGATTGGTGCACGTTTAGCGTTGGCGGTAACCCATCACTATCGCGTGGGAGCCGCAGCGTCCCCCTAGCTCTCTGTGGAAGCTTTTTGCTCCTTTTTGCACGGGGCTCCGCAACTCTAATTTCTCCAAAGAGCGTCCAATCTGCGTATCCCCACGCGGCTCCTCCGATGGCCCAAGACGTGCGTCCGTGCTCTCCGAAAGAAGAAACAACAGAGACCATGCAACAGGGGCTGGAGACCCTGGAAGTCCGATAACATGCAGCCGACTGTCTGCCTTTGCTTTGTCTTCCCACCAGGCAGCAAGACACACGCCCACCCCCAGCCTAAAGGCGGTGCGACCGTCTCCATGATAGCTCTGTTGGGCCTGCTGAGTACTTGGGTGTCCACCTAGGTTGGTTAGTTGCAGTAAGTAACGAACCACCAAAGGCGCAACGAGGAAACATCCGCCTTGAATCAAAACGCCGCCGACACAGACATATAGGATTTACCTAGTCCTATGAGGTGGGGAGTCGGGGTCGGTAGGGGTGGCATCGGCAGTGTTGGACGAACTCGCAAAATGGAATAGGGGAAAAACCAAACTATCTCGACCATCCAATGTCCACAACCTGGGTACGCTTGGCTGCTGCTAGGACCTCTCTATGCCTTGCACCACCCGTCATGTCGGTGTGGGAAAGATGTATTTTATCCCGTCGTCCGGATGCAAGTTCATCAGGGGTAGCGAATTAGGGATCTCGTCGTCGAGCCGCTCCAAGTTCCATCATCTCGCGCGGAGTCAGATCTGGGTTGGTTAGGAGGAGCTGGAAATCTTTCCAACGGCGGGCACGGGGTCGAGGTTGCCGCCGATCTGACCCGCCCAACGGCGGTAAATCGCAGATTCCCATCCTTTTGCCCCCTAAAATTGCATTCTGGTTTCAAGAATCCCATCTCCTGGCCCGCCTGGCTCAAACCGCGTGGCTGTCTTGTGCAGCACACTGTGTGGGGCTGACTTCTCCTGATGAGGGGAAACGCCAAAAGGGCCCGACTAGGGATGTCCCTGTGAAACAGTCGGGGCGAAACACCTTGGTGCAGCCTTGGGCGCAAGATTCCCACTCGAGAGGGCGCTAGTCTTGCGGCCACGACTGGTGTGGTTTCGCGTGCTGCACGTCCGGGGATTTTTTGTTCTTTTTTTTTCATGTTCTCCGAGGGCGCCAGTAGCCATCTAGGTTGTAACCCAAGGTACCATCCGTCCTACCTAGAGCCGCCCACATGTATGATCGCTAGCGCCAGCCGACGCCGGCAAGTCTCGTCTCAGCCATGTGCATCTCTTCCTTCGAATCATGGGAAAGTGAGGGAAAACCGCCCCTGAGCTCAGAATACCATCCGGCTTCCGCCCCGCGGTCCCGCCCCCATGCTGCTACGCTGGCGGAAGCGCTGGCGGCGCCATGTGCTAAGCCCTGCAGCCGAGCGAGGGTGTTTACTAAGGTTAACCGATGATGTGTCTCACCATCGCAGAGGTGATCGGCCATGGACTCGTCAGGTTGAGAGAACCCTATCGCTCTGTGCTGGGCGCCAAGTGATCAAGCAGGGCCCTCCTGTCGCGGCCCCCGGGCGAGCGTGGACGAGAGCTGGTTTGAGGCTTCCTGACTCCCTCCGATCCCTATTCCCCAGATGCGTGGGCAACTTGGCCCAGCCTGTCACGGCGATCGAGTTGCGAGACACGACTGGGCGCCGCCTCCATGAAGGAGGCGCCGCTCCAGGAACAGGGGTGACGAACGTCTTGGCAACGGGCGGCTGGAGAAGTCTCAACTGGGGGGATCGTCAAGAAGGCCCAGCTGCGCATCGCAGAGCCCCCGACTGGTGCTTTCCGGCGAAGCGTTCGCTGCTTAAGATACGAATCGACACATCCACCTGGCTCCCTTGTCTCTCCATGGTGATCTGAGTACCATGACATAGGAAGGGAATGGTAGGCCTATTGTTTTGCGTGGCCCGAGCCAATATGAATGATGGGCGTCAGAACTTTTGATCGATGTCTGTCTGTCTGTCTAGCTGCCTGCCTGGACTAGATCTTCTGTTTCTGTGGTCTCTCTCCTGTCATGTCGATAGCCCATACTGCCATCTGCCAACAAGCATGCCCGCCCTGTCTTGACTTCATGCTCTGAACGGGTATGCACAGAACTGCCCATAAACATAGAATTCACAGATAGGTTCTCTATGCCATGAAGCCAAGGACTAAGTAATGTTGCATGCTCGAGATACCTGCAGCCAAATACGACGATAGGAGTGGAAGACTGAGCATGCACACAAATCTACTTCTAACCACGCCTCGAATAGTTACTGCATGCCATGAAGTACCAGGTAATGATGCAAGCTTTAGATACCCACTGTGCCACTGTTGAACAGAATGTGTAGTAGTGGATGGTTGAAGGCACAATAAACTTGGCTTACACGAGACTTTTGATCGGTAGACATCAGTACTTCCGTACGCCCGGACATCTCCAATAATAATGAAAAAGGACATGTTATGGGTTGTAATGAAGGAGAATATAACTCCATGTAGGGCAGAATGTGTATTGGAAGAAATTAGTAGATGACGCTTTTCTCTTGTATTTTTTCCCATTCCCTTCCCTACCTAGGTATTTTACCTTTTTTGCTATTCGCTTTCGACTAGGCAAGGCAAGGGCAAGTGGCAAAATGAAGACATGTAACTAATGGATACGTAGACGCTTACCATCAAGCATGTTGGAAACAAAAGATGGAATGAAAATACCGACAGCTGTCTGTGGGGCCGGACCGAAGCGTCGAGAGTGCGGAGTGGGTCGCAACCGGCGCACGGCGGACACAAGGTCAAGGACGGATACCGGCATGTGCGAGCGGCCGTCATCGGCCCCGCCACATCCTGACGCGGCATTGGAATCACGGCGCCAATGACTGTGGCTGTGCGACGCGGGCGACAAAGCTTTCGGTTGGATGCCACGTCGGGGTGTGGCGTAGCCACGTGTGGCCGGGAGGCGCAGTAAGCATTGGCGGGCAGAGAGGCCGCTAGGTGGGGCAATTCGTCACTGGCAAGGGCACGCGCAAGGCCCTTGCTTCATCCATCCCGGCGCCAGTCAGGCACCGGCGAAAGTTGGACGTTTCGTAAGTGACGAGGCGAAGCCATCTCTCACCGACCGACCAGCCGACTCACCACGAACCACTGCCACAGCCTGGCCACCCACCCCCGCGCAAACACTCCAAACAAACTGTCGGAACCACCATTGACTGGCCACTCATCCTCATCATTAAAGCGACTCCAGCGACTCTCTGCGAGCAGGCCAAACACGCCCAGGCTAGCCATTCCGGCCCGAAGGAAGCTCAGCTACCCCTGCCCGCCATTGCTGCTGTAGCCGCGACCACAATACGAGGGGAAACCCGCCATGGTGAGTGCAGCCCTGCGAGTCGCAATTGCTCCGGGCGCTGTCGCCTTGCTGACATGCCCGCTCGCGCTCCAAGGCGATCACGCGGCGAGGGAAGGACAAAGCCGCCAGGCAGGAGCGCGCCGCTGCTAGCGGCGGCTCAGGCGCTGGCGGCAGGCCCCAGAAGGCTACGTTCGACACGGGCAAGAAGAAGGAGATTGGCGTCTCGGATCTCACCCTGCTGAGCAAGGTGTCGAACGAGGCTATCAACGAGAACTTGAAGAAGAGATTCGAGGGCAGGGAAATCTACACATATATCGGCCATGTGCTGGTGTCGGTCAACCCGTTCAGGGATCTCGGCATCTACACGGACCAGGTGCTCGACAGCTACAAGGGCAAGAACCGCCTCGAGATGCCACCGCACGTCTTCGCGATCGCTGAGTCGGCCTACTACAACATGAAGGCCTACAAGGACAACCAGTGCGTCATCATCTCGGGCGAGTCTGGTGCGGGAAAGACCGAAGCTGCGAAGCGCATCATGCAGTACATTGCCAATGTGTCGGGGGGCGAGGGTGGCGACATCCAGCAGATCAAAGACATGGTGCTGGCTACCAATCCCCTACTGGAGTCTTTCGGCAACGCCAAGACGCTGCGGAACAACAACTCGTCGCGCTTTGGCAAGTATCTGCAAATACACTTCAACGACCTGGGCGAGCCTGTTGGTGCCGACATCACCAACTACCTGCTAGAGAAGACGAGGGTGGTTGGCCAGATCACGAACGAGCGCAATTTCCACATCTTCTACCAGTTCACCAAAGGCGCCTCGGACAACTACCGCCAGATTTTCGGTATCCAAAAGCCTGAGACGTATCTGTACACTAGCAGGTCAAAGTGTCTCGATGTTGATGGCATAGACGACTTGGCTGAGTTCCAGGACACACTGAACGCCATGAAAGTCATTGGTCTCTCCCAGGAGGAACAGGACAATGTCTTCCGTATCTTGGCCGCCATCCTGTGGACGGGCAACCTGGTCTTCCGCGAGGGCGACGACGGGTACGCGACTGTCTCGGATCAGTCCGTGGTCGACTTCTTGGCCTACCTGATGGAGGTTGACTCCCAGCAGTTGATAAACGCCATCACCATCAGGATACTTACACCCAGAGATGGAGAGGTCATAAAGTCTCCCGCAAACGTTTCGCAGGCCACGGCGACCCGCGATGCGCTGGCCAAGGCTCTGTACAACAACCTGTTCGATTGGATCGTGGAGAGAGTAAACCAGTCGCTCAAGGCTCGACAGCAGACGACCAACACGATTGGTATCCTGGACATCTACGGGTTCGAAATCTTCGAGAAGAATAGTTTCGAGCAGCTGTGCATCAACTATGTCAACGAGAAGCTGCAGCAGATCTTCATCCAACTCACCCTCAAGACGGAGCAGGAGGAGTATGCGAAGGAACAGATCAAATGGACCCCTATCAAGTACTTCGACAACAAGGTCGTGTGCGAACTGATCGAAAACATCCGGCCGCCTGGAATCCTGTCGGCCATGAAGGATGCCACAAAGACGGCGCATGCCGACCCTGCCGCCTGCGATCGCACATTCATGCAGAGCGTCAATGGCATGTCACACCCACATCTCACGCCGCGCCAGGGCAGCTTCATCATCAAGCACTACGCCGGCGACGTCGCGTACACCGTCGACGGAATAACGGATAAGAACAAGGACCAGCTGCTGAAAGGCCTGCTGGGCCTGTTCCAGTACAGCCAGAACCACTTTGTGCACACTCTGTTCCCCAACGAGGTCGACCAGGACAACCGAAAGCTGCCGCCGACCGCTGGTGATAGGATCCGCACCTCGGCCAACGCGCTCGTCGAGACCCTCATGAAGTGTCAGCCATCATACATCCGGACAATCAAACCCAACGAGAACAAATCCCCGACCGAGTACAACGTGCCCAACGTTTTGCACCAGATCAAGTATCTTGGGTTGCAGGAGAACGTTCGCATCCGCCGCGCAGGCTTCGCCTACCGACAGTCCTTTGAGAAGTTCGTCGATCGCTTCTTCCTCTTGTCACCCGCGACCTCGTACGCGGGCGAGTACACATGGCAGGGCTCGTACGAGGCCGCTGTGAAGCAAATTCTCAAGGATACTAGCATCCCACAGGAAGAGTGGCAGATGGGTGTCACCAAAGCTTTTATCAAGTCGCCCGAAACGCTTTTCGCTCTGGAGCACATGCGTGACCGATACTGGCACAACATGGCTACGCGCATCCAGCGCATGTGGAGGGCGTACCTGGCCTACAGGGCCGAGTCTGCCACTCGCATCCAGAGGTTCTGGCGGAAGAAGAGGACCGGGGCCGAGTATTTGCAGCTGCGGGATCAGGGACACTCGGTGCTACAAGGACGCAAGGAAAGACGTAGATACAGTCTGCTCGGCTCCCGGCGCTTCCTCGGCGACTACCTGGGCATCAACGCCTCGACCGGCCCAGGCTCCCACATTCGCACCTCGATGGGGCTGGGCAGCAATGAGAAGGCCGTGTTCTCGTGCAGGGGTGAGATCCTGGAGGCCAAATTCGGTCGCTCGAGCAAGCCTAGCCCTCGGATGCTCATCGTCACGAACAGCAAGTTCTACGTTATTGCGCAGATGTTGACTGGAGGCCAGGTCCAAATATCGACGGAAAAGGCGATTCCCCTTGGCGCCATCCGATTTGTTGGAGCATCAACTTGTCGTGACGACTGGTTCTCGCTCGGAATCGGGTCGCCACAAGAAGCAGATCCGCTCCTCAACTGTGTGTTCAAGACAGAGCTGTTCACCCACATGCAGAAGGTCATGCCCGGAGGATTCAACCTTAAGATCGCCGAGTCCATTGAATATGCCAAGAAGCCTGGGAAGATGCAGTTGGTCAAGGTTCTCAAGGACTCACAGTTACCCGTGGACTACTACAAGAGTGGAGGGGTGCACACGCAACAGGGCGAGCCTCCAAACTCGGGCTCGCGTCCGACACCACAGGGAAAGCCTGTGCCGGCGCGACCCATTACTCGGGGCAAGCTCATCAAGCCTGGCGGCCCGAACGGGCGTCCATCGAGGGCGACGGCGAACCGCACGCCCCAGGCCCGACCCGCGGTTACACCTGCGGCTGCAGCAGTGTCATCTCGGCCCGTCCCGCAGCCCCGCGCACAGGCAAACCCCGTGGTCATGCCCGCGGCAGCCACGGCGAGCATACCGGTGCGCGCTGCCCAGCCGACCGCGTCTGCCGTCCGCGCGCCACCTCCCCCTCCCCCGGCAGCCCCCCCTGCCAAGGCCAAAATCATGGCCAAGGTGCTGTACGACTTTGCTGGACAGAAGGAGAATGAGATGTCCATCGAGAAAGGGGAACTGATCGAAGTTGTGCAAAAGGAGAACAATGGTATGTTTTGTGACAATACTTTTTCTTTGCCTGCCTTAGGGGCACCGATCCGGCGAGCGGTGTTTGGCTAACTCACTCTTTTTTCCGTCTTTAGGTTGGTGGCTGGCCAAGAAGGGAGATCAACAGGCTTGGGTGCCCGCCGCATATGTCGAGGAGCAGAAGCAAGCTCCCCCACCCGTGGCTGCCCGAGCGCCTCCGCCGGCGCCGCCTGTGCAGAATGGGGCAGGGAGAGAGAAGCCACTGCCGCCCGCGAAACGGCCAGCTGCGGGCAAGAAGCCCGTCAACCTACAGGCTCGCGACTCTGGCATGAGCCTGAACGGATCTGACAGCAGCCGCAGCAACACGCCGACGCCCAGCCTGGCTGGAAGTCTTGCGGACGCGCTTCTGGCCCGGAAGAACGCAATGGCCAAGAAGGACCATGACGACGATTGGTGAAGATGCGGCGTAGCAGCCCTTGTTTTTTTTTTTTTTTTGCGGTTTTGTTTCTTGTTCGTTTCGTCCATAGGCTCGCTCAGTCTGACTAGCTCCAGGGTTCGAGATGCATTGTAGATAGGTTATTTAGAGCAGCCCCCGCGTTGGTTCCCGCTCGTGGGCGGTAGAAATTTTCATGATGTTGTTTTGGTGTGATCTTTGGCATAGAGATGCTCGGCTGACGTATGTCGAGAGAATGAACTTGATTTATCCAAGCGGAATGTATACATTTTCTATCAGGTGACAAAAACTATCATGTGTCTTTATCCTGCGTCGCAGCTCGTCTTCTGCGGAGCAACTCCGCAATGGGGACATCGTCCTCCTCCTCGGCGTCCTCGTCGACGCCAAAGTCCCGCAGCCGATCGCCATCGGCGTTGGTCCAGCCCGGTTCGCCATCCATGCCCTGCTCGTAGTAGCCGCCGTCCTCGTCGCCCACCTCGCCCCCCTGGTCCCCGGGGTAGTCGCCGTCGAGCACCTCTAGGCCCTCGTGCTCCTCCAGCTCGGCGATGATGCCCGACGGCTGCTGGCTCCACCCCTTGCGGCGCCGGAGCAGGTCGCGCTCCTGCCTGGCCCTGAAGGCGGCCTTCATGTCCTCGGGGCTGGAGCAGGACGCGGCCGTGACCGCGTCCCCCTCGCTGCCGTTGCGGCGCGCGGGCCAGCCGCCCTGGCGCGCGCGTCGCAGCTTCTCCGGGTCCGGCGGCGGCCACATGCCCTCGCGCCGGTTGAACCCGTTCTCCTCCCAGTCCCAGCCGGGGCCGCGGCCGGCGGCGGACACGACGGGCCCGCCCGAGAAGGGGAAGAACCAGGCCAGGGGGTTGCGCGTGCCCATGGCCTGGCACATGTTGCCCCACACGCCGATGTCATAGGGGAACTCGACGCGGCGTGTGGGCATGCCGGCGACGGGGATGTCATCCTCGTCTAATTCGCTCTCGCTGCCGCCGCCCGACGCGTCCGTCTCGTCGTCATCGTCGTCGTCGGTGGCCCACCACGTCGACCGGCGGCCGCCGACGCCGTGACGGGCCAGCAGTGCCTCGTGGCGCTCGACCTCCCAGTCCTCGATCATGGTGCGGTTGAGGACCCAGGCCTTGGCCGTGGTGGCGAGCAGGATCCCCAGGGCGAGGAAGACGCCGGCGCAGACGAGGGAGACGCACGTCAGGTGGGCCAGGGCCCAGGTCGGGGGCCCCAGGTAGGCGGGCAGGTTGCGGACGTCGTAGAGGCCGCGGAGGCGGAGGTAGGCGAGGCGGCCGAGGTACCAGAGCGCGGCGTTTGTGGAGGCGAGGAAGCGGAGGAAGTAAGGGAAGGTCTGCATCGAGACGCAGTTGCCGGTCCAGGGGCAGTGGTGGTCCATCTTGGGGATGCAGCGGCGGCAGTGCCGGCAGTGATGGGCGCGCGGCGGCTTCGGGGCGGCGCACTTTTTGCACCAGCGCTGCAGCTGCTCGAGCTGCCTCTCGCGCTGCTCGCGCCGGCTGCTCTGCGTCTGCTTTTGCCCCGGCTTCTTTGCGTCATCGGTCGGGTCGGCGGGGGGAGGGGAGGGCCTGTCGGTGGCGGAGGAGGAGGAGGAAGGCTCGTCGGAGAAAGGGTTCGGGAGGATGTAGGTGCCTGGGTTGACGGTGCAGGCCTTGTAGTAGTTCCACCACAGGTTGAGGAGGAGGGCGTTGAAGACGACGGTCTGGGTCTTGGTTAGCGGGCCGGGGCCCAGGTCGGCGGCGCTGTTGAAGAGCCACTGCGAGCTGTAGCCCAGGAAGGAGACGAGCAGGACGACGCCGGGGATGGCCAGCACCTGCAGCCCCGACGTCGACGGGCCGGTCTTGAGGGTCGACGCCATGGCCAAACCGGCAGGTTTGGGGCAAAGGGAATTGTCGGGAGAGTTTGGGCTGTCATCAAGGCATTTTTATCCTGGTCGTCAAACTTAGCTCCAGCCCGTCGATGGGCAAGGGGCGGATGGGTTACCCAACGTGTATTTATTTGCCTTTTCGGCCACCTCGCACTGTTCCATCCACCATCACAAACCACTAAACCAGGCCTCCCGCAGGAGGCTAATGCACGTCGATTTGGTGTGATTTTTAGGCTCATCACCCAATTCAATGCCTTCCAGCCCGTCCTTCTTGACGCCTAAACCTTCATTCTCATCTCATCATTGGCTGGGCACAGATCTGTACCACCCTGCTCTACCGAGACTGCCCCGAAGCAGCCTGGGTTTTACTACGCCACTGAGATCCAGGAAGCGCCACCTCAAGCATACATGTAGCACAACGGCGCACCACCTTGGGTGTCCAGCAGGTCTGAGATGGGCCTCGTCTCGGCCCCGAGGAGCCCGCCGCCCAGGTCGACCGGATCCGACTTGAGGGCGTCGCGGCTGGGCGGGCTGTTGCGCGACGTGATGGTGCCCGCGATCTCGTACGCGATCCCGCCCCGCAGGTGGAACGACTGCCAGACCCAGTACATCAGGTCGACCATGGCGTGGTGGAGGAAGAAGGTCGGCTCGTTGGTCGACGAGTAGATGTCGCCCGCCTCGCCGCCCACCCCAAAGTGGCCCGCCGAGTGCATGCCGGGGAACCCGCTCGCGGCCCGGCCCTGGAGCTCGTCCTGGAAGAGCCGGATGTTTGCGCTGGCGTCTCCGGTGGTTATGTTTAACAGGTTCTCGAACGTCATGTACGTCGACAGAATGGTAGCGCTGAGGTCGCGCCGGAGGCAGCGTGGGTTGTAGCCGAGAGGCCCGGTTGGGGAGGGCAAAAGCCCGCGCATGGCTGGCCTGATTGGTCCCAAGTTGATGGTTGTGCTATTGCTATGTTAGTATATCCGGTCTCCCAAATGCTCGTCTTTACTGGCAAGTTGAGGAGTCGGATTCTCACTTGGCAAAAGGCCCGCTGGTCACGCAGCCACCTCCTCTGCCCGAAGGGACGAAGACGTTGCCGGGGCCGATGACGGTCCCGTTATGCTCCCAAAAGTCGCCATCACCGCTCAAAGAGGAATCGGATCCGTCAAAAAGAGGGGACATGCATGGATCGTCAATGTAGGCGAACCAGTTCCAGTACTAACACGACAAGGGATTAGTTGACAAAGTCTCTGTCTGTCTGGTGTTCGGTAAACCTACTGGCTGGTAGCCTTTGTAGCCACACTCATCGCGCAGAGCCTTTTCGTAAGCCCAAACGAAATACCTGTGCCAGGTGAGGAAATACCCCTGCCCAGAGAAGTTTAGCAACATGGACTCGACTACTCTGCTCGTAGATCAGAGTAAACTCACCGATGCGTGGATGAAGTCCGTGTGGTTGATATGGACCGCGACAAAGTCATCGTATCTTGTCCGAGCCCCGGGAGCAAAGGCCGGGTCGGCCTGTGATGGCTTGCTCATAAGGCACTTGACCGCACGCGTGTAGTCTCTTCTCTCATCCTTAGTCAACGCTTCCCTGTGACAAAGAGTAGGTTGGTCAGTTGTGGTCCCGACAGCTGGATCTTGAGACTCAGTCAACTTACCAGTCCTTCCTGACGATTGTATTACGGTGAGAGCATCCAGATCCGGCACCATCCGGCACAGCTCGTCCCCCAAGCAGCGGCTGCTTGAGATTAGCCAGGGCTTGGCTCTTCAGCGATTCGAAAAGGTCCGCGGCAGAGAGGTCGCTGGCCTCGGTGGCCCAGCACACCGAAAGCAGCCCACACAGGGCTAAGGAAACCCTGATGATCGCGGCCGTTGCGCGCATGGTGAGGCACAAGTTGGACTATATGGGCAGATGATATTACTGGTGGCCACAATTAAGACTACAAATAGACGCCCCCTCATTCCATGAGGAAATGCCGGATTATATATCAGTCGTTGGTTCACATAGTCACGGTGAACATGTCCCATATTTTGCGGCGGGCGGAATTCCTGTCCCGAGCATTGCTAGCCGTTTACTTTGCCACCAGAATGTTCGTTTATGCACTCCATGTAACCCAAGTGTTTAAGTGCTTACGGGCAGGAGAGGAGACGCTCCATGGTAGAATTCGGCATGCAAGTGATGCAGAAGCTAGAGCCAAAGAAGATAATTATGAATACCCAGGCGGAAAAGTTCCCTGCATGTCGTCCTATAGGGACACGATGTCGAGAACCCTGCATGCCGTCCTATAGGGACACGATTTCGAGAACCCTGCGTGCTTGAGATGTAACCTGGCTCACAGCCTGCTGCCACGTAGCAAAGTTTGGCGGCGCGATATTTCCCATCGAGCAAGGATATTGCCCAGATCCACCAATCAGTCCGGAGATGACATCTCTTCAAGGAAAGGTACCCTGCATGTCCGTGTCTTGTGTCGTCTTGGCCCTCATGTAATGTCTGGTAATGGCGATTGAAGTTCCGACTGAAGAGATAGCAGGGAGAAGTCGTTAAAGCGACTCGCCGAGCAACGCATGGCCAGGCCAGCCCATGCGCAAGGCCTGGATTTGCATGCTTGACAGGACCCTGTACTTCACTTCGGGGTCTTCGATGTCGTGGCCCATGAACGCGCCGTGTGTGCTCTTGAACTCATGTCCTTTGAGTCTCTCCCACATTTGAGCGACCTCGTCGGCCGAGAGCGGAATCATGTTGGGGATGCTCCACATGAATGCGAAGCTGTTCATCCCAGGCGGGCGCGAGCGAGGAGAGCCCATCGCGTCGAACTCCCAGTTACCTACGCCGGCCGGGGTGGTGATGAGGGTGTCGGCCACGAACAGGCGGCGGTAGCAGAGTCCGACCAGACTTCCGGGGAAGTGCCCGCCGAGGCGGATGGCCTGGAATCCCGACTTTTGGCCCGAGATGAGGATGTCGTGCGTCGCCGCCGCGGCATCGTCGCTGCCGCCGCCCTCGCCGGCATCGGCGCCCAGGAACACCTGCGACGGGGATTTCATGGTGAGCCACTCCTTGTCCTCGCAGGCGAGGTACACTGGGCACTTGAACACATTTGCCCAGTGCGCGTGGGCGCTGTAATAATGGGGGTGGGAGATAACGATGGCCTTGAGGCCGCCCAAAGCACGGATACGACCAATCGTATCGATGTCCAGAAAAGTGAGGCAATCCCAAAGGATGTTCCCTGCAATTGTGCGGACCAGGATCGCGCGCTGTCCGATGGCGAACTTGGGTTCGGTCACGATGCTGAGTAGCAATGGACCTGTTGGATAGATCCCCTTGGCACCGACTTCGGTGGTGGAGTGGGAAAGCGTGTGTGGATGAAAGGCGTTGCGGTGGCAGGCCTCCTCTAGGGCCTGCATTGTGGTGAAGCTCTGGCCCGAGGGAGGGGTGTACTGGCGCGGATCGTCGCATATTCGGCACGTCTTGAGTGAGTTGCGATCGGCTGTTGGGTACTGGGTTCCGCAGGCGGTGCAGATAAGCCAACTGTCGACCGCATCGTCGACGTATTCTGGGATTGAGGCTGTCGCCATGGTTCTGGGATGGTGTATGCTGACTGGGTGTGTAGCGAGACGAAAATGAGTGATGGCGAGGAGGCACACTGTGGGCTGGGCTTTGTTTGTATCACAGGCTGGGGCTGACGGTGATGGCCGGATAATGAGCAGCACTTTGGATCTAGACTGGGTATTGTTTGGGAGCTGTCCCGTCATCAACGAATTTACCTTGATCGGAGCTTTGAGAGCTTCGTTACTGAAATCGGCAGGAGCAAGTCTAGACCCAACAAGTCTATTCTTGCCATTTGCAAACCGACTGGTCCATGACTATTACTTAGCACCCTAGACACCGATCTGTATTACTACGCTTTAATTACTGTACTAATTGAGGCCCAAAGATGTACCTCGACGACATGAATGAATTTTTTAGAGGCTGATCAGGCAATAAACCCTGAAGATATCGGGTAGGCACCCGCGCTCCCGTTGTGGCAAGTGGCATAGCGATCAGCCCCTGCAACAATCCAGGTACCGCCCCGCATTGCCCCCACCAGAGGCCGTGGGGACTGAGCTGGATTCTACCCCGCGTCTCCTGTGCAGCTGCATCATTCGAACGCGTCCGAATACTCTAGAGCTTCAACTGAGGCTCCAAAACCGAAGACGGAGCAAAGTAGCACCAACTCTCACGTGGATGAAAGCCCGGCACCTACCAGATTCCCCAAGACTACACCCAGGCCAAGGGAAATGAGCTTCGCAATCGAGGCTCCCGGGGAGGCCACCCCTCTCAGCCTCCAGGAGCTGTGCACGAAGCTCGAGCTCGCATCATGCTCTACCGACCAAACCCAGCGATTAGCTGCTGATCAGCAGCTCAAGGCCTGGGAGACGTATCCGGACTTTTATCCTCACCTCCAGGCAAGTGGACCCATCTCTTGGTTCTGAACCTCCTCCCATGATCCAAACGAGTTCCTCCTAATCTAATCGGCGTCCTCTTATCGCTCTCCAGACCATATATCTCGAAAAGTCTATCAACCGCCAGGCCCGCTTCCTCGCCATTATCCTCCTCAAAAACGGCATCGACAAGTTCTGGCGCAACATCTCGACCAAGTCAACCATCCGCCCTGAGCAGAAGAACATAATCCGGTCGAGGCTCCTCCAGGGCTGTGTGGAGGAGGATGATAAAGGTCTCGCCGTACAGAGTGCCCTAGCGGCGGCCAAGGTCGTTAGGATAGACTACCCCGCCGAGTGGCCTTCCGCCTTCGCCGACATGGCCGGGTTCGTTCGCGCATTCAAGACCGGCAGGCAAGCTCAGCTTGCCGCTACCCTGCGTGTTCTGCTGCGAGCCGTCAAAGAACTAGCTACGGCCCGACTCCGCAAGTCACAGACTGCCCTGCGCGATGCTACCCCTGAGCTAGTCCAGCTGCTGGGCGAAGTCTACTCCGAGCAGGTCGCCTACTGGCTCGAATTCCTAACACGTGGGCGTGGTGACGAAGACGCTGCCGACTATGCCATGGAGAACAGTTTATTCTGCCTCCGGACCTTGCGGCCACTCGTCACAGTCGGCTATGACAGTCCGCACAGAGAACAGCTCGTGGTCGAGTTCTGGAATATAACACAGAACCAGTTTGGTCAGTTCCTGGGCCTCGTCAGCCACGACTCGGCCGTTCCAGCGCCATACCAGGAGACAGTAGGCAAGCACCTGGTCCAGTTCACCAAGCTGCATCTTGAGGTGTGCGAATCGCTTCCAACCAGCTTTGCGCTCCTTCCAAACTCTATTCAGCTCGTTCACGCATACTGGGACCTCGTCGCCAAATTTGCTGAAGTTTTTGACAAATCTGGCGGCAAGCCGTCGGGCGATGACGGTAGCGGCGCTTCCAAGTCCAAGGTCGAGGGCCCACTGCTGGAGAAGTTGACTCTCAAGGGACTGCTTCTCCTCAGGAACTGCATATCCATGGTCTTCAAACCCCAACAAACATTCAAATACAGGAGCGCCGAGTTCCTCAAGGAACAGGAACAGGCACAAGAAACGGTCAAGACGCAGCTTCTCACCGACCGGTTCGTCGCTCAGATCGTCGATGTGGTCATTACAAAGCTTTTTGTGTTTCGCAAGACGGACCTAGAGGCCTGGGAGGAGGATCCGGAAGCCTGGGAAGCGCAGGAGCGCGATTCGGGCGATGCCTGGCAGTTTGAAGTGCGACCCTGCGCCGAGCGTGTTTTCCTCGACCTGCTGGTTCACCACAAACAGATGCTAGGCCCTCCCCTACTGAATTACTTCCAGACTTCCGCCCAGGCCGGCTCAGACATTGTGACCAAGGAGGCCGTGTACACGGCTATGGGCTGCGCTGCTCCGACGGTCTATGAGGTCTTTGACTTCGATTCGTTTGTGACAAGTACTCTAGTCCAGGACATCCAGCTTCAAGGTGACCTGGCGAAGCTACTTCGACGGCGTATTGCCATTCTCCTGAGCCAATGGGTTCCGATCAAGATGACGGATGCGACGAGGCCAACAGTGTTCGAGATATATCGCCACCTGATGAACCCAGAAGACGAAAGGCACAATGACCTGGTAGTCAGGATCACGGCGGCGCGGCAGTTAAAGAAGATTGCCGACGACTTCGAATTCAAGCCCGAGATATTCCAGCCGTATGCCTTCGAGATCCTCACGCGACTGGTCAGTCTCCTGACGGAGCTCACCCAAGACGAATCTAAGCTGGCCGTGCTCGACACGATTCGGGTTCTGGTTTCCCGCATGGATTCTTCGGCCAGACAGGTGGGCGATGCATTGATGGAGACACTACCAAAGCTGTGGGCCGAGGCAGGGGAGGAAAGCTACATGCTCAAGCAGTCGATTCTTGCCATCTTGTCGACGCTGGTGAACTCGGTAGGCGCCGACTCACAGCGGTACCATCCCTTCATGGTGCCCTTGATCGCTCAAGCGATGGATCCGTCATCAGAGATTCACAAATTCCTCGTTGACGAGGCTACTGAGGTGTGGAAAGCCACCATGACACAGTCCTCGCCGCCCGTATCTCCGGAACTGATGGCACTTGAGCTTGTGGGGCTTCCGTTCATTTCATTCGACAGCCCCCTTTCACAGGAGCTCGTCCACATTGTGAAATCGTACATCCTTCTTGCGCCAGAGGGTATCCTTGGGGACCAGTACCGGCGGCCGACGCTGACGGCGCTCAGGTTAGCTGTTGAGTCTAAAAACAAGGACCAGGTCCACCACGCTGTCCAGGCGCTGGATTACATGCTCCGAGCCGCCCAGGAGCTCGGAGGCTCTGTGGGCTTGACGGTACTGGTGAAGGAGATGCTCGAAATCGGGCTGCTTCAACTGGTACTAGAGGGCCTGCACGATGCGTGGGAGTGCCATCAGACAACCGGCCCGCAGCGCCGAAATCCCAAGCTAAGCCCTCTCAAGGAAGCGCACTATCTTTCGCTCCTGGCCCGTATTACGCTTGGTGAGCCGCAAGCGCTGGTCCACCTGATGTCGGTCGCGGGCGATGTCGCGTCAGTCTGGGCATGGCTTAGCGCGGAGTGGTTCGAATCGTTCGATATGATGGCTGATGCGGAGCGGCAGAAGCTGTCGTGCCTGGCGCTGACACGGCTTTGCGAACTGGCGGCTGCAGGACCAGGCGCTCCGCCGGGCTTGCTGGAGCTGGTCCTTTCCAAGCTGCAAGACTACTTTTCCATGTGGACGATGGTGGTAACCGAGGTCCAAGGAGGGGATGCGTCAGCTGCCGACACGCTCGTCTGGGAGGGGTCGCCCGAGTCTAACGCGAGCGAGTTTGACACACCGCAAGATGTGCGTGAGAGGGCTTTCGCGTGGAGGGACCAGATCCGCAAAGAGCACACCTTCAATTTCATCAAGCCAAGGCTCCAGGCGCTCGTCCAGGCCACCGGTGGCGAGGCCGCCTTCGAATCACAGTGGGCCGTCAACGTGGATCGAGATGTTCTTGTCGGCTTCCAGAGGTTGTCAACGCCGGGTGGCGGACAGGCCTGAGGGCAGTGGCCTCGGAGGGAAATGACGGTACTGGAGAGCAGCGGAAGCGGACATGGCATATCAGAGACCATGTTTCATCTATGTATTCCCCGTTGTAATCGCAGTCAGGATCGCCAGGGTGCCGCCATGTTTATCTGTTTTATACCAGACGGGCAATGTTTGTGTATACAGAAGCCGCCCGGCGTCCTACAGCTTTGCCTCATCGCCCTGGGGGACGGTGATGATAACCTTGCCCCACGTCTCCCTTCCTCCCAGAGCTTGGAGGGCCGCCGGGACAGCCTCGAGCCCGACAAACTCCTTGTCGGTGAATTCGGTGCCCCTGAACTTGCCCTGGCGGATGAGGTCGCGGATGCCGTTCCAGACCTCGGTGATGGCGGCGGGCTCGTTGATGGTGTAGGCACCCCAGTGGATGCCGACGATGGAGATGTTCTTGAGCAGGACCTTGTTCAGGGCCAGCTTCTCGATGGTGCCTGCGGCGAAGCCCACGACGAGGATGCGGCCGTTCCAGGCGACGCACTTTGTGCTCTTGTCCACCATGCCCACGGGGTCGTAGACGATGTCGACGCCGCGGCCCTTGGGGGTCAGCCTATTTGGGCACCACGTTAGACTTTGTTGCATCATGTCTTTTGTGTAGAAAGGACAAAAATGGCATGTGCGGGTAGAAGTAGGTAGGTAGGCATGCTCACTTCTTGACCTTGGCCGGCCAGTCCGGGTCGTTGTAGTCGACCACGTGATCGGCGCCAAACGCCTTTGCCACCTCGAGCTTGCGCGCGGTGCCGGCGGTGGCGATGACGACGGCGCCCTTGGCCTTGGCGACCTGGACGGCGGCCAGGCCGACGCCGCCGGCGGCCGCGTGAACGAGCACGTGGTCGCCAGCCTTGACGCCCGCGCGCACCACGAGGGCGCCGTAGCTGGTCGGGGCCGTCACGAAGAGGCCCGCGGCGTCGCGGAAGGACCAACCCTCGGGCACGGCGAGCAGGGAGGCCTCGGGCGAGCACACCTTTGTCGCGTAGGCGCCCTGGCTGGCGCCGAAGACGCGCGAGCCGACGGGGAACCTGGGCGGCCGGCCGTCGACGGCCGAGGGGGCGGCGAGGACGACGCCGGCGAACTCGGAGCCCGAGATCCAGGGGAATGCTGGATTGGGTTGGAGGTTAGTTCGAGATTAGAATGTGCCAGCCAGTCGAGCAGTCATGCCAGATGAAAAGATGGGCGGAACCTACGGGGTTGGTTTTGGTATTTCCCTTGGATTTGCAGGATATCAAAGAAGTTTGCCGCGGCGGCCTGTGCATATGGGGAATGGTGAGCGCAGTTCTGGACGAGGCAAATCGTGGGAAATAAGATGCCAATGGCCGACTCACATGGACTTCTATCAAGTATTGACCCGGCCCAGGGACGGAGTCTGGAAGGTCGGTCACCTTGAGCTCTTGCGGCCCCTGAAGGACGATGTTGTCGTCGTCGTCAGCTTCAATGCCCGTGCCGAGGCTGTCTTGAATGAACAGCTGGGCCTTCACGCCATTCAGGCACCATCATGGAAAGCTGGGAGTCATTACCTTGACATATTCTCTCAGCTGAATTCCGCGCATTTTGGCAATGAGATACTGAGACTGGAGACTATTTGAACCGAAAACACGCTCGCTCAAAATGCACGTCTTGTTGTTGTCATGTCGCAAGCTGGCCCAGTCATCCTCTCGCCCCAGATCTTATACCCCGGCCTCCAGTATTCGCTTGGGCAATGGGGCTCAGCGCAAGCAACCTCGGCCGTTGCGTTCCCCGCAAGCGTGGGCCTGCATGGGGGTGCAGCAGCTGGGGTCGATGCGGGCAGCTGTAGGTTCTTGCCAATGGGGCCTGTCACAGCCACAATCCCTGGCGCTTCCGAGGCGAGGGCCTGTGTGTGGCTGATGGTTTGACAGCAACATTGAAAACTACCGCAACAGATGGACGAGTCAGGACGTGGCACAGACAGTCAGGCTGTTGCCCATAGGAGGCGGCTGCTACAACCCATCGGAGGGGTTGAAATCTGACCTGAGCGACGACCAATGTTCCATCGCATTCCATCAAGATCTGAGCTGCCTCCGTATCAGCTGGGATATGGGCTATCAGAATGAATGTGGCTTTGGATGTTCACAGAATCGGAAGCCGCGTCGAAAAACTGAAAGCATGATTGATTGCCTGGTGAATATCTCGTCTGTGTCTGGTCGGGGTTTGCGGGAATTTGATTGGGCGACAAAGCAGCTGCGTCTCTGAAGCAGGCAGTGGCAAGGCTCGTCTGCTGAGCTTTTTTCTCTCATTTGTCTCTCGTTTTTTGTTCTGCTTCCGGTGCTGTCCTGCAGCCGCAGGACGTCATTTCCCAGCAGGTCCACAGCTGCCGCACCCCCACCTCCTTCCTGTTAGACGAGCTGACAGTGCATGTGTCGTCCAACCGCTGCCCGTGCCCGTAGTTCCACGTGCCAACCACAACCAACAAACACAGTCGGGCACTCTACAGCATTGCTCTCTGTATCCATTTGCCCGCCCTCTCTTCTGCGCCCACGAGTCCGACTGCTACTCGCGATTGCTGCCCGAGGTCATTGCATCCCACCGTCTCGCTTCAAGCAGCACCGCACGACTTAAGCCCATCAGCAGGCAGCGAAACCCGGTGCAGGCGTCTTCACATCCCCGCTAAGCCATGGCCGACGCACCCGAGGAGACGGGCGACGCCCAGCTCAGCTTCAAGGTCAAGACGTCAGGCGAAGGCAGCCACAACATCGCCATCTCCGAGTCCGCCACTGTCCTCGATCTGAAGAACAAGCTGGCCGCTGAAGAGTTTGAGAACATCCCCGCCGACCGCCAACGTCTTATCTACTCGGGCCGCGTCATGAAGAACGATGACGCGCTCAGCACCTACAAGATCAAGACGGGCAACACCATACACCTGGTCAAGAGCGCCGCTAGCAACCCCTCCAGGCCCGCCCAGACGTCCGCCGCCGCTGCCGTCCCGGCCGTGCCGACCAACATGGCTGCGGGCACTTCTGCGAGCAACCCCCTGGCCGGTCTGACCGGCGCCAGATACGCCGGCCACGTACCTCTCCCCAGTGCAGACCTCTTTGGCCCGGACGGCGGTGTAGGTTCACGTTTGATTTTTGAAGCGTGTGCGCCGCGCGCCTGAGACCCCTCAGGTCCACTACCAGACCCTTTGCTAACACTAGCCTTTCTGACCACCCTACCAGATGAACCCTCCCAGCGAAGAGCAGATGGCAGAGATGCTGTCCAACCCCGCCATTCAGCAAAGCATGAACGAGGCGCTCCAGAACCCGGACTTTGTCAACTTCATGATCCAGTCAAACCCGATGCTGCGTAACCTACCCAACGCCCGCGAGATAGTCCAATCGCCTCAGTTCCGACACATGATGACGGATGCCGAGTCGCTCCGCATGGCTTCTCGAATGCGTAGGATGTTTGGGGGTCCTGGCGGCGCGGGTGCCGGCGCCTTCCCCGCCCCGGGTGCCACGAGCACTACCCCTGATGGCGCCCCGGCTTCGACCGGGACAGAGGGCGGCGCGGGCGCGGGTGCCAACGCCGGTGCACAAGGCGTCCCGCCAATGCCGTTCGGATTACCGGGAATGTTTGGCATGCCACAGGGCGGCGACGCGGCCGCCAACCCGTTTGCTGCCCTTTTCGCTCCCGCGGCCGGCCAGCAGGCGCCAGGCGCGGGTGCTGGGCAAGGCAACAACACGGCCACTTCCGGTGGAGCGGCTGCCGGCCAGGCGCCTGGTGCCGACCCGCTCGCAGCTCTGTTCGGTGGCGGCGCTGGAGCAGGCGGACCTGGAGGCAACCCTTTCGCGTCGCCTGAATTCCAACAGTTCATGCAAGCGATGCAGGCGGGTGGCGGTGGGCTTGGAGCGGCGCCTGCGGCTCCCCCGGACAACCGGCCACCCGAGGAGCGTTACGCGGAGCAGCTACGACAGCTCAACGACATGGGATTCTTCGACTTCGACAGGAATGTGGCGGCATTGAGAAGGAGCGGCGGCAGTGTGCAGGGTGCCATCGAGCATCTGTTGAGCGGCTGACGAGGGGATATCAAGGAGCGCAGACGTGGTTCCGCTTGATGCCAGATTCTGTCGGTTACTACAAACCCACTCTTCTCCTAAAGACATGATACGCCTGCCTCGCGAGGCTGTCAAGCGAAGCGGCTTTCTCCTCCTTCCCGCGTATGAGGCGCAGATCAAGAGAATATCCCAAACTCAGACCTAGGTTGAATTGGTGCCTCCGGAATCCACCCCATGTTACCCTACGGTGCTAATAGTGTGAAGAGGTCGAAGTAGGATAGTCTCTACCAAGGTGGAATGAATGATATGATTATGACCAATCACCTGGGTTTCGGCCTCTTTGACTCCTGGAGTGTTCACCTTTGTCGGAGCAATGGGTCTAAGATTGGTGAATTTGATCGCCTGACCTTGATATTGGTGAAAGACCAAGACAAAGCCAGTTCGCTATCTATATCCCCTATAAAGGCTAGACCGCGGGCAAAGGCATATGCTGGCTAGGTACTATTGTGGCATTATGCCATGATTGTGCATTGTGTGACGTGATTTCGAGTTAGGGCCTGACTCCTCCTGGGTCTCGGTAATTAGGTATATAAGTAACATTTCGCATTCTAGGAAATCCAAGATGGTCCTCCAAGACACGCACACGCACACACACGAACGCGGACGCATACTGAACATCATAGCTCAATTCGCAACCATGCTCACCACGTCGGGGTGTATGGCGTACAACTTTGGATTCGCAGCCAACATACTCACCACGACGGAGTATTATACGCTCAACTTTGGTGCCATTAGGCTAGTGCAATGCGAATGCAGGTTCGTGGAACTCGAGGGCGAGATGGGCGCCATCGCAAAGGAGTATGTCGATACCTTCCAATCCTTTGCCCGTGCCTGCCACAATCTGGTAGGTGCTCGGAGCCCCGACCAGGCGAAAGCTCTCGTCCTCAAGTCCAACGTCAGGTGCGCATGGAGCGAGCTCAAGGGGCCATACCATCGGATACGGAGGATGGCAAGGGAGATGCTGAGCCTCATCAAGCACCAGCAGGAGTGGCGGGCCATCATGGCCGAATGCATGGACCCCGACGTGTACTGGTCGGCCATCTCGCCCGACGACGTGGACCCCGACATCACGGACCGCATCCGGGCGGCCAGGCAGCCCTGGCACTACTTCGAGGACCCCGGCCACTCGCCCGACGAGCGCTGGGACCTGCCCACCGGGCCGATGCTGGTGCCGGGGCCGCGTGACGAGGTTGCAGAGAGGCGCTCATGGGGGGTTCGCGCGGCCCTCCTGTCCAACGCATGGATTTTCTCTCGTCTGATTGTTTCCGACGAGGAGGCTTTTGTCCAGGAGAATAACCCGCCGGTTGCATACGAGCTTCTAAATATCTCGGGGGTGTGCGGGCTTGGGTTTAGTGTGTGAGGTATTGCACTTGGCGATACCGGAATAGGAAAGTGGCATGTCGTTTTCTGGCTGCCACGGGCGCAGATTGTGTGCGGGCGGTCCAGGTCTATCCATCGAGGTGGGCCGTGCACTCACGTGCCTGGGCCCCACCTCATACATTTAGCGACGGGAGTTGGTAAGCTAGATGAAGCGTAGGCAGATAACCTGGTGACATATTCTACAAAACACTGTATTCGAATCCGTATTATTGACTTGAGCTCATTGACTATTTATTGCGTGAAAGCGGCCCGCCGCGGCTCCTTTGTCGACACTCCCCAAAAACGCGCCCTGTCTGCCGAGAAGAGTAGACTAAAAAAAAAAGAAGAAAAAAAAGAATCAAGCTCATGAAGTCCTCGCGCCCGTCAGATTATTCTCGGCCGCCATGTTGGCAAAGATATCGAGGTCGAGGGGGAGGCGCTCGCCCATCCAGATCGCGCGCTGCGAGTGGTCGCGGCGGGCGACCTCGATCTTGTCCTCGCCGGGGCCCGCGACCGTGTTTGGGTGCACGAGGACGGACAAGGGGCCGCGCCAGATAGCGATCCAGGCCACCACGGCGCCGAACTGAGCCGGCGTGAAGACGTTGAGTTCGATCATGGCGACGGGGTGAGGCCCGATGGGGCCATCGAAGATGTTGAAGACGCGGAGCTCGGGGACTTTTTTTTGTTCGATGGGAGGAGGGTTTTATTAGTGATATATATATATATATATATATACACATGAGCACCAAAGAAGGGGGAAACCTACACTCGCGGGCATACTTTGTCTGCGCCGGGCTGCCCTGGTTGTAGTATATGTGCACATCGCTGTCGGTAGAGTCAGTCCGGCGGCATCTGAGAGCGTGGGTTTGTCGGGATGCTGTGCGGTGGCCACGGGGCAAGGCGGACGGGGCATGAGAGGGCATATCGGGAACTCACAAGCCGCCTCTCTCGCCCCTGTTCAGGGGATCGACAAACTCGCTCAGGATGTCTGTCTGCGGGTTCACGAGGCTCTTCTCGAGGCCCTCGCCCACCTCGTTGTTGGGGAGGGGGTCGAGGTTCTCGAACCCGACCAGAGGCGAGGGGTATGTAGATGTTGCGGGGTAGTAGCGAGTGTCTGCCATTTTGCGAGCTGGGAAGAAAGAATATGTGCGAATGGAAATACCTCTGTGTCGGTAAAGATGGGTAAGCGGTCTTTGTCTTTATCCCATTTCGACGAACACGCACCAAGGGTTTGCATGGACGTTCAAACCAAGCATGCGGGAAAGGCTCACCATGGGTGAATTATTCATGACCTCGACTGGGAAGCCGAACGGTTGGATTGAAACAATCTGAATCCTGTCAGTCTCGGCCCTTCAACTCGTGGTGCCTTCTCCGCATTTTGCATCTTCCTCGCCAGGTTATGGCGGCTTGTCGACATTGGATGCCGTCATGAGCTTGTCAAGATGAAACCTATTTTTGTCGGCGCGCACCGCCATCTCGCTGGGCCCGATGCGATGCCGTCAATGTCGTCCAAAGAGAGAATTTGGCCCTAGTTAGGATGTCGTGGCGTCGCGTGGGCACCATCTACCCGGGAACCGGCGCGCCATGCATACTTGAGGATAGCCACCTGCCCTCCGGTCGGACAAAGAAGTGTACCGTCACTGAGTAAGCGGGACAGTCTCAAGTCCTCTGTCGTTGCCCAGTCGCTGGGCAAGAAAAACTCCCTCAGCTCTTCAGTAGGAGATGACAGGGGAATGGTGCACACCCAATTCATCTGGTCCAGGAAGACAAGGACGCCTTCGGGAAGAATACCAAAGCCGTGCTTGATTTTGCGGACCAGGAGCGGCGGCAGCTCGAGCGGGCTGACGACTCTTTCCACCGCAACATTGCGGGAGGCGGTGGGGAGGCTGTATATGCTCTCGGCGGGGAGCACGCAATAGCCCCTGCTCTTGCGCGAGTCAATAGTTTGTAGGATAGCATGCTGTTGCGAATGGCTGTCCCGTATCAAATCGACACTGGCTAGTAATCGATCATCTGCGACCACCCTCAGGATATCTAGCAGAATGTGTTTCTTCTGCTCCAGCTTGTCCCAGCTTAGGGTTATAGCATGACTTGGCGCAAGACAGACCAGGTGCTCCGGGTTCCGGGGGTGCTGTTGCCATCGGCCTCGATCGCCGTGTGGAACTGTCGTCTCGGCTATCTTGGTGCCTTCCGGGACCATGAGAACCTGGCACATCTCGCTTCGGGCGACAAACAAGCGGTTGCCGGCGGGGTTGAGAAGGAATTGGCATTGCCCCGAGCCGAGTGGCATGTCTATCGTGAGTACCGTCTCGACGGATGCCCACCTCTCCGAACCGCTGCTAGACTTTATTACCCTGATGGGACCGAAATTGCGGGTCCCGTACGCTAGTAGGTCTTGACGGGAGCTCCAGGAAAGTTGAAAGCGACTGATCCTATGGGTCGAACTAGCGAGCATGCACGTCCTCTTGCTCGGGGGGTCATAAAGAAAGACGCGACCATCCGAGGTCGCGTATGCATACGGATCGCCCGAGCTGCACCCTACCGCGAGTCCGGTGACCCGCTTCAGGCTATCCAGGTAGTCGAGCAAGGCCGAGGAGCCTGAGAGCGGCGGCGCTGCTGGTGGTCCCGGGCTGTCGCCCGTGACGCCCGCTTCGAAGCTGCCGACCGGTGCCGTGTCGGCCAGCCCCTGCAGACAACGGGGCTCCCAAACGCTGCAGTGGTCATCCCACTCAGCAGTATAGACTCTGGCTTCGTTTGGGCTGAAGCGGAGGCATCGCGGTATACCAATCGGAGCCACCCTATAAACTGTCGACATGGTTGCGAAGTTGTAGATGTTATATAGCCACGGGTAAGTGATGCCGAAGACATGCCCGTTAAGGCCACAGGTGATTTCGACGCGGATGATCCCAGTGGTCATTTCCCCCTTGATTGATTCATACCTGTCGGTGACGTGATCCCATTTGAACACTCGCTCACCGTGTGTTCCCAGGATATCCCCAGAAGGATGCCAGGCGTGGCTGTTGCTTCCTGTGTCTGAATGGAACGAGACGCAACCCGGTCGGCCTTCACGTTTGAGCCTTGTTATCATAGCGGCAGGCTCTACGCTCCAAACAGACAGGGGGAGGTTGTCATATGCGACAGCTATCAGTGTGCAGTCAGAATTAAACCGAATGACACTGGGTGTGGCAAACGACCCTCCCGGGATTCCTTGTTCTTGGAGCAAGCCGGCGTCTTGGCCTACCGGGGACCAGACTGAGTTCTCGGTCGGATCATGAATCGATAGCTTGTGAACCTCTTTTCGGCCGAATATCGCAAAGAAGGAATCGTTCTTGTCAAGGCTGAGCTCGATCGCGGCACCGCAAAATCTAGGGTTTTCGGTGCAGAGAATCAGGGACCAGCCTGAAGTCGTGTAGACAGTTGTTCGAGTCGCAGTGCAGACTGCCAGGAGGCTACCCGAATTGTTGAAAGCCAAGTCCAGGATGTTGCCTTCTGAGGCGATGATCGAGCGCTCCTCATAAAGAACTGTTCCGTATATGCTGATGATTGTTTGGCTCGCAACGGCGAGATACAGGGATGATACCGCCAGTCGCCGGATTGTATCCCCACCGGGCGAGATGCGGGCCAGGCAGTCACCCCAATACTCCCCCGAGAGGCCGGAGACAGCGAGGCGAGCGTCAGGACCTGCGCTGAACTTTTGATTGATGGCGCATGCCATCGGGCAAAGTGCCGGGATGTGCTTGTAGATCGAGGTGGGGTCAACCAAGAGATATGGACCAAACTTCGCCGGCAGCATCATCAAATCCACGGCCCACGACTGCAACAAAGATACGTCTTCCAGTCTGCGAGAGAGCATCGATTCGGGACCGTCCGCCTTGGTGTACTTCTGGAGAAACTCGGAGAGTTTCCGCGACGCCACAGGAAGTTCCGAAAGTCGGCTGGTCTTGGCCAGGTACTGAATCCACGTCAGGGGGTACGGGCCGTCGAAGAACGTGACCAGAGCCTTTAGGGCACGGGCAGAGTCAACCGCTACTTCTTGGAGATGGCCTGGCCAGAAGGTGCTCGAATATTGGGGGAATTCTGGCGGGCTCAGCGTAGTGACCTTTTGCCTCAATGTCTTGTCGCAGAGTGCCCCAAGGCACTTTACGAGCATGTCTTCGTTCGCTCCCCTTGGGTCCAATGGGAATGGAGTCTCCTTCGTCCTCATTAAATACTCGCGAGCGGAGTGATGAACCAGCTGCACCCGTTCGTCGTGGGTGAGGATCACGAACTGCCCGCAGACTTGCTCGACTGTATGACGAAAGCTCATGATACCCTTGGTCTCAGACGGGTAGAGCTCCGAGAACTCGCCCACCGTGATGGGGGCCTTTGCGAACATGGCGCATGTCATGAGGGCTTTGGCCAACTGTTTGTCCTCGTCCATGTTCAGCGCCATTATCGTGGCCATCATTCGATCGTAAAGCCGGCCCATGCCGCTGGGTGTGGATTCTAGAGCCTGCTGGATTTGACCTTCTCGAGTCTTCCCGACAACAGCTTGCCCAACCAGGCTGGCCCAAAGAAAGCTGCCCTGCGACCGGGCAACAATCTCCTCAACAAGTTTCAATTTGCGTTGGTCTCCGCATACGAGACCGTCGAGCTTGTTGGCAACAGACAGCCGGATGTCGTCTTGGTTGTCTGGCAAGGGCGTCTCCATGACACTCATCTTCTCTCTTGCGACTTGGAATGCATTGTGTATGCTGGCTAGGGGGCGACTGAGGACGAGGACGCGGAGCATGTGGGTGTTAAGATCGGCCACAGCCGAAAGGTACTCTACCGCCTGAGTACTTGACTCTGCCTCATCTGGACCATCTATGACCCAGATTATTCTCTGTTCAGTCTTGATAGTTGCCAAGATGGATTTGAAAACAATCCTCCAGATCGTCTTGGAGTCCGCCTCGGACAGACAAGCACCTTTCTTGGCGAGATTAACAAGAGCCCGACGGAACTCGTGTTGATGGAGAGCAGTTTGGTAGGCGAGGGACCGGAGCATGTGGCTGGTGGACTGCTCCCGGCGATGCTCAAACTTGAAGGAATAGTAGGAGCAGTCGTGCCCTGCTCCGTTCATATGGTCGACGACAGCTGATGAGACGATGGTCTTTCCCGTACCGGGACCGGCGTGCGCCCAGAGAACTGTTTTCTGCTCAGCCCGAAGCCACTCATCAAACTTGGTGCTCCTGATAAACTTTCAGCAGGTGCCCTGCGCGCGGATCGCGCGGTGTGAGGCGAGATCCTCGTCCGGAGGTCCAGCAATGCCTAGCAAATCTGCCAAGTGCGGAATGTCCTCCTCCAGGCTTTCCCCTCCCTGGACAGGTGCCGGCCATGACATAGCGACGATTTTGCGGAGTGCGGCACGGACAGAAACGTAGTTGGGATCTGTGGGGCTAGTAACCTTGCACATATCGAGGTGGTTGGCGTTGAGCGAACTCGGTTCTTCTTTCGGGAGACCCAGTGTAGCCGACTCTCGTGTGACAACCAGGACGGAGCTTAGGAGGGCAAGACGAGTGGGAAGCGCCTCATAAAAGGAGAAAATCATAAGCTTCGAAGCATAGCGCCTGAACGCCTCGTCTATCTCGTTACTCGTTGGGCTCTTCTGCGCGAGCTCCGTGATGTACTTGCGCGAAGGGCGACCGAACCACCTGCATGCCTGTTGAAACCTGTCCAGGTATTTGGCAAGATCACTGCCACGATGAGGCGTGGCAAGAAAGACGACCCCCTTGATTATGGACACTATGCTCTTGTACTGGTCGCCCGAGTGGCCCTCGGCAAATGCTTTCTTGAAGACCAAGCCCCCCATAGAATGAGCCACGATGATGATGGGGACCTGGCCCAGGCGCTCGGGAGTGGTCTCTGTATATTTCATGCGGAACAGGAAATCGGTGGCAAAGTCTCCAATGCCAGTTGCTGTCCACTCAGATGTGGCATTGTAATTCGCGTTGTAGCCGAAGGTGAGCACGCGGGCGGTGGGAAGATCCAGTGGAAGCCACAGCTGCGGCCAGAATTTGTCTATATCCTGACCGTGACACCATGTCTGACGACTGGTCCCGCCAAGCCCGTGTAGGAAGACAATGTCCACCTCTCGCTCGCCTTCGGGGGTGTGCAACGTGGTGAGGCCGAGGGGATCCTTGATGTGGTCCTCCGTTTGTAGTTCTTGGCGTGAAGACGACGGTGGCGGTGTTTGGAGCTTTGCGTGAACGTTGGATGGCGCCGGCGGCCGCTGCTGGCCGTCTGAAGTGTTGGAAACGGTCCGGCGATGGCTATCTGGTGTTGAGATATCGCTCTCTGATGCAGAATGTCTCGTCGACGCGCGGATGCTTCCCGCGTCCGTTAGGCTGTCGTGTCGACGGCCTTCGGGATGTTTCGACTAAAGCGAGGAAAGAGATTCATCCATCAGCACTAATAACACCATCAATAGAAATCATTTCGATGCTCGCCCTTGCCCGAGCACTAGCCCATATCCATCCCATGGCAATCATTGCAGGTGCTCGGCACAACCAGACTGCTGGTGGTCCGGCGTTTGCTTGGTGAGCGCCAAAGGATGGAGTACACACATAATGGAAATGGGTGAACAGGGAAGAGAGAAAAGGTTATTACCATCTGTGCCCAGCCCGCCTCGGCTTGGGCAAGATCACTGCTTCTGGACTTGCGGACTTGTCGTACGCTGTGGTTGTCGATGATCCGAGGTTTGCAGTTGAGGCCTTCCTGTGCCTCACTAACACGGCTGTTTGCTTTAGTATGTCCTCTCACACTACTTGCACTCTGTGTAACCGCGGGACTGTAGTGGATACGATGTGGCTTGGCGTATCGTATCAGCCAACCACCACCAGGTCGGCTCCGTTGCCCCATCATCATCCACGGCACTTGCGCTGGCTGACGTCCACGCGGTGGCCTTGCCATGATACTATGATCATCGATGCCTTGGTATTCGCGAGTTTGACTTTAGTGCTGTCTTGGACGTGGCTGCGATAAGGCTCGACCCGGCTATGAAGATGGCAACACCACAAGTTGCACAATGAGGCCTACCGGGACGAATATTTCAAACACATTGATAAGATCGAGCCGAATAATGAGGTTGACGATAGGAATCGTCTCTATTCTGTCGAGACGCTGCTGATCAACTCGGCGCATTTCCCTGGGGCGGAGACCCGAAGGATCATGCTCAATAAGCTCAACTGGCTCATCAATCGGTACCAAGACGGGATGTAGATGTGGCTGGCTGGGCAGGTGTGGCTCCAAGGCGCGGGCTGTCTCAAACAACAAAATTCCATTCTTGCACTTCGAGTTACTATTTTTCGTTTAGCCAATACCCGTCTATATCTTGTGGATGGTTCATATTTGACGCGATGCACCCTCCCTCGGTCATCTACTGCAAATATGGTCTACTCAACCTGGCGATGACCGCGACTTGTCGCCATTTCATCCCTTTCGCTTCGAGGAGGAACAGAAGAAGAGTGACCAGGAGGAGGCCCGTGCCGAAGACGACGAAAGCCCATCCTGAGCCGAGGGTTCGCAGTGATACGTCCAATCCCGCGAGACAATCGCGGCTATCTCGCATCGGACAAAATTGCAGGCAGCCTGGGCCGTCGAAGGGCAGTCTGGATGTATGTCAACGATCAGAGTGTTTAACGAAGTAAAAAGAAGCTGTAGAGAGGGGCAGGTGAAAAACTGCACGACCAAGGGGCCTGCCATGTGTACGCGAGCCTCTACAAGCCAGCCCTGTAAAAGGATGTTGCGAGTTAGCTTGATGCTTCCCAGGGTATTGGCCGGACGTGGAAAACAATACTCAGAACTACTGACATAGGCCATCACAAGAGCGGCGCTAAGGGCGACACTCAGCTTGACACGGCGGAGCCTTGCACGCTCAATGGGGAAGTCCCAGAGATCAGTGGCCTGGCTTTTGTCGACGGCAATGCCGCACTTGAGGGCAGTCCGCTTGTAGCTGGCATCGAGAAGCCTCCCAGTCCCAAAGGCAGCAACTGCGCAACCCACACCAAAAGGGAGATAGATTAGCCCAGCCACAAGGCCAGAGACTCCATAAACTTGCACAAACAACGTGGAAAGGGACGCCTGAATACGGCAATGGACTGTATAGTTGACACCAAACGCTACCAGGATGGCAGGAAAGTATAAGAAGCTCTTTTGCCAGCTTAGGAAGGCCGAGTACTGAACAGGGCACCGCTGTCGAAACGGCCCCAAGCTCGCAGCACAGTTACGACCTGCCCGAATTGATTGGTCTTGGCCAGGCGCTCGCTCTTGATGGTCGCCCAATTCAGCCGGCGGTCCGCGGCCGCCCACTGTGCAGTGGAGCTCGAGTGGCCGAAATGGCACAGGTGGAAACCATGGCTCCGAAATGACCAATTCCAACTTCTCAATTTGCCTTGATTGAAGCACAAGCAACAAGAAAATGGAAAATGCCGTCAGGACCAAGTCTGGAGGCCACAGTGGAATAAGTCAAGAGGTCAAGTCCTCAACAGCAGTTTTTAGCGTTGGACTAGAGTCCATCAGCGACCCAGTGCTACCAGTAACTTAATGCCCCCGCCAATCCCACATGCGTTGATCTTTGCTGGAGATGCCCGCTGCGGCTTGCCTGTGCCAAGACTTTGCCTGCGCCGTTGACATGTCTGGTTGGCGAGCTCGGACCGAAGCCACTTGATTCCATCAGCTGCAGTCTTCGTGCCCTATCTTCCTTTACCCGCTCATTCCTAAATGGCTTGCCATTCCCTAGACCGCACCCTTTGCCTTCTTCCGTTTTTTCTTGGTCTGGCATTTTTTTATTCGCCCCGTCTTGTCGTTTGTGCGGCTGAGAGAGGCCGGTCCGCTCCCTTGAGGACGCCAGAAGCTCCACCATGGGTCGCACCCACACCGCGCCTGGGACGAAAGCCACCTTCGCCGCAGCGCCCATCCACCTGGCCGGCCTGCCGCGCAGGGGCCGTCTGCTCCTGGTCCTCGCCGTCTCTGGCATCGCCCTCTTCTTCCTACTCCCGAGCAGCGGCGGTGGCCGTCGGCTAAACGGCCCGCGCCCGCAGCAGCACGGCGCCGCCTTCGCCAAGACCGACATCCTCCGCTACGTCGACCCCCTGATCGGCACCGTCAACGGAGGCCATGTCTTCCCCGGCGCGACGCTGCCGTACGGCATGGTGAAGGCGGTGGCCGACTGCGACTCCCACGCCGAGAACGCTGCTGGCTTCGTCTCCGACTATTCCAAAATCGTCGGCTTCTCCCATCTCCACGACTCGGGCACCGGTGGGAACCCGTCCCTGGGGAACTTCCCCCTGTGGGTCCATGCGGGGTGCCCCGAGGGCGATGCCCAAAAGTGCGCCTTCTCGTCCACCACGAGGTCGATCCCCAGAGTCAACGGGTCCGCCAGGGCGACGCCGGGCTACTTTGCCATCGAGCTCACCAACGGGGTCAAGGCCGAGATGACGACCGCGGAGCGCGCCGCCCTGTACCGCTTCTCGTTCCCGGGCGCCTCCTCCCTCAGGGACAAGAAGGGCAGCCGCGTCCCGTTGGGCCCCCTGCTGCTCCTGGACCTGAGCGACCTCAGCAACAGCCGCCGGGGCGGCGACGTCAAGGTGCACGCCGACGCCGGCTCGTCGACCGCCCGCATCACCGGCCACGGCGAGTTCGCGCCGTCCTTCGGCACGGGCAGCTACGGCGCCTTTGTCTGCGTCGACGTGCGCGGCGCCCGTGTCCGCAGGTCCGGCACCTTCAAGGGCGACCTCGACGTGAGCGACGAGGTCAAGGAGCTCAAGCCGGCGCCCCCGGGGCCGGCGGGCGCCTGGGTCCAGTTCGAGGCGCCGCCGTCCGGGCAGGCGTCCCTCATGGCTCGTGTGGGCATCTCGTTCATGACGGTCGAGCAGGCCTGCGCCAACGCCGAGGCCCAGATACCCGATTTCGACTTTGACGGGATCTTTGCTGCTGCCCAACAGGCTTGGCGCGAAAAGCTGGGCGTAGTCGAGATCGATACCCGTGGCGTGAACGAGTCTTATGCGACCACTTTCTGGTCCGGTCTCTATAGATCCCTGATATCGCCCCAGAACTACACGGGTGAAAACCCGTTGTGGGAGTCCAAGGAGCCTTATTTTGACTCGTGCGTGCTCCCCATCCTTGTACCCCGCCTCCTCCCCTTGCACCACATCTCCTTCCTCGCAGACGTTGTATTGTTGGGCGCCCCTGTGTCTCTGTGTCCTGAATATGACTGGCCAGGCTGCCCTGCCACCAACTTCAACGTAACTATGCCGAGACCTTGACCACGTACACTTCTTGACCACTACCCTTGAAAATGCATCCAATCACTAACAAATTGTCGCTCAACACAGGTTTTACTGTATCTGGGACTCCTTCAGAGCCCAGCATCCTCTCCTGACAATTGTCGACCCTGTTGCGCAAGTTGAGATGCTTCGCACTCTGATCGACATTTATCGAAACTTGGGTAAGCTCCCAGATTGCCGCATGAGCTTCAGCAAGGGCTATAGCCAAGGCGGGTCAAATAGCGACATCTTGATCGCGGATGCGTATGTGAAAGGGCTGCGTGATGGCATCGACTGGAAAACGGCGTATGAAGCCGTGGTTTCGGATGCTGAAGAAGAGCCCAAGATGTGGTCGTTCGAGGGGCGAGGAAATCTCGAATCATATCACAAACTGGGCTACATCCCGGTGGATGATCAGGACAACCTCGGCTCTGGACCGACGAGCAGGGAGATGTCTCGTCTGGTCGAGTATGCATATGATGACTTTTGCATCTCGCTGCTTGCCAAAGGTCTTGGGCACAAGGAAGACGCAGAAAAGTACCACAAACGAAGCGGTAACTGGAAGAATATCTGGAGCGAACAGTGAGTCCCAAAGTCTTCAGAATGTTGCAGCTGTCCCCTCGGCGCTTTCTTGCCTTCCTTATCCAGTCTTGATACTGACTGTTCCGTTTTCTTCAGATCCCTTGACATCTACAGAGAAACCCACGCGGGTGACATCGTCTTGAGCCCATTCAAAGGCTTTATACAGCCACGGAAGCTTGACGGGCAGTTCGTATATCACAATGTCCGACTATGCAGCCCCAAAACCAACTTCCACGGCTGCTACTACGACACGCGATTTGCCTCATACGAAGGGAGCTCGTGGCTTTACAGCTTCTTCGTGCCGCAGGACATGGCGGCGCTGGTGGAAAAGATGGGGGGCCAGAAGACGTTCGTGGACCGTCTGAACTACTGGCACGAGGAGATCGCCTACATGGGCAACGAGCCGACCTTCCTCACTGCCCTGCAGTTCCACTACGCCAAGAGGCCCGACATGAGCTCGTACTGGATCCACCGCTACATCCCCAGCCAGTTCAACACCAGCGTCAACGGCATCCCGGGCAACGACGACTGCGCCATGGGCGCCTTCAGCAGCATGGTCATGATGGGCTTCTTCCCCGTGGCCGGCCAGGACGTCTACCTCGTCACGCCGCCCTTCTTTCCGGAAGTCTCCATCCAGGCCGCCAGCCCGGCCGCGCGCGCCGCCGGCAGGCGCGCCACCATCCGCATCCGCAACTTCGACCCGACCTACGGCAAAAAGTACGTGCAGAGCGCGACGCTCGACGGGCAGAAATTCACCCGCAGCTGGGTCACGCACGACTTCTTCCGCGAGGGCGGCACGCTCGAGCTCACCGTCACCGACGACCCGGCCGAGGCCACCTGGGGCGCGTCCGACCCCGACCTGCCCCCGAGCTACCCCGTCGGGGAGCGCGACGACATTGTCGACCCGGCGGCGGCGCCGGCGCTGCCTGTGTCGGGCCGGGACGGGCCTGGTGACCCCGATGATCCCTATCGGTCCAAGGCCGGGGGGAGGTTATAGAGCAGAGCACGCTTTGCGTTATTGACCAATTCCACCGCGTTCTACATTTACATCGCCTCGTCACCAGTCGTTGAGGTTTACGTATATCCAATTCTTGCAGTAGCTATAAAGCTGAAAAGCTGCGATCCTGCACCCCCCCAGCGTACAGGAGCTACAGTATGATGTCGCCCCCTAACGGTTCTACTAGCTGGCTGGGCAGGCATCTGCCTCAGAGCAAAGACCATTTCACAAAAAGATTCCACACGATCCGTCTCCAAGCCGTACACCCTGTGAAAAGAATCAAGCTTCATCACAAGCTACGATTTTAGCCGAGAAGCCAACTGCGCCAGAGCATGATAAAACGCGTTTGATCATTGAAAGTCATTTGCTCAAAATCATTTGTTCTATCTTGGACGCCCGCACCTCTGCTTTTTATGCGGTGTTCCAAGATAATACCCGGAGTGCAGCACCCAAGAAACCCTAATTTTGCGAAAGACCCCTTCCACGTAGTGCCTGTGGCCCGAAAAACCCGCAAAGAGATGAAAGACAAGAAAGATGCTGTGACAAAGACCACCCCACTTAACGCGACGACATAGCCTTGGTGACAGTGCGCTTCAGGGCAAGCTCCTTCTTCTTGAGGTCGTCGGCAGACGAGTCGGCAAGCTCCAGCTGTGCCATCGCCTCGCTGAGGCTGTTCTCGATCTTCTCCTTCTGGCCGCGCTTGAGCTTCAGCGACAGAGTGGGGTCCGAGATGATGTCCTCGACACGCGAGATGTAGGACTCGAGCTGCTGCTTGGCCTCGAACTTCTTGCTGAACTCGGCGTCGTTGTTCTTGAACTTCTCCGCCTCTGCAACGATAGGTCAGCGCTGCGCTAGGTTTTTGTGACGAACAAAGACACTTACCGGCAACCATGGTCTCGATCTCGGCGGTGCTAAGCTTGCCGACCGAGTTGGAGATGGTGATGTTGGCGCTGCGGCCGGAGGACTTCTCGCTAGCAGTGACCTTCAGGATACCGTTGGCACTAGAAAATCACAATGTTAGATCCGGCCAAGCACAAAGTCTGAGCGGGTAATACTTACTCGACCTCGAAGACGACCTCAAGAACAGGCTCTCCTGCCCTCATGGGAGGGATAGGAGCAAGAGTGAACTCTCCCAGCGACGTGTTGTCGTCGCAGTTGACACGCTCACCCTGGAACACGGGGAACTGGACGGTTTGTTGGTTGTCGCTGACGGTGGTGAAGGTCCTCTTCTTCAGGGTCGGGACAGGGGTACCACGGGGAACAACGGGAGCGAAGATGTTACCCTCCATGGCAACACCCAGAGACAGAGGGGCGACATCGAGCAGCAGCAGGTCGCTGGTGTCGGCAGACGTGGCCTTGCCCGAAAGGACACCAGCCTGGACAGCCGCGCCGTAGGCCACGGCCTCATCGGGGTTGATGCTCTTCTCCAGCTTCTTGCCGTCGAAGAACTCGGACAGCAGCTTCTGGATACGGGGGATACGGGTAGAGCCGCCAACCAGAACGATCTCGTCAACACCCGACTTCTCGATGGCGGCGTCCTTGAGAACCTGGGCGACGGGGTCGAGGGTGCCCTTGAAGGCGACGGCGTTCAGCTCCTCAAACCTAGCACGGGTGATTTGCAGGTTGAAGTCCTCGCCGTCGAAGAGGGAGTCGATCTCGATGGTGGTCTGGGCACCGTTGGACAGAGTCCTCTTGGCACGCTCGCAAGCGGTTCTGAGCCTACGGAGGGCACGGGCATCGCCCGACAGGTCCTTTTTGGTCTTGCGCTGGAAGTCCTTCTTGCAGTGGTCGAGGAGGTTGGTGTCGAAATCCTGGCCACCCAGATGGGTGTCACCAGCGGTGGCCTTGACGGTGAAAACACCACCCTGGATGTTCAGGAGCGAAACATCGAAGGTACCACCACCAAGGTCGTAGATCAGAACGTTTCGCTCCTTGTCAGACTTGCCGGCACCCAGGCCGTAAGCGATGGCAGCAGCGGTGGGCTCGTTGATGATACGGAGGACGTTAAGGCCGGAAATGGCACCAGCGTCCTTGGTGGACTGACGCTGGTTGTCATTGAAGTAAGCCGGCACGGTGATGACGGCCTTCTCAACCTTCTTGCCAAGCTTGGCCTCGGCAATCTCCTTCATCTGCAGGGGTACAAATACGACACCATGTTAGAATATGGGGAGGGCACACAACAGAGAGTTGATCCAAAAATGTCTAAGTGGGGGACTGACCTTGGTCAGGACCATGGCGGAGATCTCCTGGGGCGAGAACTTGTGCGTGGAGCCCAGGTACTCGACCTCAACCTTGGGGTTGCCATCATCGTCGATGACCTTGAAGGGCCACGACTCCATATCCTTCTTGACGGTCGGGTCATCGAAGCGGCGGCCAATCAGACGCCTACCGAGGTTGAAAGGCTACAGTTAGCAAAGGGTATCTTGAAATGGGGTAAACACATCAAGGCGTCTGGCGCACAAGCCGCCGCCAAGCAAGAAGAAAAAGGAGATTGGGGGGAGGACTAACTTGACATCGAAGACAGTGTTTGCCGGGTTCATGGCAGCCTGGTTCTTGGCAGCCTCGCCGATAAGGCGCTCGCTGTCGGTGAACGAGACGAACGAGGGAGTGGTGAAACTACCCTGCTCGTTGGCAATGATCTCGACATTGCTGCCCTCATAGGTGGCAACGCAAGAGTAGGTGGTGCCTGTGGTAGGAAACAACCGGCGAAGGCGGTGTCAGCAGAGGGGAAGGTTTGCGCACAAATCGCTTGAAGGCGCAAAGGTTTGGGAGGCTTGACGTACCCAGATCGATGCCAATGGCACCGTCGTAAACTTCTGTCGACATCTTGACGATGGTTTCCTGACGGATCTGCCTGGGAAAGGATCAGGTTTTGGGCTGGAACAGCGGGATGTGGTCGCTCTGCGAGGTGGGAGGAAAAGCAGATGCGGTCGTGGGGTGGGCGGCAGAATTTATCACAGAAAAATCCACGAAAATTTTGTAAGTTGCATTCGAACTTTTTTTTTCCACTGGGGCGGGTTGATCGCCCCACTCTCTCAGGCCTGGGACACCCCGCCAGCGAATTGAGGGGTCCAGCTCGCGACTCTAGGCGTGGGCTAGGAGGGACAAGACGGGCGTGGAGTGCAAAGAAAAAAAAAGTCGTTGAGCGCTACGCCACCCACTGCAGGCCGGGGTTCCCGTGCCTCGCTTCTATTTGGCAGGGACCTGGAGGAAAAGGTTTCGCCTGCATGACTGGCTTTCAAAATTGGCTGTAAAAGCATGCTACTATCCGACGGCCCAACAGGCTCTACGGAAGTGCGAGGGCGCCTGTTGATGGTTGGAGAGACGGCGAGAAGAAAATGGTATGACGGCAAGTCTGTCAGTGTAGAGCTTGGTTGTCAAGTTGATCGGGAGGCCCAAAGCCTCCCAGCAAAATACCTAGATAAATCTCTGATACGCAATATAACGGAGGTCCGTAGGTCGACTCCCAGGTGCCTCCCAGCACAGAGCCATGCGCGTCATATGCGCGGCCTGGTGTCGGGGCGTAAATTTGTCGCCATCGAGACCAGACATACCTTCGTAGCGTGGTTGCCCGTGCCCACACCCAAGATCTTTGAGCGCACAACCAGCCGGCCAAGGCCGTAAAGCAAAGCCCAATGTTCCCACTCCCATGCTTCTCCCCGGGCCAGCGAGCGGTGAGGATCACTGACTCCACCCTTCCAGGACATGCAATTAAGTTGTACAGACGCATCTGCCCGGCAAACCGGAGGCCCCGGAAAATTCGATGCAAGAGACACCCATGCGCAGATAGGGGCCCCCTTTTGCCCTCTCACTGCCGCACCAGGTTTGCCAGTACAGTGATCATCTCGAACTCTGCGTCAACGCCATCCGGCAATGTGGCGTCCTTCGGCGCCGCAGCGACCATTTGCAATGAGATCTTGTTGACTCCGTGCTGCAGTTGCGCGTCAAACAACATCTGCGATTTCTCGACCTGGCCGTTGGGGAGTGGTGGGGGTATCACACGCGGCAAGACGCGGCCGTTCACAATGGCGTACACCTTATATGGGCGCCGCCCATCAAGCAGCTGGGGAGAGATGGTGGGCAGGATCTGGACGTTCCAGGAGCTGACGGGGATATTAACCGACACCGAACGTTGGGTGAGTTTGGGGTGCGCAGGCAAGCAAAACTCGAAGCGCGACTCGACGTTCCGCGCGCCGGGATGCGTCCTGATGACGAGGTTTGATATGAGGGCGTCGGCGACACCTGCGGCACGGGAAGCGGTTAGTCAGGCGACGGCGAGATGAGGGGGATTCTTGGGTCTTGATTTCATCAAACTTACCCCTTCCAGGATGCCGACATTTGATGTCGTAGAGTTTCGCAAGGCTGGCCCCTAGGGTATTCTGCTGCTGAGGGGGAGCATTCGGCGTGTCTTGACCTGCTACCGCGGGAGCCTGGCCGTTTGGCGTCCCAAGCGGGACGTGGCCGGAGGGAGCGTGGGGAGCGCCTGGTGGAATGGCAACCGCGGGCGGATATGCGCTTGCTGCCACGCCAGCAGCCGTCGATATTGTCGGCGGCGGGACGGAGAAGGAGGTGCCCGCTGAGCTTGCGCCTCTCTCGGCCTGTTCCACGACTATTGGTGGAGTACCGTTCACGCCGTTGGGGGTGCCACGGGCGGCGCCGGCGACGTTCACGCCACCGTCTGAGCCCAGAGAGCCAGCAGACTGTGCGGTCGCAGGGCCCGGAGACCCAACCGAATTGGAGTTGCCTGGAGCAACATGAATGGTGATCTTTTTCGGAAGGGCAGGTGTCTCCTTACCAGCCAACTTCAACTTAATGGACTTGGGTGCAGGAGGCTCCACCACAACCGCTTTTGCCTCTTGGAGCTGGGCTCGGAAGAAATCCTGGAGTTGGACAAGATTGTTAGGTCGTGGACTTTGGTGGAGGCAATCGCCCGGTACAGGTGATGAGGGGATCGATAAATTAGACATACCTCGAGCTCCTTGGCCAGCTGCCAGATTTCGCTCCCGTCCTCGTTGTAGTAGTATGCATTTTCCCAGAGAAGACTGGCCTTCTCTTCGAATGCGGCCCAGCTTTTGAAGTCGCTCTTGCCCCCCTTGTCCCGTCTGCTGTGAATGCCTCGGACAAGCTTGTGGAGTTTCTTCAAGCAGATGGGCTCTTTGATGACTTGGTAGTAATCTTTTAGTTGGCGAGGCGGCAGGTTCAGGAATGGCTCGAAGTGTGCAAAGTCATCCTCCCTGGCGACGAGGTTAGCTCTGGGCAGCAATTCGTGGGTCGCGATGGACTCACTCTTGTTCCTTCTTGCGCAACAGCTCCTCAACGACCTTCTCCTGTGCCTGCTGGAATGTCAAGCCCTTGTAAGGAACCCCTTCGTACTCGACATCGGGCTTCTTTGGAGGCCTGCCTGGGCCTCTCCTCTTGGTGGTAACCACCTCAGCTTCTGAGTCGCCGTCGGCATCACCATCATCCGACTCTTCCCCTTCCTCTTCGCCTTCGCCGTCTTCATCAGCCTCTTCATCTTCATCCTGTGCATCCGCTTCCGCATCATCGCTCTGTCCTGCTGGCTCGGTGGGCTTTGAGTTGGATGGCTTGCGGGGCGTAGGCTTGGCAGGGGTGGCGAGGTTATCGACGTGTTGGTAGTTGTCCGGGATCGGGACAGGCACCGCGCTGTATGACGGGTTCAGCTTGTATGCCGGGTTGGTCTTGACCATGTAGTTACTGAGAGCCTTCCTCACGCGCTCAGCGTCATCGTACACCTGAGAGCCTCGGTCGTAGAAGTCCTTTGCGTTGGATACCATCCGCTTGAAGTAGCTCTCAAGCTCCGACATGCTCGAGAATTCCTTGTTTGCCAGCCTCTGCTCGATGGTCTCGAGGGAGAGGGGCATCCGTGTCTTTGCATAGTAATCCTCGTTGCCCTCGCGGGGCAAAAGCTTCTCGAAATAGGTTGCGACGAGACGGCCACTATGTTGCAGCTATGTGTCAGCGGAGGCAGCACATATTGTGGTGTAATGGGCGATGGATCAATCTGAATGCGTGGGTTGGGGATGGTTGGAAGCTCACGTCTTGTCGCTGGTGCGACGAATTTGAAATAGGAATTGCTGCCCATAGTGTGTCGTTGATTCTGGAGATTCTCCTTGGAAAAGGTCGTATTCAGAATTTCCCTGTTGGAAAGAGGGTTTAGTGGAAGCGCATCGAATGGGCTGGTTGGGGTGTAGTGGTGCCGAGGTCGTCAAAATGGCGAGGGGTTCAATGAGCGCCGCATAGGTTTGATGCGCGGGCGCGATCTTCCAAGCTGAAAGGCATCAGGGTGGAAAGGGGGACGGGGGATGGAGGATGGAGGAGGGGGCCGAGTTGACTGGGAGTCTCTGAGCGCAGATATCCAGGAGGGAGGGCGGCTTGCGAAAAGATTCCGTCCTCCCCCATCGGTTTGCGCAGCGCGACAGTTTTTGATATATGCCTGTTGCGCGCAGCTGCGCCAGCAGAGCCCCAAACGCCGACACAGCATGGGAAATATGGTCGATGCACACTTACTGCGGGCCCCTTTCGTCGCTTGGAGGCGCGGTCGTCGCCGTCGCCAGCTCCCGCTGGCTGTGCAGGAGCAGCCTTGCGCTTGTTCTCCATCGCACAGGGTGGGATGCGGTCGCAGGGAGAAGCGCTGGCCAATTACGCAAATTTACAGGCCATGAAAGCTCTGCGGGTCGTGATAGCCTCGTTCGATACGGATGGATATCGCGGTCGGCTGGGCGGACGGGGACGCGTTATTCGGGATGGTGCTCGAGTAGCGTGCTGGCGCTGCGGCTTGCTGTGAGCGAAAAGTGGGTGCCGACAAGCTTCTGAGCAGGCCAGAGTGGCTGGGTTGGTTCTTCCTGAGCAGGAAAAAAAAGTTGATAGATGCAATGTGGTCCGTGCGTACATTCCAATCTCAGCTGCAAAGTGACTTGCCGCGACCAACATGGACACACCAGCTGCAACTGTCACGCATATCAAAGGTCTTCTATCTAAATCCAGACATGGAACCAACTGTGTCATTTGAGGCTTTCCCCTTTTTCAGACGAGTCTTTGGTCTTTACAACTTTCTCGTGCCGAAAGCTGGCCATATAGACGTGACAGACTCCCACTTATGCCAGGGATGTGCCCGCGCTCCACGACGGAATTAGGAACTTCAATGCAGCAACCCATGAGCCATCAGACATTTCGAGATGCAACACAGACCAGCGGGGAGCCTCTCCTCACAGACTCAATTGCTCAGGCCAGGTCCGCGCATAGCCCGGCACAACCGGCAGCTCCCGCTTAGCCGCATCCATCATATCTCTCAATACTACCAAGTTCCATTGATCACACGCAGAAAATGACTCCAGTGCAGTGGTCAGGTGATGCCACGGTCTGGGATTCCTGTGCACGGGCCTCTCGCCAGTGGGGTGCGTTTGTTTACTTGGGCCGGGTGGACCTGCCCGCGCGGCCAAGAGAGCGGCGGGCAGCAGTTCTTTAGTCTTCCACAATCGGTGCCCCTCAATTCGACAGCGCGAGCCACACCGGACAAGACCAGAAGCTTTTGGAGCCTCTCCTTTCCCTCCCCGAGCCCATCGGCCCCCGGGCTCTTTAAATTTCCCTCCTGGACTGGGCCTGAGCACTGTTGTCGCAACCTCTCCCTTCTTTCTTTGTTTATCTCGCGCCCGTCTGTTGTCGCGTTACTTCAAATTCGGCCCCTTCGACTCCCGCGTCCACAGCTGGACCCCTCACGCACGTCGCGTGCCGACCTCGGCCAAATCACTGCTCGTCCAACTGGTTCCGAAAATAAACACCAAACCAAAACGCATAACAACCGCTTGTTGCACGAGACCAGAGATTGCCATGTCGAAATCCTCGCCTGCTCCCCAGCCGGAATACAACGAGATGGGAATAGATGTCTCTCGTCGCAACGTCGAGCCTCGTCCCTTGACTGACGGGGAACGCGAGAGGTTGGAGGAGTTTATCGACTCGATTCATTACTCGTCACGGTAAGCGCCCGAATGCGCGTCGATGCTTGCCCCGTGCCGCGTCGCGTGCTGATTCGCTGTCTTGCAGATACAACGACTCCGAGTACGAGTACAGACATGTAAATATGCCCTTCGCCTGCCCTTCGCCTGCCCTTCGCCTTCCGAACAGCCGCGCGGTTACGACAGCGATGCCAATGGGCCGTGGATGCTAACCCTACACGCGCCACCCCAGGTTCAACTCCCGAAAGCGATGTTGAAAGCAATCCCCAAGGACTATCACGACAGCTCAAAGGGCACACTGAAGCTGCTATGGGAGGACGAGTGGCGAGGCATGGGCATCACTCAGGTGAGAAGGCCCTCGTGCTCACTTCAAAGCCAGCGCGCGAACTGACACGGCATGCAGAGTCTTGGATGGGAGCACTACGAGGTGCATGAGCCAGAGCCGCACATCCTGCTGTTCAAGTGAGTTCTCACCGCCAAATCCATGCAGCTGGCTGAAAATGGGAAGGCGCCCATGCGACGATCCGGGGAGGATGCCGAGGGCAGCAAATGACCCATACTCACACACTAAATGCTTGCAGGCGCCCCTTGAACTACCAACCTCCGGCGCAGTGATGCATGCCACGCCCACACGACCACGAAGCTTGGGGGACTTTGTTTCCCAGGATCCGACAAGCCTGTCAATATCACGCATCCTACGACCGGCCACATGACGAGATCGACCAGAAATGTACGGGTATAATGCAGCCACGAATTTACGGCCTTTTCCTAAATCGACATCGGCGAGCGCGCGCGTTCCACTAGACTGATGGAAGTTATCGACTTGGGAATCATTCTTCATCCTGACACCAACTGGCATACTGCGAGGGAGATCATTGTTCTTTTTAAGGGGCCCGACTTTGGGACGAAAACGCATCGGTGAGCGCGACATTGTTTCTGCGGCAGCTTCCGTCGGCCACCCAAGACGGATGGCGGGGGAGCAGGGGGTCGGTCCTCTCTGCCATGGGGGAGGGGCAACCCTTACCCAACAGGAGCTCCAGGTTGTGTCGTCAGTTGGCGCATGCATCTTGGGGATCATTTTGACCACCACCGGACTGGACATCAAGACACAAAGCCAGGATGTACGCTACGTTTTTCGAGAAGAGTCTTGCGATACTGCGCGGGAAGGAGAAAAATTGGTAAGGCGGGTTGTTAGTCTAGTCGTCCAGTATATAACTTGACTCCCATATGCAGTGTCGCGGCGGATGTACGATGATCAGTCGGGTTCTTGTTGGAGCTGTCCCGGGACGATGACGGTGGTCGGGGGTTTAATGCGTCTAATGTGTAATAGCCGAGCCGACTCGGGAGCTGGCGCATGGTGTGGTGTGCCCGCAGATGCGGCTTCTGGATTTTCCGGGGTTCTACTGCAGCCGCCGTGACGGGAACAAGAACTTGATTCGGCGATGGCCGGGGCGGGCTATTATTAGGTGGAAGGCTGGCACTCCTGGCTCTCACACCACCAGCAGGGAGGGGGCGGCTACCGAACAGAGCCTCTTTGAGTTGACGGAAAATGGGGCGATTTTGCATCACACCCAACAGCCACAATGTCTGACAAGACGCGCCTGGGACTTGGTGGAATACATTTGGGCAATGCGTTTAGCTTCGGTGACGGGAATGGAAGCTGTACGCCAAGGAAGCTGTGGCAGTGGGACTCGGACCAGACAGCTAGCTGGCGGCGGGTTGGCTGACAACATAGGCGAGCCCCTAAAGGATTGACGTTTCGTGCCATCATCTGCTGATTTCCCATCTGGCCAGATTTCAACTGCGCTCCGGGCTGAGAAATGCCCAGGTCTGACAACATGCGCGGCCTCCATTGTAAACACGTACGAATAATAATTCAAAGCCATAAGAAGCTGGCAAACCCATCTCCATTGGCATGGCCTCGGCTTGATGCTTTCTTCGATTCATTTCTATAATTAATCAAAGTTGCACCACCGCCGCCCACTTTCATCTAGCAATCAACACGTTTGCGTGTCCTCATTTTTTACCCGTCTGAGCAGGTCGGCATTTCCAATTTGGAAGCTCCGGGGTGTGAACCTCCGCCAGCCCTTCTCGAGCAGCGCCTGGACAGTTTGCCAGGTCCAATTTGGTCTGTCCCTGCCAAAAAGCCAAAGCTGGAGGTTATTGGAACCACAATAGCACGCGAATACTGTTGGCTGCGACCCCGTCAAAGCCGAGCTGCTTGTTGCGCCATCCCGCCGATCCACGCCGCCTCGACCGCAGTAAAGCGGTTGCGCGCCCCTCCGATCTGGAACGCAGGGGTCATTCGCTGGAACCTTCTCGTGCATCCACAGCCGCGGCATCTGCTGCAGCAGGACAAACGGGGTTTCAGACCGGACGCGCTGTCAAGCTTCTCGACTGCGTGCCAAGCGTGCTAAATTTGTCTCCGCGACAAATCCACCTGGCGTTTTTGACTTCGGCTTCGGGCAGTGCAGACTCCGCAAGCTGGCCTGCCTTAACCAGACATCCAGGAGTACACACCCGTCCCTCACTTTCGACCACGACCGGTTAAATACACTCGACGAGACAGCCGCCCCTCCCGCTCGACGCGGGACTTGAAGCACCATGTGGTCTTCATCGCAACTCTTTTATCTCACCGTATTTGCGCTTTGGTGCCCTCCAGGCCAGTGCCAAAGCCCTCAAGATGCCTGCGCGGTACGCTGCCACAACCTTTTCTAGCCTTCTTTGTCTCTTTGTCTTACTCGAGGGTGCTGTCGGGGGCTCCCTTCAGGCGTATCCGCCGCCGCCTCCGTCGCAGCCCGCGCTCCCCGACGGACAGCTCCCCTCATACGCCGCAGCTTCTAACAGGACCTACCACTATTATCAGATATCACCCCGAGCTATAGTCTCGGACGCATGCGCCTCATACTCTACGCTAGAGCGCCTCAACAGCAAGCTCAAGCCCACCATCGAGGACCTGACACGCACGACCGACTTCTTCTCACACTACAGACTCAACCTGTTTCACAAAACATGCCCGTTCTGGAATGACGAAAATGGCATGTGCGGCAACATCGCCTGCGCCGTCGAGACGCTTGACAATGAGGAGGATATACCGGCGGTCTGGCGCGCCAGCGAGCTAGGCAAGCTCGAGGGCCCGCTAGTCAAGCACCCTGGCAAGAAAGTCCAGAAGGAGCAGCCAAAGAAGCCGCTGCAGGGACGACTGGGCGAGGGCGTCGGCGAGAGCTGCGTGGTCGAGTACGACGACGAGTGCGACGAGCGCGACTACTGCGTGCCCGAGGACGAGAGCGCCGCCGCAAAGGGCGACTATGTCAGCCTCCTGAAGAACCCAGAACGGTTCACCGGCTATGCCGGAGCCGGAGCGGCGCAGGTTTGGGATGCCGTGTACCGGGAGAACTGCTTCCAGCGCTCGTCGTTCCCAGGCGCGTCGCAACTGGGCAAGTCGGCGGCGGCCTCATCGCGACGCAACCCGGCCGCCATGGACTTCAAGTCTGTACTCGACGCGGCCGGCCGGCAGCAGGTGCTACAGGAACACCGGGCGGAGCAGCCCAACACGCCCTTTGTGGCCAAGACGGGTCTCGAGAACGAGGACGAGTGTCTTGAGAAGCGCGTCTTCTACCGCGTCATGTCGGGAATGCACGCCAGCATCAGCACGCACCTCTGCTGGGACTTTCTCAACCAGACGACGGGCCAGTGGCAGCCCAACGTGGGGTGCTACAAGGCGCGCCTGCACGGGTTCCCTGAGCGCATCAGCAACCTCTACTTCAACTACGCGCTCGTGACGCGGGCCGTGGCCAAGCTGGGCCCCCACCTTCAGGGGTACACTTTCTGCACGGGCGAGCCGGACCAGGACGCGGCGACGCGAGCCAAGGTCCTGGCGGTGACCGAGGGCGCGGCCAGCGTGCCGCAGACGCTCGACGAGTCGCTCATGTTCAAGAATGGCGAGGGCCCGTCGCTCAAGGAGGACTTCCGGAACCGGTTCCGCAACGTGAGCCGGCTCATGGACTGCGTCGGCTGCGACAAGTGCCGGCTCTGGGGCAAGCTGCAGACGGCGGGCTACGGGGCCGCGCTCAAGGTGCTCTTCGAGTTCGACAACGACAGCGACTGGGTCCCGAGCCTCAAGCGCACCGAGCTCGTCGCGCTGTTCAATACATACGCCCGCCTGAGCTCGTCCCTCAGCGCGATCACGCGGTTCCGGAAGATGGTCGAGGAGGAGGGCGCAGGCGGGCCCCCCGAGGAACAGCCCGTCGACGTGATTCCAGATCGCGCCAGGAAGCCGCACCACGTGGTCGACCCCGTGGAGCCCAGCCCCGAGGCGAGTGCGCCGTCGTCCAAGATTGACGACGAGGCGCACGAGGAGCCCGAACTCAACAGGACGGAGACCATATCGGAAAGTCTCCAAAACGAGGTGGACCAGGTATACAAGGCGTTCAAATACGTGATTTTAGGATGGATAAGGTTCCCTTCTATGGCGTAAGTACCAGTCCTTGTTGCCTTTGCCTCGCTCTGATACCCCTCTTATCTTTTTTTGAGTTTTGTCTAACGGTTGCTGCAGTTGGGAATTTGCGAGTGCCGAAGTCACGCGGTTCTGGAGGTTCTACATCGGGCTGCCGGTTCCACTGCGCGACTACAGGCTCAACCGACCAGACTTGGACGAGCTCTGAAGGGCGATGATGATTTATCTGGTTATGCGAAAGTCACGCCTGCATTTTTATTGGCCTCTGCATCATGCTTACCATGGCTCTTTGGCGTTTGGGTAGTATTGGCTTGACGACAGCACGGATGCCGTCCGGTTTTAGCTTTGTTTTTATGTCTTTCCGGGACGAGGGGTCTTGTTGCGAAGCGGCGGGATTTGTCGCAGACAGTTCGCAATGTTGTACATACAGCACGACCTAATCTCGCCCGAGATGTATATACCTCGGCAACAAAAGTTTTATCACGGCTTTGCACATTTCTGTTGCTAATGCACTATATCCCAAAGAGATTCTGCCTCACGGGCCGTCGAGGGCCTCCGCCCGAGAGGGCCAAACTGGCGACGGCGTTGCCGATCTTGACCTTGATGCACCCGACGGGGATCCGCAGGGCGCCCACGCGGTCCCGGAAGCCGGGGCGGCCGTAGACGGCGGCGGTCCGGGCGCACAGGTCTTCGGTCACGTCGGCGAAGGACCAGGCAACCGAGACGTGGAACTTGTCGTCGGCCGGCGACGGCGGCGACGAGGAGGAGGAGGACGACGCGTACAGCGGCGGCTGGCCGAACTGCCGCACCAGCGCGTTGCACCTCGCCAACAGGGCGGCGAGGCCAGGGTTGGTGTCGCCGTCGTCGTCGCGCTCGCGCACGCGCAGGACGAGAAAGGCGCGGTTCGAGTCGGGGGAGCGGTGCCACGAGAGCGCGGATGGGTGGACTGCGAACCTGTGGGATTGTTTTTGCGCACGCGCGCGCGCGCGCGCGTGTGTGTGTGAGATTACCGGACGGGGATGAATTTGTTTCCTTGTTCTCCAGGCGCCTGTTTTAGAACAGTCGGAAGCAAAACCGGGCTCCTCTCACCTCGGTACCGCCGTCTGGCCTTCAACCGCCACGGTTAGGCGGCGCAGGAAGTCGTCCTTGTCCCCGGTCGTCAGGACAAAGGGCCGCGAGAGGCTGATGTGCAGCGGCAGCGGCGTGCCGAGGTCGCTGGCCAGGAAGCTGTGCAGCTGCTGGCCGCCCGAGGGACCCTCACCCCCGCCGCCCAGCTCTGAGCGCAGCTCGTCCAGGAGGGAGGCGAGCGTGGCACATTCTTCTTGCGTTGGGAACCCTGGCGCGGTGTTAGGGCGACTTGGCTACCATATTACCATATATATATACAGGTAAAAGATGTTTGTTCCTCACACTCGATGTATATATGGCTCGGCCAGTTCCCCGCGACATGGGGGATCTGGCGAGTCCGCCCCTGGTGTAGCGAAGGGTCGTCGCGCGCGCTGGCGCGGACGGTCGAGGCGTAGAGGTCGTGGAACGACGGCGGGAGGGGTGGAAGCGAGGGCCGGTCACCGCCGCCGGTCGAGGCCACTCCCAACACCGCCGTCTTGGCGACCGGGCATGACTCCGGCTTGTGTTCGGTCTCGGACCCGGAGTCGGACGAGTACTCGACCAAGGACATTTGCGTGAGACCAGGGTTACATGGGCTACTGGGGTTGTGGGTTTGTTGACAGTGGTGGCTTTTGATTTGCGTTTGCCTAAATCTCGTGCGACATAAGCTGCAGATTTGGTTGTTTGTCTCCACGTCAGCTTCAATATGCTAGATAGAGTTAACAGTCTACTCCTGGCATTGCATCTTCGGTACCGCTATACAATATCACACGACGAGAACTTTTCCAATATGTCGCGTCGGTTATGAGTCTAGACGGGTCGAATTTCTCCTGTATACCAACATTTCACCTCGTTCAAATCACTTCCATTCCCTCTTGACGATCGTCACTAGCCGACAAAAAAGCCAACCGGGAAAGAATCCGTCAATCGAACATGGCACATCTCATGGAGCAATCAAAACCCGCACCCAGCTGTCTCACCGCTTCTAGACTTCCCAAGGCTTGGCCCACGAAGACACGAAGAAAGCTCACTCGCTGCCGTGACAGAAGCAAAACTCGATCCACCTGCCACCAGGCGCCAGCCAAGGCAGACCCTGCCTCGGCCCCTTGTCGGCGGATGACGTAGCTGCCCAGTCGAGCCCTGCCAGCTCTTCGACGTGGGGGCAGATGCAATGCAGGGGTGCGCCTCTGCTGCTTGCATGATGCTCGAAAGCAGCCGTGACTGGGGGACGGCGGGCTCTGATGCAGGCTCCGGGCGATTTCCTCAAGTGAATACCTCTAGTTCTAATGGGGCTGCTCCCGACAGCCAAAAAAAAAAAAAGAAAAAGCTCGACCGCGACGCACCTTTGCGCCGGGTTGCGGTTGCCGCTGCGCCAATGGCATCGAGGCTGGGGCCGCGGACAAAGGCAGGTGGGGTGGAATTGGATGTAATGCCGGATTTGCTGCTGCCTTGCACCAGTCAGTCGGCCCCAGCAACGCAATGCGGGTGAGCGGTGGGAAAGGCCGGTAGACGGAAGTCAGGCACGCACACACACGGTGTACGGACAGGGAGGGGAGGGTCTGGCCCAGTCACCACCGAAAGAGAGAAGTACCTGCCGCGCCCGAAGCCAGGCCGCACTGGAAGCGGGTATGGAGGATTGAGGTTCGACGAGCGACGAGCGACGAGCCCCCGTCACCCGACGAAACGGAAGCTCGGCGCGAAAAGTGACCTCAGCTGCCCCCTCCAAGCCAACCTACCCTTCCTATGGCTGAAAGGTCCGCCCCTCCCTCCCGTTGTGCCTTCTTCTTTTTATGGTGGCTGCCGGCGCCCTCTGTCGTTTGTTCCGACCTGTCCAGTTCCATCTCGTCTTTGCCTCAACTTTCTCGTCCGAACCTTTTTCTCTTTAGGCTTCCCCCCCACCGTTGGCTGCCAGCCGACTAGGCCAATCTCGAATCGCGCTAGAGCCCTGTTACCGGACGCCGCATAGCCTGGCCCAGTGTCCAACTCCAGCCCTTGGTGAGACGGCGCAGTAGCGTCGGCAAGCTCTGTGGCTTCGACCGGCGAGCTATTGTTTGCCTGCTGTGCCTGGCTCGGACCGACCGGGCCCGACGACGTCGTCATCGACCCCTGGGAGCGCCGTCTGTTTCCAATACTACCGCCAAAATGGGCAAATCCTCGGACTCCATTGATAAACAATGGGTACGTCAGTTCATTTTCCGTTTTTGTTTGGTCCCTGTCGTTTCTTGTTTCGAGACGGGCCTAGCAAAATCCAAAGCGGCCCAGCCCTTGCACAGAACTGGTGGTTTCCAGGCCCATGTCATCATAGACTGTTGGCCGCCAAAACCGCACAGTTTCGGCAGGCCAAGACATGGTACCACGCATTGCAAGATCTACACTGGTCTTCCACTTTTTTTTAAGCTTCCCGACCCGTGTGTTATCAACAGCCATGGCAACAGGCCGCTGTGCCGGTGCCCTGTCAGATTACCGCATTCAAACATTCCAAAGCCGAGTGGCTGGGGTCGATTCGCACCAGTCGCTATCCACCGTTTGCGTCACTCTTCCGCAGCCTGCCAATGCAACGGGCGCCCATCAGAGCGGGCAGGATGGCCGATCTGGGAACGGCGGTGCTCGTTGATAAAATGTCAACGTTGCAGCTTGTCGTTTTGATCTTATTTAGGATAACACACATCAGCACGACGCTAATCCAAACACGCAGGCCAAAAAATACATTCTGGATCCATTGACTGCCCCTGAACCCAGCCAGGAGTGTGGTCCCGGAAGCTCCTTTGCCAGTCCCCCGTGTCGCCGCGTCTCGTTCAATAAGAACGAGAACAAGAGCCCCAACACGGGCAAAACCACCAAACGGACCCCGTATCCGTCGCCGCCGAGCTCAACCAGCCCGAGCCGCTCTTCCTTCCAGCCAGAGAACCCCTTCTCTGACAAGCCTGCGATCCCCTCGGACGGACAGGCGACCAACAGGCCTGCTTTCGGCCGCAGCAGTAGTAGCGGCCACCCGCCGCGTTACTCGGATAGCCGGTCTCCCGTCAACTCTGGATTCGGCCGAAGCCAATCCGTTCGCCAGCCCCCTTCGGCCCATCAAAACCGTGCATCGGGCCACGCTCGTAGCAGCAGCGCCAGCATTGACAAAGGAAAGGGCCTGGAGACTGGAGGAGGCCTCAAGCGCTCTGGATCGCTCACCCAGAGATTCCCTGGCGACATGTCGCACCGCCCTCTCGACATGATCAAGCGGGACGTCCGCGCCGCTGACCGCGCTCCGCACCTGCGTAAGACGCGGTTGCCGGACACGGACACGATTGACGGACTCGACACGATCGGCGGCACATACCACCATGGCGGACCCTACGACGCTACTCTCATCTCGAGGAACACTAACAAGATGTACTCGCCAGTTGAGGCCGTCAAGGACTCCAACATGGAGGCGATCAAGGCGACGCCCAAGGAGTACATCCAGGACTCGCTTGTTAAGCACGTGCCTCTGCAAGGGACGGCCATGATCCCGCCAGGCGGTGTTGATATGACCGGCAACGTCATGAAGTATGAGGAGGGTGCCGATCTTATGCGCGAGCCGGACGCCCCCGGCGGCGCTTATAAGAGATGGGACGGCATTGTGAGTAGACTCTGATGCGGTCGCGTGTTGTATCAAGTGAAGCCGCGCTAACCTGACGTGTCCTTTATCAGCCTTACCACCCTAATGATCTCAAGGGCAAGGGTGAACCTTCTTACACGATTGAGCGCGATCTCCAACAGAAAAAGGCATTGCGGCGCAAGGAGGTTGGCTCGGGCACCAGTGGCCGCAATGGCGTCTACGAGATGCAGCCGCGGTCGTCAGCTCACGGTTCGGGCAATGACGCTAGCCGCAAGGACCTCGGCGCGCAGGTCCGGCAACGGAGCATCAGCAGTGCCGCAGCGAGCGGCTCACGTTCCAACATGCTGTCTCCTCCCATGGGTCCGGACAGAGGCGGTTCCGGCACCCCTGGCAACGATATGCGCAGGAGCAACACCACAGGAAAGCGCATCACGGAGGGGCTGAAACGCCGCTTTGGGAGCTTTCGGCGGAAGCGCAACTCGGAGGATGACTAACTATTGTCATTATCCTGTGGGATATGCTTGAAGCTTGTTCCTTCATGTGTGGAGGCCTGCAGCCGAACAAGCCATTATGAACAAGCTTGTCCATGGAACAGTTATTTTGTCTTGTTTTGTTACTTTTCGTAGTGTTGCGCTGGTATTTGGTTCATTGGGCGTAATCAGGCATACATTTTTGGAGATGGGTGCGAGGCAAGAAACACAACTCAGGCATTGTGTTGGTAGGTGGCAACATAGGTAGGCGGTTATAGATTTTGCAACGAGACACGACAGTCAAGCTAGGGTTCAGACATGGAGTGCCCAAACCCTCACGGGATGCTCTATAAAAGTTGGGGGCGATCCCGATGACTTGTTTGTGCACCCGCCTTGTTAGAACCAGTACGTTTGTGGCCGTGGACAGGGAAAGATGGGTAAAAAGAACCTACTGTAGGCAGCATAAGCGCGCTAGTTCCAACCGTGGCGGTAGTAGTACGGCCCGTCCCTGTCGGCGGTGAAGCAGGCGGGTATGTCGAGGCGGCCCCGCGCGACGACGTAGTAGTGCACCAGCAGGACGCCCGTGATGGCGCTCAGGAAGATCTGGTACGAGGCCATGAAGGACACAAACACGGCCGCGGAGCCGAGCAGGTACCACGGGTTGAGAGCCAGGCTGGCGGTGGCGCAGACGAAGAACCCCCTGCGGACGGTGAGGTACCTGGGCAGCAGGGCCGCGATGTCGTTGCCGGCCGGAAGCGAGTTTTCGAATATGGACGAGAACATGGCCGAGTAGGCGAAGCACAGGGCGATGAGGAAGCACCCGGCCCGGTTGGCGGGCGTGTAGTCGGCCGTCTGGATGCGGTCCAGCAGCGTCACGGGGTTCCAGACGAGCTCGCCGAAGATGGGCTGGGACGAGGCGCAGACGAGGTCGCCGACGAGGCCGACGAGGAAGTTGGACAGCGGGAAGCCGACGACGTTGCCGAGGATGACGTCCGAGGGCCTCTTGGCGTAGCGCTGGAAGTCGGCGGCGTTGTTGGCAAAGGTTGCGCAGTTCTGCGGGGGGAGATGGATGTTTGAGTGTTTTGGGCTTTATGAAGAAGGAAAGAGGGGGAGGAGACGAGAAACTTGCAACAGCGCCAAGCATAAAGAAGCGGACAATGAGCCACGCCCGCTCGCTCCCTGCGCGGTGCCCGGCTGGCTCACGACGGGGCCGAGGCCGCCGGCCTTTGTGACGGTCCAGGCCAGCATGGCCGTGGCCGAGACGGCAAAGACGGCCAGCTTGGCGTAGACGAGCCCGCGCATCTTGGGGACCGGGACGAGCAGGAACCCGCACGTGACGACGAAGAAGACGGCCAGGCCGATCATGCCGGCGCTCGTGAGGGCCGAGCCGCGGCCCATGGCGTTGGGCAACCCCCGCAACGGCCGGCGTCAGCGCGTGCAGCATGACGTGGACGCACTGCCCGCCCTGCACCATGTTCACGCCGTTCCGGACCGTGGCCATGAGGGCGCGGTTCAGGGTCGGCCAGAGGGCGCCAAAGACGCCAAAGGCGGCGCGGTTGACCGCGGGGAACCCCACGTGGTAGGTGGCGCCCGGGCGGCCGTTGAGGGCCATGACGACGGCGATGAGGAGCTGCCCGCCCGTGGCGCAGGCGAGCGACTCCCACATGCCGAGGCCGAGGGCCTGCCCCGCCGCGGCGCCGTACCAGTTGGTGACGGTGGCGACGGCGGAGAACCAGAAGGTGCAGTAGGTCCAGAAGCCCCAGGTGCGGTCGGCGAGGCGCAGGGGCCGCAGGTCCTCGTTGTCCAGCAGGGCGTCGCGGCCCCGGACCTCGTCGGCGCCGGGCGGGCGGGCCACGCGCAGGCGGAGCTTGGGGAGGCCCATTTTTGTCTGGCTGTCTGTGGGAAGGGATCTGGAGGCCGGGCCTTTGGGAGATAGACTTTATGGACCTGCACGCCACAGCAGCCCGCAACCTTTTTAAAGATACTACTCTCCCCGCAACACATGCAGCCCTCCTCAGAAACAGATACAATCCATATTCCCTCCCAGCCACTGGCGATAAGCAACCCGTCCCGGCGGTGCGGAAACGGGGTATGTTATCGTGGCTGCCGACCTATTTTCATTACACAGCAGTCACCAAAGCAGCTTTTTTCGGGGCACCGCTCGCCCTTATCTCGGTGGGCCCGGCGGTTCCCCGCTTCCGTGCTCGGCGTCGGATCCGACCACCGACGTTGGCTGAGTGGCGTTGACGGGATCCCCTATCGATGGCATTTATTGTTGATGAATAGAGGGAAATTTGAATTTGAAGGATTCAGTCCTGAAAGTGGGATATTGTGCTGCGCAGGGAGCTGCTATTGTCGGTTCCCGCCGGCCTCCGTTGATCGGACTTGGAGGGCCATGCGATGAAGTCGGCCTGATGTTTTTTCGCCGCGATGGATTTATACCCCATACCTGGTGCCTCCCTCTTGACCTTCCCCATCCCCGCATCCCAAAAATCCAACCCCGGAATCTCCACCTCATTTCACAAAAATGGCCTCCGCAGCCGTCATGACCCCCGCGACTGGCGCCAGCGTCGCCCCGGCGCCCGAGACGTACAAGCTAGAGCTCCTAACCGCCTACGGCCCCGTGTTCCGCGACGTGCTCAAGACGCCGCCGCGTGACTGCCGGCCCGACGAGGTGCCCGTGATCAACGTCTCGGCCCTGCGGTCCGACGACGAGGCGGCGCTCGGGGAACTCGCCGACCGGGTGCGCGAGGCCGCCGAGCACACGGGCTTCTTCTACATCTTGGGCCACGGCATCCCGCAGGAGCGCGTCGACGCCGCCCAGGCCCAGGTGCGCCGCTTTTTCCGCCAGCCCGACGAGCTCAAGGAGCGCGTGGTCATGGCCAAGTCCAAGTACTACTGCGGCTGGTCGCCCCGGTCGTCGGGCCAGCTGTCGCCGTCCGAGTCGCGCGACCTGCGCGAGGGCTTCACGTTCCGCTACCACCCGCGCCACGACCCGGCGCACGCCGCCGCCGCCGCGGGGTCTGGTGCTGCCGCCGCCGCCGCCGCTGCCTACGACGACGCTAACATCCCGCCCGAGGTGGCGCCCTACATCCGCGGCGGCGAGCCCTTCGTGTGGGAGGGCACGGCGCACCTGGACGGGTTCAAGGACGCCCTGGTCGCGTACTGGCAGGAGTGCCTGGCGCTGGCGCGGCGGCTGATGCGCGTCTTCGCGCTCGCGCTGGGACTGCCCGCGCGCCACTTCGACGGCCTCGTGACGTACCCGGGCGCCGACGGCGTCTTCCAGTTCTACCCGGCCATGACGGCGGCGCAGGCCGCGTCGTCCGAGGACGTGGGCATCGGGTCGCACACGGACCTGCAGTGCTTCACGCTGCTGTGGCAGGACGCCGTCGGCGGCCTGCAGGTCCTGACGGGCGCGGGGCAGTGGGTGTGGGTCCCGCCGGTGCCGGGGACGCTGGTTGTGAACATTGGCGACTTCCTGATGCGCCTGTCCAACGACCGCTTCAGGTCCACCGTCCACCGCGTCTGGAACCGGAGCACCGTCGACCGCTACTCGATGCCCTTCTTTTTTGGCTTTAACTTCAACGAGACGTGCGCCGTCCTGCCTACTTGTGTCAGCGAGGACAACCCGGCCAGGTACGAGCCCATCAGTTGCGGGGAGTGGTGCCAGCTTCGGCACAAGAAGACGTTTGAGGCCAAGGAGAAGCAGGGGCAGTCTAGATGTGTTGGTGTGTTTGGCTTGTGGTCAGTGGTCAAGAGACACTCGGGGTAGTAAAAGGAGATAAAAAGATAAAAATGAGATTTAGAAAAAGCCCTCCAAGATGAGCCCCCATAATACAGTCCCTGTCCCAACGCCGCCCAGCCCAACCAATCCCATTTTCTACGGTGATACCAAGCAAGCAGATTCGCTATGCTGCCGAAATTAGCTATAATAAATAAGGAGCCTCCTTCGACCATACTAAAAAGGACTAAAAACGTAATACGTGTCAAAGAAACTCCGCATCAGGCCCGCGACCTGCGCCTCGTTCCCATCCAAGGCAAAGTGCCCCGCGTCGAGCCAGTGCATCTCAAACTCCTCGACGTGCCTGCCCAGCGCGAGGGCGCCCTCGGGCGCGAATATGGGGTCGTTGCGGCCCCAGACGGCCAGGACTGGCACGCGGCTGGCGTACAGGTACTGCTGGAAGCGCGGGTACAGCTCCAAGTTTGTGCGGTAGTCGTAGAACAGGTCCAGCTGCGCCTCCTTCGCCCCGGGCCGGTCCAGCAGCGCCTGGTCCAGCCGACACGCCTCGGCCAGCGCCGCCTCGTGCTCGGCGCTCACGTCCGCCGGGAGCCCCCACGACCGGCACCACCGCGTGGTCGGGAGCTCGAGCGCGCCGCTGATGGCCTGTCTGCACTGCTCCGCCCTGTTTTGTCGATGACTGCTGCTACTGCTGCTGCTAGCAGTGGCCCAGTACGCCTCGATGGGCTCCCAAAAGGGCATGCGTAGCCCCTCGGCGCACACGTTGCCGTTCTGGCTGACGATGGCGGTGACGGCGTCGGGCCGCCGCAGCGCCAGGCGGAAGCCGACGGGGGCGCCGTGGTCGAAGACGTACATGGCGAAGCGGCCGAGCCCCAGCGCGTCGACAAAGGCCTCGAGCGTGGACGCCAGGGACGCAAAGGTGTAGGCGTAGCGGCGCGCGCGCGGCACTTCGGTGAAGCCCGACCCCGGGAGGTCGGGCGCCACGACGCGGTAGCCCGAGGCGGCCAGGTACGGCATCAGGCCGCGGTACATGTAGGACGAGCTGGAGTAGCCGTGCAGGAGGAGGACGGTGGGGGAGCCGGGGTCGGTCGGCCCCGAGTGGCGGTAGAAGACCCGGACGCCGTCCGCCTCGATGGCGTACTCCCCGACGGGGGGCAGGGCGGCGGCGGCGGCGGCGGCGTCGCCTACGTCGGTTGTTGTGCAGGTGTTGTCGGGCATGCCCCAGAGCGGCGCCTGCCTTGGTGGCGCTGTTGTTCTGGGTGTCGAGGCCATATTTGGATCTGTGGGACTTGGGGATGTTCGCCGTCGCCCAAGGGAGAAGATGTGGCAGGAGCGGGAGGCCTTGTTCTTTTTGCAGATGGCACAGGTGATGGACAACTCAGTCCCCGTTCTTGAACGCCCTGGCCTGATGTCCAGGACGGTGCCCAGCGGGCGCTGCGATTGGATACTGGGCAGGAGGGTCCAGAACGGACACAAAGTAGACAAGACACGAACCCATATAGACGGAATTCACTAGACAGGGCAGGGATGCCTGGGCGAGGAGGGAGAGCCCTGCCCTTTTTCTGCCTCTCGACGACGGGCGACAGCGCTTGGCGTGGACGAAAGAGGTATGCAAACTCGAAGGAGGAAATCGGATAGCTGCAGAAACAAGTGCAAGACCCGAGGAGCGAGCTTGACGTGCGTGACGTGTGTTGGGAGGAGGTGGTGTTGGCGGTGGGTAAGGGGTGTGGAACTGGCAAGGCATGCTCTGCACCCAACCGTCCACTGGAGGCGGCAGGTGGGAGAGCTGAAGGAAGGGCCACAGACGCGCTAGCTGGGTACCTTTCTAGCGGGTGCATTCTTCATGATCGGCAGACTACACCCGATCTTCCTAGCCCGGGGTTAGAAACACCTCCGGGAAGCGGAGCCAGCTGAACGAGGGCCGTCCTCGCAGCCCACCGGACGGGGAAACCTAGCGCGAGGTATTACGTACCACGCAGCAGAGACGGCGGGCCTACAGGGCAGGACGGCAGTGGGACGGAGGCGGCTCCAGGGCCTCCACGTCTCCCATTACCAGGGCGCCCGAGGACGGCTTGTGTAAGGGCATCGAAACGAAAAACGGGGCAGCAGGACGGGAGAGCTAGGACTAGAGACAATGCTCGGTGAGGGCAGAAAGAGGGAATAGTGATAAGTCATCAAAGGCCGGCCCAGTCTTCCACCAACCAAATTCCTGATTCCTGAGCTGGCGTAGTTTTCTGTTTTTTGAGGGCATCCCAAACGGGCAATTTTGATCGATCGTGCAATTGTGCCAAATGCGGCAGGCGGCCTTGTTAGCCACCCAATGACAGGCCCCGCCAAGCCGGGCCCTGCCATGTGTGCCGAAATCCCCGTTTGCGACCTTGGCCTGCGCTGTTGGGGGCTGTCACGCTGGGTCGGGCTGTTGTCTTTCCTTTTTTTTTTTATTCCTGCTCCTGCCTCCTCCCTCCCCATCTCCCTAGCCCTTTGTCAGCCCTCATGTTGCTACCCGCTCTGACACTGCCCTCATCGCGGGGGGCTTCGTGGGTTTATATAAACACTACCTGGCTTGGCTGCTGACTTTTGTTTCTTCACAAGGTCCACTTCTTGTGGCGACGGATCCCTCGAAGCTTCGGTTCTCCCACGGAAGCCCTCAATGCTGACCACCCCATATCCGCCGCATGTGCCTAGACCAAGATTGAAGGACACGCTACATCCATAGATGCGCCGCGGAGCCCTATTAGCTTTGGGCCCCGATGCCAGGTGCAATTGGCGCCATGCAAACTCTCTCGGCGGCTGCCCCTGCTCGCCAAGTATTGCTGAACCGGCAACCTTTCCACCCCGAAATATTGGACGGCAACCCCACCAGGCTTCGTTATGGCTCCATCTGCTCGCGCGCTTGCGGGGATGTTTCTTTGGAGCCTGCTACCGGGTAGAAAAAAAAAGGAGTCTGCCTGGCATGGCATGCAAGACGTGTGTGTGTGTGTGTGTGTGTGTGTGGTCAGTCTGCAGAGGAACCTGCTGCCGAATCGGGAAGGCAACGTCGATTGTGCTCAAAGTCAACAGCCGACAAATGGAAAACTTCACGCCACACACACAACCCAACTGCGTCCCAGGGTTGCAGGGGCCGCGGGAGCCGCGCGCCAAGTCTCAAAACCCACCCGGGTAGGCACCTACGCCCACAGCCGTCTGTCAGGCTTCCATGCCTGCTCAATAGCCGAAGAAGGCCTGGCAGTGCCTGCCGAAGGATCCTTGCGTGGCCCACTCATGACCACATGGACCAGGGAGTAGTCGGAGCTACTAGTACATGTCCTCCCTCTGGCCGCAATGTACTGTACATGCTACGGAGCAGATGTGCCCAGCGGCACACTGATTCCTCACTGGGATGGTCCATAGATGGATAAAACCCGCAGTGTGATGCCCCAAAGATAACCACATGTAAAGCAAGACACGATAGGAGCGAGAAAGCAGGCGTCGCAGAAAGGACCATGCAGAAGCGAGGCACCACATGACTGATCACATGCGCTACACAACCTCCTCATAGCGCATGTAAGAGCAGAAACATTCCCGAAAAGCCATGCTGGGATGACCGGAAGCCAATATAGACGCACTCGAGCTGCGCAGCCGGCCCTTCAAGCTCATGGCCCTGAAAGTTATGTACCAGCACACCGGCCCCAGGAGTCTGGCCGGTACCATGTAAGCCGGCGACTGCGGCTTTCGCTAAACGCGCCCGAGTGGCTCGCGGACCCGCCGCCCTTCTCCAGTCCGGAGCGTTGGCTCGGAGGATGATGTGGACCAATGAGGAGAGGCGCCGCATCGCAAAGTACAAGCGTGTATACGAAAGGGGAAGTTTACATCGAGCACTGGCGCGGCCGCACGCTCGGAACAGGCAACTTATCTCAAGCCCGACTGCCGTTAGTGTCGGCCTGAAAGGGGGACTGGGCACTACTGCCCTGAGGGGCGAGGGAGCGGAGTCTCATGACCTGTGCGATATTCTTGATGGAGCAGGCCCAACCGCATCCGCGAGATTGGCTCCGGTACACTATTGATGGGCTGACCAGATGGGCTGACCAGCTAGACCGGCCCCGAAATGTGTCGAGGCGTGTTTGGATATATTGGTGGGACACTGCCCGTCATCCTGGTGGCCTATGGTCGGCGAGAAGCGGACCAACCTGTCAGGTGCGGAAAGGGCTCTACATTAGTCTAGGTGAGAACTTGTCGACAAAAGGTAGAGTGCAGGCAAGTCACCATAATGCCTCCTCGATGAGCTTCCTATTGGGGGTGACCAGTAAGTACCGTAGCGTGAAGATACCAGGGGGATACCAGGGGCTATTAGTACTGCTCGGAATCGCAAGGCCAGCGCGGTGAGCTTTATGAGTGAGCTTTATGAGCTGACAGGGCCCTCGAGCGTATGCTTATACAAACATGTACACTCGTCGGGGACGAGGAGAGAATCCTGTGCAAGTAAGCTTGGTGACAACGGACTGCCGAGCAGATATAGATTACAGCAGAGATTATGACTACAATCCAAGACCATGGCGCCCATTGTTTCCTTGTCTATGGTGTAGTGTCCTTGCCGGGTAGGAATAGGGCCTGGCAGTCCAGATGAAATCACAACTAAAAATGCGGCCGAGCCCGACTCCGTCAGCTCCGTTCTAGTCCCGACTGATGTGGGGCCATCCGGCGGGTTCACGGGATCGCGGGGGAAAAAAAAACAAGACGGGATTTGGGACGTCTCATTCGCGCGGGGTCTCGAATTGCAGCATCTCGAATCAGAGCAAACGCTGCTTGAGAGCATGACTGAGCCAAATTGCTAGATTTCAACTGCCTAATCTCGCTTGCTTTTACATTGAGGAAAGCTCCAGTGGCTTCCCCAAGAGCACAAGAGGAAAAAGAAAAAGCAAAGGAAAAAAAAACCAGCAAACATGTCGGCCCAACCACCAGCCCGCCCCGACCCGCCACCCGCCGCCGACAACGACGACCTGGCGACGGGCGACATGTTCGCGGACCCGGCCGACTTCTACCCGCCAACCCCACCCCCACGCACCGAGACGCACACCCTCGCGTCCGGCAAAACCCTGACCCTCTACCTGGTCGGCCACAGCGTCATGGACGCGCACCACCTGTGGAACGGCGGGCGCGTGCTGGCCGACCACCTCGAGGCGGACCCGTCCCTGGTGCGCGGCCGCTCCGTGCTCGAGGTCGGCGCCGGCGCCGGCATCCCCAGCCTCGTGGCCGCCCACCTGGGCGCCCGCGGCGTCGTGGCGACCGACTACCCGGACCCGGACGTGCTGGTCGCCCTGCAGCGCAACGTCGACGGCTGCGCGCTGGTGCCGGACCCCAAGGCCGACCACGTCGTCGTCGACGGGTACGTGTGGGGCCACCCCGTCGATAAGCTGCTGGAGAAGATGCCGGGCGGCGGCGGCGGCGGCGGCGACGGTGCAGCAGTTGAGGGGGCCGCCGCCGGCGTGGACGTGCTGATCATGGCGGACCTGCTGTTCCGGCACACGGAGCACGAAAATATCGCAAAGACGCTGGAGCTGGCGCTGCGGCGGGCGCGGGACAGCAGGGCCTTCGTCTTCTTCACGAGCTATCGCCCCTGGCTGCGGGAGCGGGACCTCAAGTTTTTTGACATTGTGCGCGAGCGCGGCTTCGTGGTCGACAAGGTGCTGGAGAAGAAGATGGACGAGGTCATGTTCAAGGGCGACCCGGGCGACGAGGAGGTGCGCAAGACGTGCGACGGGTACGTGGTGCGCTGGCCGGAGGACAAGTGGCTTGACTGAAGGGCGATAATAATAAAAATACTTACGGTTTTTTTTGACGAGGATACCCGGGATTTTTGGAGAGCCTATAGAGGGGGATATGCATTAAAAGCAAGAAAAAGATCATGATTTCAACAATGCGTACATATTGGCGATATATACACCAGGAGCCGCTCCATATGTGGCAACGTACATCCCAAACTAGGCTACATATGCCATCCATCTACACACCCCTCACCCCCCTAGTTCGTCCTAAACATGGCAATCGTCTGCGGGAACACGTTAACATTGTCGGCCCACGACGCCAGGCTCGCGCCGTTCCGGTCCACCATGCTCCGTGAGCCGATGGTGTTTAGGTTATAGAACCGGACGTTGTTGAGCGAGCCCCGCAGGTCCACGATGCTCTCCTGGCAGGTCGCGCCCGCGCCCACGTCCGAGCACGCGGTCGAGTAGTTGTTGAAGAAGCTGTACTGGCCCGAGCCGTAGACGAGCAGGTCCTGCGAGTCGAGCACGCGCACGCCCCACGCGCTGCACTTGCCGGCGCCGTTGCGGCAGCTGACGCTGAAATCGGGGTCGTTGAAGGACGCGACGGCGGGGAAGGGGACATTGGCGGTCGGGGTGGGCTGGAAGTATCTGCGTGTCGGGTGGGCGGTTAGCGGGCTGGTATTTTTTTTGTAGAATGTGTAACGATGAACTCACGGCGTCTCGGTCTGGAACTGGGTGCCGAAAATGCTTCTTGTGTTTGCAAACTGGTAGTTGTACAGCACAAAGTGCTCGCTGGCGGTGCCAACCAGCCAAAAGGTTCCGGCAGTGGACTCGATATCTGGGGGGATCGTCAGTGGGAGATGTCCGGCATTGACAAGCTCGGGAGGAAAAAAAAAACCTACAAAGACCACGTCCTGCATAAATGGTCGTCTGCGTCAGCGCCTGGTTGTCAATATCGTGGTCCGCGGTCCAGATCCAGCAGTTCTCCATGTACAGGTTGCTGGCGCCCCGCGTGACGTGCATGCCCATAAACGCAGCGATGCAGTTCTGGTTGACGGCAGAGCTGCCCGGCGTCTTGAGGCACTGCGCCACCTGCAGGTTGCTACCGGCAAACCCGCCCACGCGCGTGTGCACCTCCCACATGCCGCTCGGGCTGCCCCCCGCCGGTGAGGCCAGGTTCCACTCGATCAGCACGGCGCCGGCCTGGGCGCCCTGGGTCGCGACAATAAAATCAGACAGCTCGGCGGTGCCGACGGTGCCCGTGGCGGCGCCGACGCGCACGACGGCGCGCGGGTTGGCCATGTCGGCAAAGGCGGACCCGGAGCTCATGATGACGGGCAGGGCCTCGCCGGCGACGCGCGAGCCGGGCGGGATCGTGATGGTGGACGTGATGCGGTAGATGCCGTGGTCGAGCCAGAGGACCTTGTTCTGCGCCGCGGCGGCGTCGAGCGCGCGCTGCAGGGCGGCCGTGTCGTCGGCGGTGCCGTCGCCGAGCGCGCCGGCCGAGCGCGCCGTCATGATGGACGAGGCCGGGAGGGACTCGTACTGCGGCTTGGACCGCGCGCAGTAGCGCGACGAGCCCGACGCCAGCAGTGAGGCCGGGCGCTGGGCCGGCGAGAAGGCGCCCTGCCAGCGCGTGGGCCCGTTGGGGGCGTACTGGTGGCCCTGGCCCCAGGCGGCGATGGTGGTGGCGCCGGCGGAGCCCTGGAGCACGGTGGCGCCCCCCGAGGCGGTGACGGCGACGGGCACGTTGTTGAGGGACAGGTTCTCGATGATGACGCTGCCTGCGGTGCGGGGCTGCGAGCTGGCGGAAAAGGCCGTCTTGATGCCGACGGGGACGTTGGTGAAGGTGCTGTCGATGAGGGTCAGCGAGCCGACGTTCTGCGTGCCCGTGTTTGTGAGCGACGACATGTCGATGCCGGTGCCGCAGTCGCGGATGTCGAGGCCGTGGTACGTCCAGCCCCAGTCCCACAGGTGGATGATGGCCGTCTGGCAGTTGCGGAAGACGAGGTTCCGCATCGTGTACTGCTGGTTGCCCATGGACGCCCCCGTGGCGCCGCCGATGAAGGTCAGGTCCGACATGAAGCCGCCGCTGCCGCTCTCGATGAAGAGCCCCACGTGCACGACCCCGGGGGCCGTGGGCATGCGGAAGACGATGTTCTGCAGGCTCGTGGCCTGGCTGGTGGGCCAGTGGATGCCCGTCGCCGCCGTGCCGGGGGCGATGTTTGTCGTGTCGATGACGAAGTTGCGCACCTGCTTGTAGAAGTTGTTGACGGCGATCCAGTTGAGCTCGCTCGTGTAGTACGGGTTCCCGTCGATGAGCCCGAAGCCCGCGAACCCGGCCGTGGCCTTGAGCGTCGGCGGGTTGGACGCGTCGCCCACCATCATGGTGAAGTAGGGCGGGAGGAGCGATGTCGATATCAGGTACGTGCCCGCGGGGAAGTAGACGAGCGCCGGCGTCGTCGTCGTCGACGCGCAGCCGCGCCCGCACCGGGCCCCCGACTGGAGCGCCGCGTTGATGGCCGCCGTGTCGTCCGTGACGCCATCGCCGCGAGCCCCAAAGTCCTTGACGTTGCGGTAGACGCTGTAGCCCGCGGGGGCATAGGGCGCTCGGCCCTGGTCTGATGGAAATCGAGTTAGCAGACGGCTTCTATCACCAGTTGGTTCTACCATCAGTTGCTGCAAGGCCGACCTAATTCAAAAGCTAAAACCCACGAGAAATATCACCAAGCCAGTAGGCCTCTACCGTTGCCCACAGGAGCAAGGCGAAAAGGAGTGACGACGCGCCAAAGAGACGCATTTTCTGGTTCTGGGCCCGAATCTCTCTGTGCTACTAGGATGTACTTCTCTTCCTGGGTGGCTGTAAAAGTCCAACGGAGCCGCAGCGCAGAGCTACCCTGAGAGAAACCGCACAGATGCTATGAGGCTCTGTCGGCCATTTTATAGCCGATTCTTTTTTGCAGACTTTTTTTCCATCCCGCCTACCATGGGCATTAGCCGTGGCCTGCGGCTCATACCAACCAAAGAGTAACGTTCCCACCCGAGGTCTTCTGACACATGCCGCTCGCATCGCGGCCAGAGCGCTCTATTGACAGGGGAATCCACAAAAGGCAGGCGCAGGCGAGAGGCTGCCTCGCCAAGGGCGAGGGGAGCCTGCTATAGACGGGGAGGGCAGAAACGGGAAAAAAGGCCGGCGTCAAGCGGGCTGGACGGGCAGACGGGACCAGCCGCGGGCGGACCCGGAGAGCACGCTCACGGCACTGTCTACCAGGCAGCTGCGAGACAGAACATCACATGAATCGTGGAGAAATGCACCACCCGCCGTGCTCGCGTCGTCGGCCCTTTTATTAGCATGCTGCGGGGGGGGGAAGCGAGGCCGCCAACGGGGGCACGAGACCGGCCGAGGGCCGTCCGTGTCAAGACAGCCGGACGAGGGGACACCCGTGGCGGTCGCGCGTGGGCGAGACTTGCAGGAACACGGCGACGAGTGAGCGACGAGTGACTGGTCTTGGCTCCCATCCGGGCGCGGAAAAGTCAGATGTGATAATGACAAAGCGCTTGTGTTTCCACGTCCTGCGTTTTGACGTTCTGTGAGCCGGGGGGTTCCTGTGACTGGAAATTACAGGGCCGCGAATCAGCTGCGGCGGGCTGCTGGCTTGGGCCATCGTGGGTGCTGGGATGCCGGAGTGGTGGTGGTAGTGGTAGTAGTGGTGGCGGTGGGAGGCAAGGAGGGGAGCCGGGACTGCGGGACGGAACATAAAGCAGAGATATCAGGGGCTGGGCTACGGGACAGCGCCGTCCTCCGAGCGCCATGTGCCGGGCCTGGGCCATGGGTCATCCCAGCAACAGACGAGTCTATTTTGTGCGATATCTGGTTCCGCGGCGCTCATTGGATAGAGCACCACCATATCAATCTCCTTTTCTTTCCTTTTTCCCTCCTCATGCATGAGTTCTCATCTCGTCTTTTGCCGTGGCCGAGTGGCCCAGGTAGGGAGGAGGTCCGCGTCATCGAGCCTCATTGGCACGCGTGGATGAATTTCCTTCTTGTCCAAGGCGTGTCCATTGCAAGTGGATGGCGAGCCTGGCCATGGGATGTAGTGTCTTGACATGGTGAGCCATGCAGGTGACGATGACGATCTGTGATGCTGGGTTTGGGTGGGTGCAAGTGGGTGCTGTGGGCTGGGTGGGGAGCGTTGGCGCGATCGGAGATTTTGGGCACGAGCCTGGAACACCAGACCGGCTACGGACAGAGACAGCACCCACTACGATACCTCCTGGCAGTCTCTGGCAAGACAAGAGTCTCGGTCAACCACACAGCTTCTCTGGCTTGGCGCCTGCAAGGACAGGTTCATGTTGCATTCGACAGCAACCACTCACTAAACTGCCGATGGAAATAATGGCCGGTGCAGTACCATAATCGGGCCGCACCCATTCATTTCTCCACCTACCACTAGAGTCCACCAGAGTCGACAGACTGCGAGATGCCGATCTCTGCCGAGTGAGCCAACGACGCCAAACGTGCCAGACAGACAGGCAGCAGGCATGGGCAGCCCCCATCCCCAATAGGCCGCCATGTGCTTGAGAGGCGCATGAGCTTGGTCAAAATGTCTCGGTTTGTAAAGGAGAGACACGGCGTGCTTCTTGCATCTTTGTATGCAGAAACGCAAATACAAGAATCAAAACTGGTCTGCTCGTGTGTGCGAGAAACGAGCGGGGCAGCCCACTGGGAAACCCACCAAGGGGAGACCAGCTGCAAAGTCTGCTTCCCAACACGCACAGCAACCACATTCTGCCTATTCTGTCACGGACGAAGCTATTCGTAGTCGAGATTGGATTGCTGCAGCAGGGGCTGGAATGAATCAGCACTCCTCTCTCTTTCTGCACACCTGGAGTCCACAGATGTGTGAAAGACGTTGCCTCAACTACATCAGATCGCAGGTCAGCAGCCGACAGATGCCGAGGCCTCAACCAGAAGGAGTGGCGGCAGGGTCAAGTGCAAGGCCATTTGGAGTTACGCAACAGAAACAATTACCCCGGACAATTTTCCACGGCAGCAAATGCTCCGCAGCCCTCTCCTTCTCCGCTTTCTCCAGCTTTCCCCAACCCCCGTGGCCAAGCTTGACCTCCCCGCTCTCTCCACACGGACATGGAGGGGCGTTTTTATATTTTTCCTGGTGGGCTTTTGCTCGTGGAGGACCCTGTGCTGTGTTGTCCAGTGGGCGGGCAGAGTCAGGCAGCTGCAAGAGAACATGTGCGATGACTCGGCGGGTTTTTGGGATAATGCTCGCTGGAGACGGATAAAACAGTATAACGCCAGTAAATACTGCCTACCTCCTCCCAGTACACACGTTACGCCCGACGCTATCCAAAACCGCCCTCCATGGGACGCCAGCTGCTCAGACTACGCTCGGATCTTTGCTTCCCCGCCCCCACACCTGTGATAGTGAAATTGTGGGGAGAAGATGGGGTGGGAACGCAGGCTGGGGTACAGCCGGGGAAATTAGCTTGGGCAGGCGCGAACCAGGGTGGACGCGGGCTGACTGCCTTCGACAGGCGCGAGTTCTGCCCGTTTTCCATTTTGAGAAGATTGATCCTCTATCCTCAGATCCCTCATCCCTCATCCTGCTGCCAACCAAGGCTTGTGCTGCAGACCTCAAAGCTCAGCAATATGGCAGGGTCCCCCTGATGATGCAGCTTGCGTCGAAGCCAGAGAACTAGAGAAAAAAAAAAGAAGCAAAAACTACCGCCTCCACCTTGATGATCGCCCCTTCCCTACCAGTGACTTCCAAGCTCACCCCAAACTGCCGTGTCGCAACTGGGACAGCCCCTGCGCCCACGACTCGTCCCGAGCGACCTTCTCCTCTTTTTCCCCGCCCGCAGCTTTGGGGTTCGCATCTCCCGTCTCCCAGGCTTGCTTCCGAGTTCCCTTGTTGATCCAAGAACGCAGCCGTCTCTCCTACTCGCCTGCCACAACGCGGTTGAGGTCTTTTCTGGAGTGTGAGACTCGCCGTTCCGCTGCCGTCACTTGGTGCCTGTTGTGTGTGCAGCACCCGCGCCGATACGCCCCATCTCGTCCCTCCTTGTCACGCACTCCCGTTCGGAGCGTCAGAGCGCATCTTCACGCGCCACACGACGAGCCAGACGACACCAAACAAAGTCTCGGACGCTCACTCGGCAACCTGCGCCATCCATCTGATGACATACTATCGAGTCTGCGGAGGATAACCCGCCACTAGTCTAGCGAGTGCGCCCGCACGCCTCCCACATCATCCCCTCATCTGCCCATCTCACCTAACCGAACCCTGCCGTTGACTCCCCGCGGTTTACTCCCCTCGTGTCGCCTGTTGGGGTGTTCTACCCCCTACCCCCAGCCCGCCATTATTAGCTGCTTGTGGTGGGTGCCGTTCGAGATTCGAGACAGCTCGGAAGCCGTTGAGACCTCCTGCCGCGTCACACGTGCACACCCACATGCACACCCACACGCACAAAAACTCTTCAACACACACAACATAGACACATCGAGACACCTCCTCACACCCGCTCCCGCGCTGCTGGCCCAAGCCCCTCCGCCCACCCATCTAGGCCGTCTTGCCTTGATGCTGCATAGCCTAGCGTGGCGCCGTGCCCGTCATACGCGGATCTGGCAACCGCTATTTCAGGGCGGCGTATCATTGCCTGCCGCCCCTCGGACCTTGGACGCTGTTTCTGCAAGCTGGATGGCGGCCTGTTGTTTCCTTTCCAAAAGAGCAGAGATAGGCGCAGCCATCACCCCTGATCCCAGTGCTGCTCCAGTGTCAGAAAGTCCCGACTGCACATCCACCTGCCCGCACCCACTCTCTTTCAAGGAATCTCTCGGTACTGGAGGAGGAGAACAGGGCGGCCCGGTCCAGTGAGGAGCGGGGGAGCAACGTTTTGCGGAGGAAGCCTCTCCACATGAGGAGCCGAGTATAATAGCAAAGGATGGTTGATTTGCCCAATTCATCCTTTCCGTATTTGCACTCACCCCCGCAGAATACTCGAACAAGTCTCTCCCCGAGCTGATCTCGTTGCGCTTCTGTTCCGCGTTCCGCTTCCCCCCTCGGACGAATTACCCCCCCTTTTTCGTCCTCGCGCGGGCCGGAAATCGCAGCCCCTTGCCATCCCCCTTTTCGCACCCTCTCCCCCGCGCCTGCAACACCGGCCTCTGTGCCGCGTAATTCGATCGACGCCCTCGGGCCTACTCCCTCAAGTCGGCGTGCGTGGACGCCGAGCTGGATACGCTCCGTCTGCGTGCTCCCCAGGGCCACGGCCGTGCAAAAAAGTCACCAACAAGACCGACAGCATGCTGCCCATGCAGTCGATAGAGGCGCAGACGCCCTCCAGCATTGCCGAGGACAACGGAGAAAGCCGGCAGCAGAAGCCAAAGACGCTGCCGTGCAAATACTGCAGCAAGCGGTTCAGGTGAGAGCACAACCGCAACCAACTCTCGGCGTCCCCACGCGTCGTCCCTCCTCTATCGCATATTGGCTTACATTGTCGTTCCACTTTAGGCGTGTGGAGCACGTCCAGAGACATGAGCGGACTCACACCAAGGAGAAACCCTTTGCCTGCACCTGGGACCGGTGCGGAAAGACTTTTGGGCGCCGGTGAGTTCAGAGCGCTGTTACCTCCCTGTGCTTTTCTCGTCTGCACCGTCGGTTCTGGCCTTCTCTGTTGGGCATCCTGCTCCCCGTTCCGCCTCCTCCACTTCTTTTCTTCTTGGTTCCCCAACATTTTAATCTCGTCATCCGATGGTTGGCCTCCTCGTGTTTGCGCCTGGTTGTGTCTCGCTTTCGCCGCTTGATCCTGCTGTCCCTCTTGTCTTGGGCTTACATGCCCATGACAAGGCGTGCGTCCGCTGTTGCCCAATCATCTTCACACCGTCCCGCTCTCTCCTCTGCCCCCTCAAAGCGGTGCCGAATCAGGCCCCTCCTTCTTCACTCGCAACAAGCCAGCCCCATCAAGCACGAATCTCTCTGTCCTCGTTGGCAGCATCCACCATCAAACGACCGGATCCGTCGAAGCAGTATCGTGAAAGGATGCCTACATGGATCTAGCATGGATCTTGCATGAACCATCGCCGCTGACCACCGCGCCGACGAGCGCCGGAGAGTCCAGTGATCTCCTCGCTCGCCACAATAAGCTTGTCCATCTCAACGAGAGCAACAAAGATGGCACTCGGCCGCGGAAAGCATCACTGGGGAGTGTGCAAGGAGGGCCCCCCGAGGGCCATGCAGGCGTCGAAATGCTCGGCCTGCAGCAGCAGCAGCAGCAACAACAGCAGCAGCAGCAGAGACCGCCTCCACCCCACTTCACCCCTGAGAGCATGGCATCGTCGGTTGTGTCGCCCGATCAGCGCCTGGCGTCTCGAGCGGCGCCGGCCTGCAACCTCGATCTCCTCTCCGACGCCGCCACGCACCTTGCCTCGGCTAGCGAGGTGGGCCAGATGCAGCACCCTATCATGCCCGAGCTTGGCCAACACCCCGGCGGGCCTAGGGTGAAGCCGTACGACGAGTCCCTGGCCTACCAAGATCGAGCACAGGAGCAGCACCAAGGAATGATGCACGGGGCCTTTGCGGGGCAGCAACCTCCTCCAACGTCGTTCGACGACTATAATCTGTTCCTGGACGATATGGGCAACTCGTCACACTTTCTTCCGCCGGCCTTGGAGGCGGAGCAGCCCTTTAGCATGTGGCCACGCCAGCCAGGAGACATGCACGGCCGAGGAGCCCTGAAGCCAGCGCCGTCGTTCCCTTCAACGCGCTTCCCGTCACTGGCGCCCGACGCGGCCGAGGGCTCGACAGCGAGGATGCACGAGGATGGCATGAGGGCTCCGGCCTGGAGGATTTCGGCGGCAGACTACACCGCTATCAAGAGCCGCCTCGACGAGTTCTCTTCGGTCATCCCCAACGACTTTGTATTCCCGTCCCGATATACACTCAGCCGTTTTCTCGAGGGCTACGTTACCGGCTTCCACGAACATCTCCCGTTTCTACACATAGCCACCCTGGCGCCGGCCGACATATCTCCGGAGCTGCTGCTGGCGACTCTGGCGGTCGGGGCGCTGTACCGATTCGAGAGCCATCGGGGAAACGCCCTGTGGTACGCGGCCAAAGCTGTGGCCATGGAGCAGATAAGGAGAAGACACATACACGAGGTTCACGGCCTCCTGCCCACCCCGGCGGCTTACAGCCCGCACTCGACTCGGCCGTCTCCCAGCACGGGGTACCGGCACTCTTTCAACTCGGTCCAGCACGACCGGCCAATGACGCAAGAAACACACCGCGAGCCATAGTGAGTGGTTGGCCATGACGTGTCGATGATGCGTTCTTGTCTGCTATATTCTGACCCTGTTGAAATCATGACAGCTCGCCCAACACGCCGCAGTCTCGGCTCGAAACCATCCAGGGGCTCCTTCTGCTGTTCGTCGTTGGGCTTTGGGGCGCAAAGGCGATACTCAACGACGCACTCGCGCTGCAGAGCCAGATCGCGCTGCTGGTGCGCGAAGAGCGGCTCGTGCCGGAGCCGGGGCAGGGGCAGGGCCAGGCGGCCGACTGGGACACGTGGATCCGGGTCGAGGGCGCGGTGCGTACCAAGCTGATCGCGTACTGCTTCTTCAACGTTTGCAGCATCGCGTACAACACGCCGCCGCTACTACTGACGTCCGAGGTCAACCTGGCGCTGCCCGGGTCGTCGCGCCTGTGGCGGGCCGAGTCGGCATGGCAGTGGCAGGAGGCGCGGCAGTCGTACCCGCGGCTCGAGGTGCCGCTTCAGGACGCCTTCTCGCGGCTACTCAACCGCCCGTCTCAGGGCGCGCTCGTGCACGTCTCGTCGCTGGGCAACTACGTGCTGATGCACGCCCTGATCCAGCACGTCTACCTGCTCAAGCAGACGTCCTTCGCCATAGCCTCGCCATTCGAGGTGCACCGGGGGCTCAAGGTTGAGGACATGGAGGAGGTGGCGCAGGCGCTCCGGGTCTGGCAGCTGGGTTTCGAGCAGGTCCAGGCGCGGGCGGCGGCGGGCGAGACGGGCGGCGGCGGCGGCGGCGGCGGCGGCGGCAGCGGGGAGGGATTCTCGCGCGGGCCGGTGGCGTCAAACTCGATCGCGCTCCTCCGGCTCGCCTACATCCGCCTGTACACCGACATCAGCCCGAGCCGGACGCTCGAGACGCGCGACCACGTTCAGCTGGCGAGCGCCTTCTACGACGCGCCGCTGCCGACCCGGAGCCCGAGGCTGCACCGGGCTCTCCTGCAGGCCATGCACTCGCTAGCGATGCTAGTCAAGGTCGGCGTCAACTACGTTGCGAGGACCAAGTCTCTCGAGTGGAGCATGCAACATTCTTGTGAGTTTTCATCTCTTGACGGTCCGGCATGTGTTGTCCGCCCCATGCTAACTAGATGGGTACAAAAAAGTGTGCAACCTGGACTGCGCAGTCCTCTTATCAAAGTGGCTGCTCACCCTGGCCTCGATCGGGCCCAACGAGCAGCCGCCGACGCACGAGGAGCGCAACGTGCTCGAGTCGGTCCGCACGATGCTCGACGAGACCGAGTTCGCGGTACCCATCGACCCTTCGCTCTCGGGGCCCGGGCCGGGCGGCGCGTCGTCGTCGCTGCCGGCGAGCGACGGGGCCAGGCTGCGGCAGCTCGCCGCCGCTGTGGTGCGGCTGTGGGCCGAGACGTTCAAGGGCAACCACATTTTTGAGATTGTACGCATCATGGCGCTGGGGCTCGAGGGTTACGCCGACCTGATCGAGAAGCCGCGGGACCGGACGCCGCTCGTCAGGCACGCGACCAATCCTTCGCTCGGCTGAGGGCGGGCTGTCAGCTAAACTCGGTCCTCTCTACACGCAAAATCTCGAGACGAGCCGGGCCGAGCCGAGTTATACGGTTACGGGGATTTGTGAAAAGAGCGCAGAAGAACACAGTCCCTCGCCCGGCCCACGAGCGCTTCGACGCAGGGCGCAGTTGTGCGCAGTTTGCGATGCAGTCGGTTCGTAGTCTGCCCGCGTTGGACGTGGCGCCCTTGTTAGACAGGTTGGCTGACGTGGTGCACACAGGTGACTCGAGGCGCCACGACACCGAGGCGCAGAAGGATGCAGCAGTCCAAGAGAGGTAGTGTCAAGTGGCAGCCCCGTCAGCGCGTTATTCTTGCACATCAACGTCTTGGAAACAGACATATTACAGACACAGCACCCTCGGCCGGCTCAGGATACAGCTGGTAATTCAAGTCATATATATGTCCATGGCCGCCTGTAGTGACAGTGGAGACGTAATTGGATAATAGACCACAGAGAAGGAAAAGAAAAGCAGAACAATTTGTCGTCCAGGTGTGCGAGTCCGCCCCTAATATTGCGCCGGGCGCCTTTTCCCAATGGTATCATAGCGCCGATCCCAACAACAACGAGATTAGATGGGACAATTTCAAGTCCCTCGTGCAAACCCTTTTTTTCGTGTCTTGTGTGTGTGTGTGTGTGTGTATCTCTGTCTTGTTGCCATCGACCACACCCCTTCTCCCTCTCCCTCTCAACGGAACCCGTCCTTCATGTTCTGAGCCCTCGTCTCCCCCTTGACGTAGTCGCTCAGACGCATCTCGTTTGTCTCGTCGGCGTGCCCGCTCATGGGGTACAGCGTGCCGGGCGTGTACCTGGGCGGCATGCCGGGGTGGTGGTGGCCGGCGGCGGCGTCGTCGGGCCTCGAGGAGCCGTCGGTTATCAGCGCGGCGGCGGCGGCCTCCTCCTCGGGCGTCTCGTAGCCAAAGTTGGCGGCCGCCGTCCGGACCGGCGGGGGGGAGGACGAGGAGGACGAGGCGGCGGCGGCCTGGTTGTTGTAGTGGTGGTGGTGGTTGTAGCCGGCGGCGGCTGCGGCGGCGGGCGGCGGGCCGTAGCGGTACGGGTGGGTCGACGGCGACACGGGCGACACGGGCGACGGCAGCGTGTGGGCGCTGCTGCTGTCGTGGCGGTGGACGGCGGCGACATGGGGGTGGGGGTGCGTGTGCGGGTTGAAGGCGGCTTCGGTCGAGGGCCCCGCGGCCACCGGGGCAGCAGCAGCAGCAACAGGGACAATGTTGTGCTGCTGCTGCTGGGCGTGACTATGCTGATGGTGCCCGCCGCCGCCGCCGATGGACGCCAGCGACGTCGGCTTGGAGCGGGCCTTGTCGGCGTCGCGGACGGCGGCCTGGATCTGCAGCTCGACGGCCGCGTTGCGGGTGTAGCTGCCGGCCACCACCATCAGGACCTCGACGATGATGGAGCCGATGAAGGCGAAGACGAGGCCGACGACGATGATGAAGAAGCCCCGCGACAGGGCGCAGTAGCGGTCCAGCTCGCCCTTGCTGCCGCCGAACTGGTTGGAGAAGCGGATGCTGCTGTAGCCCGTCTTGGGCGCCTCCCTGGAGTCTTCGGGGAGATCTATATTTTATCCAGTTTAAATGTAAGCAAAGGCGGTGGAGGAGCGGATGAGAAAAAGGGAAAGAAAGAAAAAAACGGCTCGACCAACAGTTGCTACGCGTCAGGCCGGCGCAGTTGGCGGGCAGGCCGGCCTGGGACAGGATGGTGAGCTCGGCCAGGAGGATGCCGATGAAGACGAGGTCGCCCAGGATGGCGGTCACCAGCCACGGCGTCTTTTGCCCGCGCCTCCCGGTCCGTATCAGGGTCAGGGCGAGTGTGGAAAAGAGCAGGGACGACGTCATCTGCGGGTTTTCTTCATGTTAGACCTCCCTCTCGCCCCTCGAGGCCGGAAGTGTAAAGCACAAAACAGGAGAAAAAAAGAAAAGCATACCATCCCCTGGAGCACCGGCAGGCTCTGGCCGGGCCCTAGCCGGTTTATTGTAATGTAGGCCAGCAGCACGGCCTGGAGCACGCTGGCGGCGAGCGAGGCCAGAATCTGGAGACATCGCGCCAGCCCGTACCAGCTCGAGAGGCCCCACCCCATCGTTTTTTTTTTTTTTCGGGCGGACGGGCAGAGAAGCCTCGAAGGGCGGGTTTACGGGATGCGGCTGGAAGCCAGGCACGCGGCGGGAGAGTTTAGGCGTGTCGGGAAAAGCTCACGGCTCGGAAGGGCACGCGGATTGACGTTTGTTTTGTCTTCTTTACGAGCAGCGCAGTGGTGATGAGGAATTACAACATGGGACCGAGGCAATCGGGGGAAAAGAAAACAAGATGCGCATGGAAACCGCTTGGGTTGGTCAAGAAACACAGAAAAGCAAATAGAAAAGGGCGAGCCAGGCTGAGGAAGAAAGGATTACGGTCCTCAGCACCACGGCCAGCAAGAGCGGGCGGGCGGCGGGGGAGGCGGGCGAAGCAGGGGAGAGCTGAAAGGCGAGCAGAGCGGCCGAGAGAGAGCTGCAGCAGACAGAGGGTGGTGGAGAGACGATTGGGGCGGTGCACAACGCCCAGCAGCGGCGTGGAGCCAGTGAAGTTGACGGGCTAGAGATCCCTGCTGGTGCTGGGCGGTGGCTGCTGCACTGCAGGCCAAGACTGGACTGGTGCTGACACATTGGGTGGTAGTTGGCTGGTGTTTTGTGGGTGGGAGTGGGAGAGGCGGAGGAGGCGGAGGAGGCAGAGCGGGAGAAAGCGATGATGATCGCTATCTGTGCAGGGGTCTCTTGCAGCGGGACGAGGGGTATCACCATGATGGTATGAGTGGACTGTTCACAGCACAAGACAGACACACAGATAAGAAGACAACTTGTTTCCTCATCAGCCCTAGAAACGCAAACACAAAGGAAGCGGGGGCCGGTCAAGAAACCAAGAAACCAAGAAACACAAACCGGTCCGTGATTGGCCGCCGCCCGTCTCGGCTCTTGGCCTTGGCCGCCGCCAACTCACACCCCTCTCTCCCTGCACCACCACCCCTCTCTCCCTGCACCACCACCCACCACCACCCACCACCACCCTACCCTACCCTACCCGCCCAGCTCAGCCCTCGAGCGAGAACCCGACGTCGCCGCCGCAGTCCCTCCCCAGCCGCACCAGCCCGTCCCGCATGGCCTCGGCCCTCCGCCTCTCGGGCGCCCCCTCGGCCCCCAACCCCTCGAACCCGCAGCGGCCGACCCATTCCCCGACGCCGTGCTGCAGCACGTTGCGCGCCCTGGCGGCGAGCCCCGCGCCCGCGCGCCCCACCGACCCGTGCAGCGTGGCGCGCTCGCGGGCCGGGTCGTAGACGCCGCGGTGCAGCACGTTGTTGTCGTAAAACACCACGTCGCCCGCGCCCAGCCGCACGCGCGTCTCGCCCTCCAGGCCGACCTCGTAGGGGCCCGCGGCGCGCTCGGCGGGGGTTCTGGCGCGGACGTGCGACCCGGGGACGACGACGAGGCTGTCGTCGTCGTCGTCGAGCAGGGCCAGGTTGTACTGCACGTGGTGGTGGGCCGAGGCCGACAGGCGCGCCAGCTCCTGCTCGGCGGTGGCGTCGGCGGGGATGTCGTCGCGGTGCCAGCGGAGCTCGAAGGCGCGGCCGGGGGTGACGAGCATGTTGAAGAGCTCCATGACGAGGTCGTCGTCGGTCACGGGGGTGGCATCGACATCATGGCGCATGAGCTCGCGCGTGGGCCCCAGGACGGCGTCGGAAAAGTAGGCGCGCGCAAAGACGTCGCGGCCCGGCATGTCCGGGTGCAGCAGGTGCTGGACGCCCCAGATGCCGCCGGCGTCGGCGTCGGGCGTCTCGGGCCAGGGCGGGAACTGCTTGCCGACGGTGCGGATGTGCTTCCACCCGCCCGCCCGCGCGAGCGCCGTGGCGTTGGCCGCCGCCTCCCGGAGTGCCTGCAGCGTCGGCCCGTCCAGCACCTGCCGAAGCACGACGAAGCCGTCGCGGTCTAGCTGGGTCCGGAGGGAGGACTCGGAGGAGGCCATTTTCATGGTTGGGCTAGGTAGGTTTGGGTTAGCCGAGGTTTGAGATTAGGCCTAGTCCTGGTGCTGCTGGTCCCTGCGGAGCCCTGGAATTCAGGCCTTGTCCCCATTAGAACAGCCCGTTTGTCAGCGCATTCCAGTAGCAGCTACCCCTGGACATGAATTCGATGCCCGCCTCTGCTGGTGACGTCCATCTCGGCACAAAGCATCGGTCTCCGAGCATTTGATCAAAGAGACATCACGTGCCCACGCGACTTAATAATGCCGTCATCCCCGCGTTTCGCCTCCCCCTGAAACCCCGACGTGCGCCTTCTCTTGTCCGTCGCATTTCTTGCGCATTCACTGAACTAATAACCACTCAGAAAACCACGCAGAAAGCCCAATTCCACACACCCCAAAATCAACCACACAAGACCAACGCGCAAACCCAGACGCCAAACCATGCCCCCTCGCAAACGCAAAGCCCCCGCGGCGTCGAAACCAAAGCCCGCGCCCAAGCCGGCTGCCTCGGGACGCCGCCAGTCGCAGCGCATCGGCTCGTCCGCCAAAAAGAGCCAGTACTTTGAGAGCGACTCCGACTCTGGCGCCGACCCCGAGCCCGCCGCGAAGCGAGCAAAGACGGGCGTCGCCGCCACCAAGTATACAGGCCGCCGGGGGCCGAAGCCCGAATCGGACGAAAGCGAGGACGCATACCAGGAACCTGACGGCGACGATGACGACGACGACGACGACGACGACGACGACGACAAAGATGTGGCAGATGAGGAAGAGAAGAGCTCGGCTGGGGAAGAGGATGACGACGACGACGATGCGCCGAAGCCCAAGTCAAAGCAAAAATCAGCCCAAGCTACCCGCGGCAGGGGCCGTCCAGCAAGCAAAAAGCAGCAGCCCGACGACGATAACGAAGACGAAGACGACGACGACGACGACGCAGAACCCAGAGTGACCTTCATACCGCACAAAAAGCTCCGCGACACGGGCGGCGTCGAGTACGCCGACGACCGCGTGCACCCCAACACGCTCCTGTTCCTGGGCGACCTGCGGGACAACAACAAGCGCGCGTGGCTCAAGGCCAACGACGGCGAGTACCGCCGCTCCCTCAAGGACTGGAACGCCTTCGTCGAGGCGCTCCAGGCCCGCCTCATGGCCGAGGACGAGACGCTGCCCGAGCTGCCCGTCAAGGACCTGTCGTTCCGCATCTACCGCGACGTGCGCTTCTCAAAGGAAAAGACCCCCTACAAGCCCCACTACTCGGCCGCCTTCTCCCGCACCGGCCGCAAGGGGCCCTACGCCTGCTACTACGTCCACTGCGAGCCGGGGAGCTGCTTTGTCGGCGGCGGCCTGTGGCATCCTGGTGAGGCCGCTCCGTTTTCTTTTCTTTTTTTCTTCTTTTTTTTTCTTTTTTTCCCCCACCTAACGCGAACCTTCTCCTGAAACAGACGCAGACGCCCTGCACCGCCTCCGCGCCAGCATCGACGACCGCCCCCTCCGCTGGCGCCTCGCCCTGCTCGCCGAGCCCTTCCGCGCCGCCTTCATGCCGGGCGCGGCCGCGGGCGACGAGGCCTCGATCCTGGCCGCCTTTGCCGCCCACAACGCCGCCGACGCCCTCAAGACCAAGCCGAAGGGCTTCTACGCCGGCCACCGCGACATAGAGCTGCTCAAGCTGCGCAACTTTACCATCAGCAAGCGCGTCCCCGACGAGCTCTTTACGGGACCCGACGCCCTGGACCGTCTTGGGGACTTGGTGGGCACCATGGTGGGGTTTGTAAGTTTGGGGCTGGTTTTTTTTCTTTTTTTTTTCGTTTGTGTTGTTTCTAACGACCCTTTCACAGATAACACATCTCAACTCCATCGCGATGCCCGACGACCCCGTCGCGGATGATGGCGGCGACGACGATGTCGACGGTGACGAAGGGGGCGGGAGCGGCAGCGCCGACGAGGCTTGAGCCGACTTCAAGGATGGCTTGTAGGAGTACCGTGCCGTCTGACATTTGTCACATGTAAAACCAAGCGACTGTACTATACGTTGGGCGTCCTAGTCTTTCCAAACACCCCCATGTCTTCCCTATTACCTCAGGCCATAATCACAAACATTTGCGTGCCATTACAAGACGGGGTATTTGAATATATGATACGCCGCAGCAACCAGGTGAGATATGCACAGGCACTGGCACTCCGCAGCATGACAGCCCAAGCAGCACGTACGGGGAACCGTAGATACTAGACAATACAACTTTCCTCCAATCGTCCCCCTCCCCCACGATCCAAACATGACAGGATTCGATCCGGGTGAGAGGGGTGGGATACTACCGTGCCCTCCCAGTATAGACGCATCACATCGTTAAAAGGCCTTCCTCCCCCTCTGATCGCTTTCCGTCATTATGCAGTTGACATCATAACCCAAGGCGCCACAGGAAACTAAAAAGAAACAGGACAGAAAAACAGAAACACTGACAGGAAGTGGAAACAAAGGAGACTTGGAGCAAGAAGGGGCCCACCGTCTGGAAGCAAGAGTGTGGGATGGGAGAAGAGGAGAAGCAAAGAGGGGAAATACCCCGAGATGAAGAAAACAGAAAGAAAAAAAAAGAAGAAAAAAAACTTGATCCAAATCACACGTTACTTTTTGGTTCCCCTCATCGTACGCCATCGTCTAGTGGCCCTTGTAGGCCCCCCATCTTCTCAATGGAGCTCATGAGCCCGCTGCGGGGGGCCACGCCGCCGCCGCCGCCGCCGAGCGGCCCGCTACTTAGACGCTCGTGGTACGACATGGGCCGGTCCGATGTTGCTCTTTGGCGCCGCCATGGACCCGGGGGCCC